TGACCATATTATCAATAATATTAAAAATTTATCGAATGATACTTTATTGTCAGAGATACGGTGAATGCATAACATTGCGATTTCTTTCATTACTTCGTTTCTTCTTTTCTGAGGATTCGGACATTTTATTGCTATAAAAAGTAACTGAAGTAGACAAAATTATTATAAGCACAAGTAACAGGTATAGGACAATGGCTTAAATGTTTTTTCTTTCAATTCTTGTAGTAGGAACACTGGTAATTTTTTGAGCCTTTAGCTTGTATCTAAAAGTTTCCACAAGATCATTCAGTTCCTCTAATTGTTGGATAAAACACATTTCTAAATCCCCTAGTTTTTGGTTAAGAGATCGATATTTCTTTAAGTTGTTCCTTTGGGCTACAATTAAGTGAATATATTACTACGCTACCTCCTCCAGACATACTCTCCCATTTTTTAGTATTTTCATCGATTACATTGATCAGCAGTCCAAGAAGTCTAGTTGTCAACATTTCTAGATTATTCTTATCGTCTTTATTAACATTTTCATCATCAAAAATTATACGTGCTACCTTGAATTCCTTCACTTTATGAGATGGATTGTTTGATCTAGATTTTGTATGAAATTTCCATATATATAGAATTATATAACTCGTACAACATCCTGCAAAGAAAAAATTAATATGCGAGAAAAACGAAGTGTTCTATATACTGAGAATTCAATTAGACCCCTCATCCTGCGAGAGCCTTATTTTGTTTCCAAAAATCTCCTTTAGTTCTTTCCAGCCAACGTTATCTTCTGTACTTTCTTCCCTTAGCCGATTATTCTCCCGCATGTCTAGCAAAAGCAATGTCTTGCTGTCAGCAAGCATTTTAACCAACTTTCTCGGGATTTTTCTTAATCTCTTGTTTCTAGTGAAGATGATTTCTTCTATGTTTTCTAGATAACCGAGTATTGGAGGAAATGTGCTGAACAGATTTCCTCCAAGATTGAGTCTCTTTAGATTTTCAATTGCACCCATTCCAAATGGCAATGTGTCGAGTTTATTGTTCGCCAGATCCAGGTCAACTAGGCTGGTCATGTCATCTATTTTTTCAGGTATTGCCTGCAGCTGATTATCTCTGATGCTTAGACTTTCCAGATGTTTCAGTTCCGTTATCTCCTTTGGAAGGAAGATAAGGCTATTACCATTGAGATTTAAGCTTACTAGCAGTGGCATTCCGGCTATTGAATTAGATAGATATTTCAATCCGTTGTTGCTAACATCAAGTACCTTCATGAATGAGAGGCTTTCGAAGTATGGCGGCAGCCTGTCTATCTTATTTCCGCTGATGTTGAGTTTTGTGATTCTTTCTCCTTTCGTCATTCTATCGAATATCTCGTTAAGAACCTGTTTTCCATCTCTACCTGAATAGTTCAAGTAAACACATTTCCCATTTTGCGCCAAGATGAACATAAAATCTATTGTACAAACGATGCTGAACACTCTCATGCCAAATCTCATTTTTAGTGGGGGACTTTAATCTTATCTTGAACAACGAAGCAATACCACATTTTACCATGAGTTTTAATTATTATTAACTACCTTTTAATAACTTTCTCAAGGTAGGGTGGCCGTCAATATCCTTTCTTAAAAGTGCGACCTATCTGTCCAGTAAAAAGCTAGTGAAAACAGAATTAGCTGGACAAGCTCAAAATACCCAAGGCGGCCTCCCTTTGACATATTCCATTCATTTTCTTTTCTAGGCAGCACCATTTCTTCAGCTAACGATGTCAATGCCAATATGGCTCCACTTAGAACGAAACTCCATAACACTACAAGCATGTCATTAGTTTTTGCATTGACAGCAAATGCACAGGTTATTAAAACGATAGCTGCCACAGAAACGAAATTTCCGATGACACCGCTCTTGTAAACAGGACGAGGAAGAAGCCCTAAGCACTTAAATCGAATGTAGTTGATTGAAGAAAATGTTGCAAACATCTTCAAAATGTCCATGTTATCATTACTAAGACCGTAGACGATTGTTTCTGCAATGCATGTAAATAGCCCTGTTATACATATTACAATGAACGCAAGATACAAAATGGCTTCCTTAGGATCATTCCTAGAAACGTTTACACGCCAGTTTCTTACTATCCAATAGGAAAGCATAAACATAGTAAACAATGAGCTGGAAACTGCCGATACTAATCTGAGTACCCGATTCTCTCCAGAGCTCGACAAGTAAATCGCTGTGGGTATCAGTATGGATGCTAATCCAAGAGAATTTGCAAGTAAACCCATTTTGTTTTTTCCGACATTCATGATACCCATTCGTTTTCCAAATAAATTTATTGTTGCGTGTTATACAAATTAGGAAATAGAAAATTCTAAATTCCGTTCAAAGAGTTAACTTAGGAATATGGCTACCAATTAAGTACTTAAGTAATATTATTCTCCTTATTGGGAAATTGTGAGTAAAGCTAAGTACAAGTATCTTATCAATTATCCTTACGAAAATTACATAAGTCCTGCGCACCCCCTCCCAAAAAAAGAATCTATGGCGAGTGGAGATAATTATTTACCAAGCGGAGATGTTCTTGATGCAATCATTCTCATTGGAGCAGTTTTAGCTGAGACCCAATTCAACAAGATGGAGTCCACCGGGATGGCATTCCATCTTTTCAGCTTGCTTTCTGTTATTTTCTTCATATCTCGTGTATTAATTCTTGTAGTTGAAGCAAACTCTTCAGAAAAGTATGATGCGTTTAGCGCCATAGCATTTGGGTCATCAGCAGTCTTTTCTATTGTTGCAATTATACAAGCAATTCGTTCAACTATCAACATGAAGTCTACTGGGGGAGCCCTCTTTTATTCCAAGGAAGGTGAGAGATTGGTATTAGGGGGATATGCTGCTACCATTGCTGTGGTTTTTCTCATACTCCAGATGCTAAATATGGCAAAAGACAAAGATAACATTAAGCGACGTTATTGCATCAACGGGTGCTTGATAACAGTAGTAACCACAGCTTACGTCTACTTACAAGAGGAGACTTCTCAAGAGGATCTGGTGTCAGTGGTTATATACCTTTCTTTGTTCGTTGCTGCCATCCTGTTGGTTAGCAATGTTTTTGGAAAGCAGAGTCCTGATCTAAGGAACAAAGCTGGCTTATGTTACTTCCTCATCCTCTACTCTGGATGCCTTATTACAACTGTCTTTGGTATAAATGTAATGGGCGACAAAGCTAAACTTATTGAAAAACTTGCAAACATGTTTGTTGTTGTTGAAAAGGTTATAGGTTTGGCTAAATAGGGCGATTAAAAAAACCTATCGAAACTTTTTTATATTGTTGTTAAATCCTCCAATTGATCCCAAGTGCAAGAAAGAAGCATCTTCATTAACCTCCGGACTTGAGTGAAAAAAACTTACTATTAATTTGCTTGCAACTTTTCATAATACCTCTATCTAAGGCTATGTATGGAAGATAGAACACAACTGTAAGATATGCGATATTCAATCCATGCCCCAAATAGTTAGGCATTGCTGAAGGATTAACGAGTAACTTATTTATCCCTACAAGCAGGTTGGACCAGATCAGAATAAAAAGTAAATACTTGCTTATGAAGCGATGCATTTTGAGATCTCTAATATTGAAAGCCATATTGAACATTCCAAACACGATTCCTTGCGTAGTATGGAGAAGCATTATTACCATGCAGAAGTAAAGGTTGTGTATCCTACGACAAGATGTCGAGTATGTACTGGCTCCCAACAATATGGAGACAAAAAAGAGATTATACAGCACAATAATGCCCATATTTTTCTTTTTGAACACGACTTTTGATATTTCACTGGCCATAAGAAACATTCCCATCTGTGGCAAAATAAATGCGATTCCCTCAATGTTTGCAGTTATTATATTTGATCTTTTGGTAGTATATATTAGTTTTTCCAGCCCAAAGAACTTCAGAAAGACTTCGTGTAGTAGACACATCCCAAATCCTATTGAGAAGTCTGCCCATGTGTTTATAAACAATGAAGCCAGGTTCAGGACACCGAGTATCAGAAAAAAGTTCAAATGGATGCCGAACTCGGCATCGTTGACATCTAACTTAAGTAGCACTTTGGACAGGTACCTTAGAATCCCAAAGAAGAATGATGATAATACATTCTCCACCTTTCTTTGTGGGGTTGCCTTTGAAGAGAAGAACCCCGCATTGTATACGAAGGAACCTACGCCTATGTCCATCAGCTTAAGCCCGTAACTCATACTTTTTCCTAATTTTCCTCCTTTGTAGAAAGAGAAGTCCGATGCAAATATGGTAATAGCAACACAGCTCATTATGAGAACTCGAACCCTATCTATTGCAACGGATGCATATATCCCATTATTTTGAGGTGTTGATGTAGGATGCTTCATGGACAAGGAAGAATTGTCGATTGCAGATCTCGGCCATACCGCTGTAGACTTCCCTCTTATCCATCTTCGGATTATTGTAGACAGGAAGCTCACAACAAATAAGGCGAAGAATGAAGCATAAATCAAACACAAGTGATTAGGGAATACAATTGTAAGGTACAACGGAACTATAGAAAACAGAAACTCAAGAAAAGCGTACCTTGGGACTACTAAGTGATATATCAACACAGACAGCTGTGCTATGCTTGTAGTAGCAAACAATTCAACTTCACTAAGGGCTCCCTTCATAATGAGGGGCTACCTTATACGAATAAATTGTAATTGGGATGAAGAAGGGATGTCTCAAATAGGGGTAGAAAATACCAAATTTATTCTCTAGCCTATCTAGTAAGGCCTTAAGGTCCTCAGTAAGCTCATCAGAAAAGTATTTTTTCAGGATGTTGATTGACTCTCTTGTAATCATTGAATATAGAATGTCTTCTTGGTCAAAATGTCTTCCAAACATACGAGGAGGGAGATTGGGCTTTGCCTCGATCTTGATGGCCACTTTCTGATCTTTTGTTGCTTCTTTGACCGTCTCTTTATTGTTTTCAATAGAGGTTACTATCCCAAGCCTGACAACTTCATCCTCCTTGAAAACACACAACGGTGTTCCTACTTTTAGAATTCCATCCCTTATATGGACGCCTATCACAAGTGGGCTTCTGGAGTTGAAAATACACTTTGGGACAATCGACATTTTCACGGGAAACACTGCCTGTTCCATATGCATCTTTTTGTTCTTTTCTCTTTCCTCAGATATAAACTTTACGTACGAGTCGAGAAGATGATATATTATCTTTGCCTCAAACACCCTCACTCCCATTGAGGAAGCCATGTCCTTTATTTCCCTGTCCAACACTACGTCAAAGCAGAGGATCACAGCATATTCTTTGTGTTTCTTTGTCATTGAAGATACGATGATCATATCCTTTTTTTTTACCGTTCCTATGCTTACTCCGGAAATTGGGACATTGGAGGTCTTCAGGAACGAAACCAGGGCCTCTAACGACCCGAGTGTACTTGATACGACATGCACACCTTCCTGATGAAGCTCCATGGACGAAAAGACAGACTCGAGGTCCGCTTCAAGTGCATTTTTTACTTCTTCCTCACTGCTCTTTACTATAAGCACTCGACTTCCTGCTATTGCCTTTTCAAGCCCTCCAGCCGCAATCTTGATCCCCAAGCTGGCTCTTGCCTCTTTCACAATTACATACTGATTTTTCACTCTCAGTTCCTTCAAAGGCTGAGGCATAAGCAAAGCTTTGATGGTTGTAATTATGGGCCCATTGAAGCCGCACACACCAATCTTGTCTCCCTCTCGTAGTATTCCGTTGCTCAAGATGGCATCCAGAGTTACTCCAAACCCCTCAACGTTTTTAACTTCTAGAACAGTACACTCAACCTCCTCTTTGATTTTCATTTTTGAGCCCATGTATTTCTCTGAAAGCTCCAGTATCAGAGATACTAGGTCGGGGATTCCCTCTCCAGAGACTGCAGAGGTGGGAACTAAAGAAACAAATCTCTTTTGGTCTGCGTTTTCATAAAATAGCTTTGCATTCAGCCCTATTTCTGCAAACGCCACAATGGTGTTGTTCACTCTTCTTTTGAAATCGTCGATAGTTGCTCTTGATTGTTTCTTAATGGTGGATTTAACATTCCCAAATGAGGTAGACTTCCACCCGTAGAGTCTATCTATTTTGTTAAGAGCAACCACAAATGGCGTCCTGCGTCTCTTGAGGAGCTCTATGCTCTCCAAAGTCTGGGCCTCAAGCCCATGAACTATGTCAACAACTAGGATTGCAAGATTACAAAGTGAGGACCCTCGTGTTCTTAGATTGGCAAAAGACTCATGCCCAGGCGTGTCAATAATCAGAATGCCCGGAAGCTTCGAGTCCCTTTTCCCACATTTCTTGAAGAGTTCAGACACCGGAAAGAATGTGGCACCGATCTGCTGTGTTATCCCCCCTGCCTCCTCTCCTTGAACGTTAGATTCTCTTAACTTGTCGAGAAGCTTGGTTTTCCCCGTATCGACGTGCCCCAAGATACAACATATTGGACTTTTAAATTCAGGACAAGGCTCTCCAGCCAACTTTTCCTCCTCCGCTTTCTCACTGCATCTCAAATTCTTCTTTCCTCCATCTATTTTAACCTTATCTACAGAATTCTCTATTTCCTCTAGGTCCTTTTTCTGCCTATGCTCTTCTTTGTTCTCCTTATCTACCGACCCAAGCAGTGTGTTTAGATAATCTCCGTCTCTTCTGTTCTTCTTACCCATCTAGAATATTTATCTTCCTTTCTTTAAGAAATTATTTTCCTCAAAGTCACCAGATATATCGTAATCTTCTTTCAAGTAGAGTATAGGAACCAATTGGCATTAATGGTTTCAGACCAGTGGTCTGCATAAAACCTCTTGAAGGAAAAATCCAGATGAACCAAGATATGGTTATCAAGATTATGCCCTTTCTTGCCAAGAAATCAATACTTGCACTCCATTACATAACTGGGGACCCGAAATATCCCATTTACGTCATCAACGAATATAAGTCCAGGTTGAACACAATCTCTTTAGAAAAGATCACCGCTCTAGTCCAAAAGGCCATAGATATAGAGAGGAATGATCTGGCAATGGAATACTTGTGCCATCTGTCCCCGGGGAGAATGGCCAGGATATTGTTCAGGATAGCAGAGAATACAGAGCCAGAGAAGACGAGTCACGTGATTTCAAGCTTGAAGAGAAGCCATTCGTGCCTACTATGCAGCATGAATAACAGATGCTCGGAGGTTATAACCCGCCTGGAAGGCATTGTAAGGAACATAAAATCGTATACGTACTACTGTAAATAATAGATGCTTTAGTAAATGCCTCAAATAATGAAGTTAACCGAGAAAAAATTACAAACAGATCGGAGAGATCTACGGAATAAATCTCCTACTTTTCTGGATGCTTGAGCCTAACTTTGAAGGAGCTTGGAATTCTGACCATAGTTCCGATGCGCGGGTTTGTGACATTTGTTCGAAGGTTATTTTTGGAGCCATGTTTCTTTAAGCCTTTCATATCTTCTACAGTTTTTCTATTGGGAGCCTTTACATAAATGGCCCTTTTGGGTGAGTCGGCACTTGCATCTACATGCAAAGACTCCTCTTTATGCACCATGGATTTCCTGGACAGCTTACTCCTTTTTGAAATGGGAATTCTAATAAGATACTCTGTCTGCAAAAGCTTCCTCTTGAGTACACCCATACTACTCAGCTTCAGACTAGTATGTCTGTCACCCATAAACTCTCTACCCAAGCGGTTGATTGTCTTACGCAGATCATCGGGTAGAGTCTCTTCATAAACTTTGGCCACAGCCTTTTGATAATCATCGCGTGTTAACTCCATGTCTTCTATGAGATATATCAGGCTCGTAATTTTCTCCTTAATGGTAATGCTTCCCTGGTTGAGCCTTAGCAGTCTAAACATCTTTTTTCTTTTTCCCTTCAAAACCTTTTTAAAACCAAACTTGGGAGACAGCCCAAGAGTTATCATAATGTCAAAAGTCATGCACTTTATGGTAAATGTTTCCTTTTCTAGCATTTCAAGGACTTCTTCAACTACCTCTTCGTCCTCGTAAAATAGTGCAAGCAAAACCTCAAGCGCTGCAACTCTGATGCTACAAAAGTTAGGATATTTCGAAAGCTGAATTAAAGCATTTTTCCTCAAACTTGCCATTCCAAACAGAGAAATACGCCCCAAGGCATAGAGACAGGACTTGCTTACCAGATTTCTGTGGGATGGGAAAACCATGTCCAAAATCCTGAACCTTTCAATCTCGGAAATTGAGAGATGGAGGTAGTCAGGATTCTCCAATGGCTCCGTCTTTTCTCCTTTTTTATGTTCCTCTGAAGATTTGTTGTTCTCTATTTTTATGTCTGAATTATTTGCCGAGCTGTATAATGATGGAGTGTTCTCATAGTCCTCATTTGGGCTGGGTGTGTCCGTGCTCTTTTTATTATTTATTCCAGAAATGCTACTCCCTGGCATACTGTCCTTCGCATCAACCCTCTCCACCTTGAACAGTTCGTTTATGTCATCTCCTGCCTTCTCCTTTCCACGAGAAGAATATCCTTCGCCTTTGAACTTTGTGTATTTATCAGAATAAAACTCCGAAAAGCTCATCGAGGAAAGGGGAAAGCTCAGGCTTTCGATTACAGAAGATATGTACCACCCATCACTGTAGGAGTTGAATGAATTGTCGTTGAATTTGAGTATGTTGATGATGAATGCAGAAATGATACTTGCAGATCCCACCTCTCTTCCTGAATAGTTTTTGAAAACAAATGGATCTGCATATGATAGGGCCTTTACAAGATGCTTCTGTATGAAGTATGGAATAAACGAAAAGTCGTTTGGCTTGACTATCGTAGATGTTTGCACACAATACTTCTTCACAAAATACTGGATGAGTCTTTGGAACCCATAGTAGCTTCCGACTATCGTTCTAGAAAGGATGTATAGTATATGGATCCTTATTTTGTAGAAGATATGGGTATTCTCGAGCATTCGCTCAAATATCTCGCAGACATGGGTCGATGGCTTTATCGAGAGATTTTCCAAAGCCTCCATTTGGCCAATGATGTTCTTATCCAGAAGCTGTTCTATAAACATATAGTCAGGTTGCTCTATAACTATTTTTGCCAAATGTTCCCCCTTCGTGTCTGCCCTTATCCACAGTAAGGGCATCACCTCTTCCTCTTCCTCAGACTTCTTCTTTTTCTTCGTCTTTGGATGGTAATAGAAATGATTCTCTCTATCCAGCATAAACACATGCTCAAATATCCCTTCCATTTCATAACTGCATATGGTCACAGGGCCAGATATCGTCTTGTTCCCATTAGAAAATATACTTGTGGGAATCTGGCTGGCAGTGAAGTCTACTCTGTTGTTTTTCTTGTTTATCGTGAATCCGAGTCTTACCTTTACTACCCCAGGCCTAAACACATAAGTTTCGAAAAGAGATCGAAGGTCTTTTCCGGTGACATCCTTGACGAGCTTGACAAACTCGAAGCTATAGTTTTCTCTGACATCGCTCTTCTTCTTTATTGTGTAGTTCAGAATCTTTTCCATAAAGGCTCTACTAAGATTCCCTTCCAAAAGATGGAAAAAGACCTTGGATTTTGTTTTGAAAAACTTCTCCCTCATCGAAAAGAAGGTCCTTCTAGTATCGTACAATGCATACTCTGTAACATCCCTGTCAAGTATGTAGTCTTTGTCCTTCTTGAGACCATATAGAAACTCGTTGTTTCCTAGAAAATGCCTTACGCAGTAGTCTTCAAAATACCCTTTCATTCCCTCAGAGATCCAAAAGTCTGCCCTTTCCACCACAGAAAAATAGAAGTAGAATATTTGAGAGCTTAGTATGTCACATATTATTCTCTTCAGAAGAAACATCGGCTCGATGTCGTTCAAAAATGTAAGGTTTGATAGGGCCAAAAACGCAGTACTCTCTCCATATACCTTGTCTGCATCTCCAAACACAAACGCAATCGAAAGAGCCTTGAATGGATATTCTCTTTGAAGAAAATACTCCGAATACCTGATCAGATTCTCTACGTCACAGCAAAATTCTCTCACACAATCCTTATATCCGTCGAATCCTTTTGGAATGCACACAGCCTTTCTATCATCTCCAGTGGATACTTCGTAGCTATCAAACGTCCCTATGCAGAAATTTATTGCCCCGCTATAGGCCATGTCCACTACATAAGAATACAATATCACATCTTCTTCTTCTTTTATGCTTTTGAGAATCCCAGGCGATATGATTTTCGTTTCATCATTGCTAGGAAGAATATAAACCAGCTCCCATTTGCTCTTATAGGGCACGGAAAACGACGGAAATATTGAAGAGGAGTCAAACATTCTATTGGATGCGACTATCTCTTTGTGCTTGTCCTCTGACGAAACCGGCTTGTAAAACTCTATGGAATTGTTGTTTTCTTTTGCTTTATAAAGAACCCTTACTGTGAATGTATCCTCCTTGACTTCCTCGGGTATTTGGACCTCAAGTATGCCCTCAGAACTTATATTCTTCCACATGTTTCTACTAAAGGATGCCTCGTTCTTGTCAATGGCGGCTGTTGCATCCCTGCTCATGTAATCCGCAACCCTCAACTTCCCAGAAGCTATTATATCGACCTTCAAAATGTCAAGGTCCTTTGACCTGTACACAAGAACATTTTCTCCGGAATCCCGCTCTATTGCTGTCTCTATGAATCCCCTATATATACACTTCCCCAAGTCCACGAAGTATACATTCCTCTGTTGGATCACCTTCATTTTCAGGGCAAATTTTTGTTAAGTAACTTGAAATAGCACTATTAAGACCCCATCTGCGTATTTCAACAATGAAAAAGATGAAGATTGATTGCGGAAATTCTGTTAATCCGAAAGTAGTGGGACAGTTGTGGGAGATAATTGACAGAGAAGGAATTGCTTTGCACCAGAAGTGCTCTATCTTTCTTGAAATGATGGAATCAAAGAAAATGAACGAGGAGCTTGTCAGGAGGAATAACGAGCTGATTGAAGAGAATGCAGCTTTGTCATCCGTTCTAGAGGGCCACAAAGAGAATGCAAATAACTCAGAAAGCCTGGATGAAGTATCAAAGTTCGATGTTGGGAATAAGATTTCTTCGCTGAACTATGAGATAAGAAGACTGAATGGCGTCATTTGTGAAATGCAAAAAAAGCTTGCCAGGAACAAGATTCTTACAGAGATTGAGGAGGCGCCGCAAGCCGAGGAGTCTGGAGAGAAAAAGCAAATTATTGCTGATAGTTCTATGGTGGCCAATGAGGTCTACAGGAAAATTGCCGAAGAGTATGGAGACCTAAAAGCCAAAATGGCAGGGCTGGAGAGTAAGCACTGCGAGGAACTTTGTGAAAGAGATCAGAGGATAACCAAACTCCAAAGAGAGTTGAACGAGACTATATTGAATTCCAAAGATGCAGAAGAGAAATGTAATACTCTAAAGATAGAAAATGAAAAGTGGAGAGAGGCGTTCCAAAGGGTTAACAAAAGAGAAATAAATTTGAGCAATGAGATAAGCCAGTGCAGCCAGAGGGTCGATTCGATAGATAAGAACATGCAAAGCATCACGTCTAGGCTGGGTCTTTGGAAGAGAAAGGTCGAACAAATAAGTATCGAAAAAGAGGAACTTTGCAAAGTGATGGAAAACTACAAAAGTTATGAGAGGACAAGGAATAGAGGATGCGATAACGAGCAGGGGTCTCTGGAAGAAGAGATAGCCAATCTCATAGAAAGCTTAGACAAAAGCTTATCCGAGAACAAGGCACTGGTTACAAGGCTTGAGACCTTGCATAGAAAGAACAGAGAGCTAGAAGGCGAGGTTATTTCGTTAAAGATGTCCACCTCGGATCTCAGCAGTAAAAATACAAAGCTTGAGCTAGATATAAAGCATCTGAGAATGGAGAGGAGCTCTACCCTTGGAGATCCAGAGGACAAAGTATCAAAAATCAGGAAGCTAGAGAATTCCATTGAAGAGTCCGGCAGGATGATTGCAGATTACAAAAAAAGGCTATGTAGCATATCTGCGGAAAAAGAAGAAACAGAAAAGATGCTGGAATCGGTCAAAAAACAGAACAGAGAAATAAGAAATGAAATATCAAGGATCTCAAAGGAATGTTCTCAAATTGACGCAGAAAACAAAAGGTTAAGCGGGATACTAAAGGCTGTCCAAAACGGAGATTCTGAAGGAGATCCTGATCTTGCCATACAGTTGGAAAGATATAGAGGCCTTCTCCGATGCTCTCTTTGCGACACACGCTTCAAGAACACCGCGATTATCAAGTGTATGCATTGTTTCTGCGAGGAATGCGTAAATTCTAGAATAAGAATGAGAGATAGAAAGTGTCCCTCCTGCAACGAGCCCTTTTCGCCTAACGACGTGAGGAAAATTTACCTGTAGAAGTTTCAGAGCACCCTCACTTGTTTTTCTTCCACTCGTTCACATTTATGTATTCTTGACAGAGACAGATGCCTACAAGGACATCAAAAGCCTAAAAGATTAAAAAAATAAACAGAGTTATATTTCAAAGGACTCTACGGGCTAACCGTAACAAGCGCTTATCGCGGATGTACTTACGCCCGAAGTACCACAAACTTATTCACCGGCTCCGTTTTACAGCTCTACACCTCAAGACACAGTCAACGCCTAACTTCATTAATCGGTACAATCGAAGACTTCGTGGATCTTATGTCATCTAGCAGGATTCTAACTCTTTTATAATCCTTTGTTTTTAGTATGATATCCTCCTCTCCTATGGAAATAATGCCTCCTGCAAATACCTCTTTGTTTATTGTGACCTTGATTTTATCTCCCTTAGTAAATGCACGCCCCTTTACATTTAGTGTGCTATTTTCAATAAAAACATCAGTATCTTTTTTTCCTTCTATCATCCTCAAATCTTTGGCTGCCTCATCCACTGCGGCATAAAGTATTTCATCCACATCCAGAGTTGTGGATCTTCTTCTCCTTTTGGCGCTTTCTACTATGCTTTTCTGGTCCTCTACAGAAATGAGATCCAGCTCATCTTCTAATCCATACATCTTCCTTACGAAGTCCTTGTACATATCGGCATCTCTTTTCATATCCTCAACTCTTTTTCCAAGACTATCCTCTAAATCCTCTGATGGAAAAGATAAACCCATTTTCCTTTTGATTGGATCAAGGGGTTTTGTTTTAATTAAAAAAGGTATCGAGCAAAACATTTGAATTTAGCCTTAAGGTTCGAAAAATAGAAAATAGAGTATTTATTTCCCATCAAGAATTTTCTCCAATTCTTCCTTAGATCTGTAGCAGTGATCTTTAAAAGAGGAAGTCATTCTACTGAAAAAATCTTGAAAGTCAAACTCGATCTTGCTCTGAACAAATCTCTCGTAGTAATAGAAGTTGAGAAGAAGCTGGTTACCACCAGTCCCAAATTTGCGATTTTCGGATATGAAGATCTTGCAGAACTCCTCGAGTAGCTTTTCATTGTATATAGAAAACATTCTCTTCCCAAACTCGCTGTCGAGACTAAACGTCTCTTCGGCATCCTCTATTATTCTCTTAATCCATTTCTCAGGCCTTCCAATAACCTTAGAATCACTTGTGTAGTCATCGTCCACCAGGTCAAGTATCAGAGCTCTTATTTGAAGTATTTTATGATCTAGGACATCATTCACTATAGCGTTAACCTCGTCCTTTCCACCTATGGCATGTAGATCACCAAGAAGACTAAGCTTAGACTTTTTGACTTCTTTTTCATCAAGAAGAACATTCCTCGATGTCTGAACATAGTGTTTAATAAGTATTTGTTTGTCTTCGTCTTCAAAATCGCCTATTATCTTTTGCACCTTTTCTAAGTAAATACTCATTTTATTTGGGACTACAAATCACCCATCTTATTCTTTTTCCTACTGCAAGACCAGTTTGTCTCCAAAACTTTAAGGACCCGAGCCTTAATCTTCCTTCTTCAATAAAAACAATACTTAAGAGCCTCGGGATACTACTGCGCCCTCCCGGTATTAAAAACAAAAATGTTACCACCCCCAATGTCATGTAAGTGAAGATAAACATTGGAGCTAATTTTAGTTAACCTTCTGCACGTCGTTAAACCTTTGGTGCCGTATATTCCCGATGTCCAGTCTCCGTCGAGAACGATTACTTTCCACGAAAGATTTGTCTGGACAACGCTTGCAATCCTGATATATTTGGTTTCATCTCAGGTCCCTTTGTTTGGAATAATTTCAAATGACGCAGCGGATCCCTTGCAATGGATGAGGGCAATGATGGCATCTAACAGAGGAACACTCATGGACCTTGGGACAAGTCCTGTGGTAACCTCCAGCCTTATAATGCAATTTCTAACTATGTCCGAGATACTGAAGGTCGACTGGTCTATCAAGGAGGATAAGAACCTCCATAATGCAACGCAGAGGCTTATATCGCTTATAATGACGGTTGGGCAAGCATTTGTGCAGGTCTACACAGGATTCTATGGCAACCCCAAAAGCCTTGGGACGATCTACTGCCTTCTCCTTGTTATGCAGCTGATCTTTTCTGGTGTCATAATAATCCTTTTGGACGAGCTTCTCCAGAAAGGATATGGCCTTGGAAATGGAGTCAATCTGTTTATTGCAACAAATGTCTGTGAAAGTATTGTTTGGAAGGCCTTCAGCCCAAAGGTACTTTTCACCGGGCGAGGTATAGAATTTGAGGGGTCTGTGATTGCACTATTCCACCTTCTCGTTGTAAGAAAAAACAAATTTGCAGCAATATACGAAGCTTTCTTCAGGCAGAACCTCCCGAATCTATTTTCGCTGCTTTCAACTGTCCTTCTATTTGCATTTGTAATATACCTCCAGGGGGTGAGGGTTGAACTTCCAACAGAGTCTTCACAGGTCCGAGGGCACGTCGCCAAGTTCCCTGTAAAATTGCTCTATACATCCACCATGCCTATAATCGCTCAGAATTACATAGTCGGGCATGTTTCATCCATCTCTTCGTTCCTCTACAGGAGATGGCCTCAGAACCTCATTGTCAAGGCCCTCGGTGTCTGGAGTACATCGAGGGGAGGAAGATATGTGCCTGTGAGTGGCATCAGTTATTACATCACATCCCCAGAATCCATTCTGGAGGGCCTGAAGGATCCCCTGCGCTTCTTTGTCTATCTCTCCATCATGCTTTTAACATCCGCCATTCTTAGTACGTCGTGGCTTGAGCTGAATGAGCTATCACCAGAAAAGGCAGCGCAGAAACTCAAAGAGTCAAGAATGAGATTGAAGGGTGTAAGGGAAGCAAACACAGTGACTGTTCTTTCTAGATACATTCCGACAGCAGCATTTCTTGGCGGAATTCTCACCTCCATGGTTGTGATACTTTCCAATCTTTTTGATGCCATTGGAAGTGGTACAAACATCTTCTTGGCCACCTCGATTGTAAATCAGTATTTGGACATGTTTGCTAAGGAAACAATCCAAAAGAACAGTGAAATAGGTTTTATCGAGTAAAGTTATTTTGTGGCTCCACAAGCTTTTTCTATAATAATAAAAATTTACCTTTAATTGTCAAATGATAGCAATGGGACTAGAAGGAAGCGCTAACAAGCTGGGCATAGGAATAATGAAAGACGACGAAATATTAGCAAATGAAAGATTTACGTATGCACCTCCCCCCGGAGAGGGCTTTATCCCTGCAAAAACTGCAGAGCACCACCGGGAGAAGATTCTAGATCTTATAGCTGCATCACTGGAGAAAGCCAGAATACGCCTTGGCGATATTGATGTATTTTGCTATACAAAGGGGCCTGGGATGGGTCTTCCCCTATCTGTGGTTGCTACCGTTGCTCGCACACTGAGCCTCTATTGTAATAAGCCACTCATTCCTGTGAACCATTGCATAGCTCACATAGAGATGGGAAGGTTTGTGACCAGAGCAAAGAACCCTGTCATCTTGTATGCCAGCGGGGGAAACACCCAAATCATAGCATATCATAACAAAAGATACAGGATATTTGGAGAGACACTGGACATTGCTGTTGGAAATTGCATAGACAGGTTTGCCAGGGAACTTAAGCTGCCAAACTTTCCTGCTCCTGGCCTCAGTGTCGAGAAATATGCAAAACTTGGAAAAAATTACATTGAGCTTCCTTATATTGTGAAAGGGATGGATGTCTCTTTTTCCGGAATTCTGTCAAACATAAAGAGTAAGATCGTAGAGAACGACCAAATGAAATATGATTTGTGCTATTCCCTGCAGGAAACAGTCTTCTCGGCGCTTGTAGAGGTCACAGAAAGGGCAATGGCATTTAGCAACTCAAAAGAAGTTTTGATTGTCGGCGGCGTTGGGTGCAATCTGAGGCTTCAAGAAATGATGAGTTTAATGGCGAAAGAGCGTGGTGGGGTTTCCTATGCAACTGACGAGAGGTTTTGCATAGATAACGGGCTGATGATTGCGCATGTAGGCATGTTGATGGCTAAGGCAGGGGCCTCTTTCAGCCTTGACGAATGCTTTGTCACGCAGAGATATAGAACTGACTCAGTGGAGGTAACTTGGAGAGATGACTAGGAAAAATTAAACTATGAAATAATATAACAGCTTTATAATCTAGGTCTTCTAGTTCTTTTAGGTAGCTCTATAGGTTCTTCACAGTCTTCTGATCCACTCCATTTCTCAAATCTATCATAAAGATCTTCATCTAGTACGAGCCTATTTCTAGTTACAGGCCTTGGCTTTGGTTCTGGAATTCTAGAAACATCGTGTGCAGACACACCCTTTCCATTTGCCTCGTTAGTGATGCAATCGTGAATGGGACCCTTCCAAGTGCTAAGAGGTGCATTTCTATCCCTATAATACTTTCCAGCTTCCTCAAGAACTACTCGTGGGCTTATGTCGGAACAGCAATACATGTACTCTGCTTTTGTGCTGATGTGTCTATAAAACAAAACATATTGGCTTGTGCCGTCCTTGAGTGTACTTGAGGGATGAATCTTGCACACTTGAAAGTTACTCAAGCAAACATATTTTTTATCCTTTTTCTTGGCTATATTGTAATATATTGAAGATACTATACATCTTTGAATTCTACTCGGTGATCTATTACTGGATATCTGCACACCTTTCTCCTGAAGAGACACCAACGTTGTCTTTCTAATCTCCATTGCTTTTCGTAATGCGTCTTCATTAATTTTCATTCGGTAGCACCATTCATTTCCATTCTTCTGTGTTATAAACTCATTGAATATATTCAAGAGAGTCATGAAGTCACATCCTTGATGGCATAGATGCGATGATTTGTCAAATCCCTCGTAGAAAATACCGTAAACACTAAGCATGCTAGCTATGGTCACCATCTCACTGACAACCCCATACTTTGAGGAGTTCAGAACCATTTTTGCCAGTGGCGGCTCTAGCCTCAACTCGCTCATATCTTCTCCTTCCCTGGTTAGAAGCCCCTTATGGCACACAGCACCCAGGCGATAAAGGAGAAGTAGGGCACTTCGGGTCAATTCTGCAGAAGGACTGTCGATAAAATCAAACTCAAATACATCTCTTATGCCATGCTTTAGGAGAAGGAGAACAACTTCGTGTATGTTAGCTCTTTGTATTTCTGGGACAGGTGACGCAAGCAGATCATTCTCATAAGTGCTCAGCGTGTACATCCGGTAGCATGTGCCTGGTCTTGTTCTTCCTGCCCTACCCGCTCTTTGATCTGCATTTGCCCTGCTCACCGGAACAGTTACCAATGATTCTCCTGTGTCATGGTTGTAAACGCTCACCTTCTGGAGCCCAGTGTCTATAACATACCCAATGTTTGGGATAGTCAAGGATGTTTCTGCTATGTTTGTGGAAACAATGCATTTCCTTGCGCTTTTCTCTATTTGGAACACTTTACTTTGCATCTCTTCGGACAGCTGGCTATAAAATGGAATGGCCTTAAGGCCAGCATCCATATCTTCCTTCCCTCCCTCCGTGAGGTATTTACTTCTAGCCCAGTAATTCACTATTCCCACCACACCCTCCACATCATCTCTTCCTGTCATGAAAACCAAGATATCCCCTTCTTCGCAGTTTTCGTGAATATGAAGAATCTTTTTGACCGCCCACTCAACATAATCGTCAACATTCATACTCAAGTACCGAATATCCACAGGATATGTTCTGCCCTCGATTTCAAAAGCCGAGCATCCAAAGTAATCACAGAACCTTTGTGCCTCTATTGTAGCACTCATTATTATAAGTTTCATGTCATTTCTTTCCTTCAAAGTAGACTTTAGCAATCCTATGGAGATGTCTAGATTTGCGCTTCTTTCGTGTGCCTCATCCAGTATAACCACAGAATATTTCCTAAGCAGTTTATCACTTAGTAGTTCCTGAAGGAGAACTCCCTCCGTCATGTACCTTATTTTTGTGCTGTGGGTTGTAGTACTGTCAAACCTTATGGAGTATCCTACTACTGGCCCCATGTCCTTTTCCAAAATAGAAGCTAAGCTGGTTGCTGCTGCCCTTCTGGGCTGTGTGCATCCTATCATCCCTCTGTTTCCATATCCTTCGAGATATAAATACTTTGGCACCTGTGTGCTCTTTCCAGATCCGGCCTCTCCTACTAAAACTGTCACTTGATGCTTCTCTATGAACTCCATGAGGCCATGTCTGAAACTCTCGATCGGGAGCTTCTTTTGTGTCCTTTTAGCAGGTCCTCCCTGCATAGGCGGTATTGTATGGCTACGGGGATGCTCGCTTAGAAACACGCTTCCCCTCTTTGCTATTGCACTTATTTCCGTTCCTGGTTTTTCTACTTCCACTCGCTTCTTTTGAGTAGAATCGAGCGCTTTGTCCCCTAGAAATCCGCACAAATTCTCCCCATACACCAAGTCAGGAGACAAGCCATTTTCCTCATCAGAGTAAGCTTCTTCTATACTTAATCCAGCCACCTTCATCTTCCTCATTTCCCATCTTCTAATATCTCTAGACTTGTTGTATCCCATATAGCTGGGTGTGAAAATTGTAATCCAAAAAGACCATACATGTTTAATATTCTCTCAGACATCAAAAACAAGTGAAATGCTTCAATCTTCATTCTTCTTACCCAAGACCCCAGGAATACTCCTATTTCCCGCGCTTTTTCTATTTGCATACATAGATGTAACGTTCATATCTAACTCACACTTGGTTGGAATTCCCATTCCTAGCTTTGGCTTTGGTATTTCCCTAGGTTTCAGCACCGGACTATCTCCCTTTTTGCTTTCGCTAGAAGATCCTCCTACCCACTTCTTCTCAACAGGATCATATCGGAAATCATCATCGACATCAATATTTGCTTTATGAATAGGCTCCTTCTTGAACATATTCAAGAACCCAAAGAAGGATCCACCTTTCTTCTGCTCCTTCTTTTTAGCCTCTAGATCAGAAGGCTCATCATCAATGAATCTGGAAAGAAACAGACTTGTATCGTCTTCGCTCCTGACATCCTCTTCTTTCCTACTACTTTCGAAGAAATCCGCAAAGCTCTTTGATTGCTTTGTATCCATGTATAAATTATTCCTCTCTTTAGTATCACAAGGCATGCTACTAACAGATAACTCCTCCTCCTTCACTTTTGCTTCCTTTTCATCATGCTTGAGTAAGATCTCTTCTTGAGGGAGGCTGTACATGCTGTCCCTCTTCATCTCGTTGGCCACAAACACCTTTTTGTCCTCACGTTTTGAAAGCGCCCTGCCTTCTTCCACCCTCAATCCTTCAGTTGGCTCTTTCTTTTCGCATTTAACATTCATCCCAATCGTTTCGGTACCTGAGGGAGGCGTCGTTACACTACATTTACTGCCAAGGCTAGAAATCTCAGACTTCTTGGGGTCATCCTCAAGAGTATCTACATTAAGAATCTTCTTGATTCCAAAATCAAAGACACTCTTAAGGCCAAAAGACCATCTGGTATCAAACACAGAGTCAAGATCCCCACTAAGCTCTTTCCTGAAGCATTTCCTATTCGCCTTGAAATATTCCTCTGCCTTAGCCCTGTCAAACTCTATTCCAATGGAAACAAACTCATGCTTAAGAAGATCAATATCCCTTATGCTTCTACCGGTATACTCTACATAGCAGAGAATTTTAAGCACTTCAAAATTCTTGCTGAACATCCAGAGATACTTATTGATATCAACAATCCCGAGAAAGTAGGATGATAATACCACGAACAATGCATCAGGGACGCTGTTATCAAAAACTTGCATTATAAAGTCATTGCTGACACTGGCATTCTTGGTGCTTAGAACTTCTCTAATGTATCTTCTCCAATCTCCGTGAAGCTTGAAAGGGGACTTTGAGAAGCCAAGTGCAGAGGATATCAGCTGAGCATAAGATTCATCGCAGAACTTCTCTAAGAATCTATTCCCAATATCCTTTGTCCACTTAGGCGACAGAATCCCAACTTCCCATATTTCATTTTCCATTGCATATTCAAAAGCTTTATCAGGATCTTCTATGCACAGTTCTATGAGCTTATTCATGCTCTCAGCACGGATGAGCCTGTTAATATCCCTACTGCAGTAAACCGGCCTTGAATCAGAGACAATACTCGAAATACTATCTATAGATGGCTTTTCTAGCCGAACCAAGTCATAGACATGCCGATATCTATCATCTCCACTGTTTTTGGAACCCGTAATGAAATTAGAGGGCTTAATGTCTGGAAGAGCATAGTCAAGTCTATGCCATTGAGAAATGTTTATGTAGTTTTGTGTCGCCTCTCCTTGCATATTGAACCTTTTTTGCGAAGACATAAAGACAGTAAGCAGGCTTCCGCTCACAAATCTTGCTAAAGGCTTAGGCCTCATTGGGTCCATTTTGGGATTTGGGAGCTTTACCAAAGACTCAACGGCCATGTCCTCAGAATCAGACTCTTTGGACTCTATCTTATCCTCCTGCACTTCTTCGTCTTTTGTGTCAAACCCCTCCACTGCACATGATATGTGTTCCAATGAATCAGTCGCACTCTTGAGACTATCTTCGTTGTTAGGAGACTTCTTCTCTATGCTCATACTAGAAACTTCACCCACTATAAACTCCTCGTCATCATCGTCCCAAAGAAAGTCCATTTCATCCACAGAAGACACTCTTGGCTCGGGCTCTGATAAAACCCCAGAATTGGTATTTGTTTCAGACTTAAGCCTCAAGCTTTCCTCACAAGTGTTCTCTGCCTCATAATCATTCTTGCCATCTTCTGTCTCCTCTTCAAGAGACTTGATTGGGTTTTCATCTACACAGGCTTGAGCGTCTTCTATATCTTCGCTGTTTTCCTTCCTTTTGCTACTTTCTCGAAGATCATTAACCTTCTCACAAATAATGTCTTCGCAATCTTCTTCCAGCACATCTTCCTTCTTACTTCCAATAGAATCGTCGGCCTTCTGAGCCTCATCTTCGATTTCAGGTTTCAAACATCCTTCCTCCTTTTTGGGCTTGAAAAGCAACCCTATTCCTGATTCATACTCGCTGTCACTTTCGCTCAAGATCTTCCAGAAGTCGTCGTCATCCTTACCAGATCCATTGTTTTTCATGGACTAAAATTTGGCCCTATTTTTAAAGATCTGTAGATCTCAAATAACTCACCTTAGTTACCAAAACAAACCTTTAATTCTAGTATCTAAACAAGTTGTTAGTCATATAATTTAGAGTCCGCCAATCAGCAGCATCTCCTTCCCTTTACAAATCTTATGCTCTCGGGCCTTACTGTACTTTCATCCTCCATGGGATTCTCTAAGTCTTCCTCAATAAGCCTGTCAACAGCCCTCACAAGGTCCTCAATTCCCTCATGCTTCATAGCACACGTTTCAACATATTCTCCGCTGTGCTTCTTGGCCTTTTTGGCCCCCATCTCTTTATACCACACTCGCGTCTCCTCGTCAGCAAGGTCCTTCTTGTTACCAACTACCAAAATCCTAACTTTACTTTCAAGGCTGTCATTAGCCTTAGTAAGCGTATTAATCCAGTGATCTATCCTCTCAAAGGAAGCCTTGTCCTTCATGTCAAAAACTATAATCGCAAGGAAAGAGTTCCGAGTGTAGTTTGGTATAATCGAGTTGAACCTTTCTTGGCCGGCAGTGTCCCACAATTGAAGACGAACCCTATGTCCACTAACTACAATGGTTGTACTAACAAAGTCCAGTCCGATCGTGGGTCCATATGACCTTTGCACCTCTTGATGCAGGTACTGGGACATTAGGGTGGTTTTTCCGACATTAGAGCTCCCCAGAAACACTATTTTGTAGGTAGACCTCATTTGAATCCCTGCCCTTTTTGTTTATTTTTATACACACACAAATACAGAAAGCCTTTGCTTTGTTTTGGGAATTTGTTCGATGCCTGAGACGAGGTACTTTGTGTTTTCGCCTGTTAACCAGTCCCATAAGATCTATCCCCAACCCTGTCAATGTTTCTTAAGAAGCTTCTTGCAATAGCAACGAAGAGCGAAACACTAGTGCACACCACAAGTACATATGCAATGTATGACACCACATTCGAAAATAAAAACGCCACAAAGCTTGTCTTTGCACAATCTCCGGAAGCCTATTCCTTTTTAAAGAAGATAAAGCATGACACAATAATCGGTATTTATAAACTGAATGTAGAAAAGAAGTACCTGGTGACAAGAAGACTATTTCCCTTTTGCTCTATGTTCAGGAAGGAGGCCAAGGAGTTCAACAAATACATATTTCTCAAGATGGCGGAGGCACTAATGTTTCTCCATGACCAGTGTGGTACGATCCATAGAAATATTGTGAAAGACTCTCTATTCTTCAGTGAGGAAGGCAATATAGTCCTCGGAGGATTCGAGAAGAGTAGGAAAAGTGGTACATTTGATGAGGATAGCATGATGTTTAGTAATCTTCTGAATGAACTGGTGGGGATTGATGTAAAACTTGAAGACTTTGTCAAGAATAGAGGGTTCTGCTCAGACATATTCTTTGATCTAGAGATTGCATTCTTTGGGTACAAGTCCTTCACTGCTGAGCAGAAGCTAGACTTTATTTCGAAGACAAGGAAGAGTAAGGACGAGTTCATAGATATTCATAAGAGAAGGATAGCTTGGATGGTTCTTGGAGACATAAGTACAAATGCTCAGAAAGACTTCAAGATACTGGGTGCTGACTTTATCTTGTGTCTTGACGTCCCCAACATGGAAGAGTTTCTATCTCCGCTATTCTCCATACTAGACACGGACGTGAGGCTCTACCTTCTTAGAAACCCCGAGAAATATATAGGCCGAGTTACTTCTTTGGATCCCATAATAAAGAGTCTGTCTCTTGGAATCAAATGTAAGGACAAGCAGCTCAGGGAGGAAACAATCGTGTTTGTCAAAGAGAACGTATCAATGATATCTAAAAAGCAACAATCTGAGATACTGGAAACAATGTGTGAGTATGTGTCTGACGATCAAGGGATGCATTCCGTCCTTAAGTTTCTTCATGACGTAAGACCTATCTTTAAGAAGACAGATGTTGTTTATAGAATCCTCTGCAAATACCTAATTCAATCAAAATCGAAAGTGCAGGTTCTTCACACAATGGAGATTTTTTATGAGACCTTTGACAACTTCAAGATGACCGCGGAGCTTCTGCCGCTCCTCTGTGGGTATTTATCTAACAGGCATGCTCAACCTGCAGTATTTTCGCTTATAGAAAAAATCCTAGCACACCTCAAGGAGCATAAGACGGAGATAATAGATAGGGAGTGGAAAATAGGGAGCATTAAGAACATCTTCAGGTTTAAATCCTCGGCACATCAAGGAGCAGTGTGTGCTGAAAATGGTGAGGCACAGTTGTCAAAGCCCCAAAATGAGTCGAACAGAAAACATGAAGAGTACGACAACGATCAGAGTGATGGATGGGATGATCCATGGTAATAGAGAGGATAGGCTCCATAAGAGAATAAATATACAAGTTGAATTTATTGTGTAAAAGGCTGGGATGAATAGACGCCACAAAGTGACGGCGTACCTCCATTGACTTGAAAGTAGCCTCAATTCTCTTCGTCGTACATTTCTACGTATTTCGAAAGACAGATGAGGGGCATCCTGTCTCCCTCCCCATTCCATCCCTGCTCAAGTATTCTCTTTTGCTCATCATTATATCCAAGATGATTAAATAGCTCACCTACAAAGGGCATGTTGGACTTTATGAGTCTTTGAGGATAGGTCTTCAAAGGCCCTAGGAACAGAGTTGCTATTCTGTCTTCATGTCTAACATAATGTTTAACGCATAGTTTATAGACAATTGGAAATCTCTCCGAGTCGAATGTCTGTGTGCTTCTGTGGAGATAATAGTGTTCAAAGAGGGGCCCTCCGCAAAACGAACACTCCTGTACAGACAGAAGGTATTTTATAAGTGGCTTGTGAATATTTCTTTGAATTTTCAGGTTATTTCTTATGAGATGCCTCGAGCAAGTTTCCTTGAGCGTAATGTCTCCGATGCATTCAATAGAGTCCTTTGAGGCAAAATCGCATGACAAGGCTGTCAGCTCTATCAGAAAGGGAAGCTTCAAGATTTCTAGAGGAATGTTCTGAATTCTGTTGTTAGAGATGTTTAAGTATTTCAGCCCATAAAGCCTCCCTATTACCGATGGAAGAGTAGTAAACAGGTTGTCGTCTATATGAAGTGCATTCAGGGCCTTTAGTGCCGAGATTCCTCTTGGAAGAGTAGACAACAAGTTTTGAGATAGGTTGAGTTCTCTAAGATTCTTAAGCAGCCCAATTTCGTCAGGCAGGCTTTGTATTCTGTTTTTTGACAGTACCAAGACCCTGAGATTTGTCAGGCATCCTATCTGCCGCGGAAGCCTTGTTAGATAATTGCAGCATGCTTGCAGAACTTTTAAGTCTCGGATTTCTCCTATGCCCTCCGTTATTTCCACAACAAATTGCCTACACATATAAACCTGGTTTCTATCCTCCTTTGGATTGTGGCGTATAATGGTCATCCTCTCCCCGCTTGCCAGTATTTCCCGGGCCGTTTCTTCCCTGTTGACAACATTGTGGTATATGTCTGTTTCCTTCCCTGTTATCTCTTCTAGTCTAGGCGATAAAGGAAGGTGCTTTAGAACCAGCTTCTCAAAGCTGGCAAGCGAACTTGCTAGATGAATGCTTGGATAAGTCTCTTCAGACTTCGACACTTTATATGGAAACACGTGGTCTTCGAGGTTGTACAGTCTTAAAACGCCCGGGGCACTTGGGTTTGATCTGGCGATGATCGGGTCCTTGCCAATATTACTCGCTGCATTTCCCATGCTGTCCGTTACTCCTTTGGAATTTAACGTTGTGTTGTTTGATATCCTTGACACAATAAGTTTCCAGTCTTCAAATGCGGCTTGCAACTTGGAAACAAGTTTCATCGGCTGCATATTTCAGGATGCAACAGGATTCATCTACCCGGGTTGCTAATGTGCAGGCATTGCTATTTCGATGAAAGGAAGAAAAGGCATTTATTTGTTAATTTGAAACAATCGTTGATATGGAAAAAATAAAAGGAGGTTGAAACACTGCAAATAATGACAGAGGTTACAAGTGCCGATTATTCTAAGCAAGGATACCATGAAATACCAAAGATTGCGTATGCCACCCCCATCAATTGGCTTATACTCTCTGATAACAAAATAAGAGAGGTTCCTGAGAGTATAAAGGAGCTCAAGACCCTAAGCAGGCTTGCGCTGAATGACAACAGAATTGAAGAAATCCATCCCGGCATAGGCTCCCTTGTAGGCCTCACCTGGATCGATCTGACTAGAAACAGGCTTAGAACGCTGCCTGACGAAATGGCAAATTTGAAGAGGGTTTCCGGGCTCGGGCTAAGCGAAAACAACTTCTCTGAAATCCCAAAGTGTATATTCAAGATGACAAATCTCCGGAAGTTCGGCTTTTTTTCAAATAAGATCAGGGCCATTCCAAAAGACATCAGGTTTCTTATAAATTTGATCAAAATAGACTTATCCAACAATGAGATTACTTCTCTCCCAGATGAGTTTTGCGAGCTGAAGAATTTAAACTGGCTGAATCTATCAAATAACAAGCTCCAAAAGCTTCCTGACGGAATCAACAATCTGGTACGGTTAGAGGAGCTTGGGCTTGGAGCAAACAACCTCACCGAACTGCCAGACATGAGCAATCTGAAGAAGCTGAGAATACTTCCGGTCTTCAAAAACCAGCTTACTCGAGTAAACCAAAGTATAGCCCGCCTCAGCAGTATTGAAAAGCTAGACTTCAGTGATAACAATATTACAGAATTTCCCGGGCATGTAATAGGCATCCAGTCGCTAAGATATCTGAATCTGAAATCAAACAAAATTTCAAAGATAGACCCAAGCACATTCAAAAACCGGATATCATCTGTCTCAATAATAGATGTGAGTGACAACCTCCTCAGCTGCATTCCTCTGAAGTTTTTTAAGACGTTCTCAAATGTTACTGTAATAAGGGTTGGCGAAAACCCCTTTGTCTACCACGAAAGCAGGCCTGCACCTAATCCAGGCCTGACAGAGCTATGCTACAACATATGCCTAAACATGCAATACAAATGTGAAAGCTGGATAAGAAAAAGATATCCAGACGTAAAAAGCTGCGATGCTTGTAGCAAACTGTTTACTACACAGCCACATTTGGGATATAGCCTTAGCTCTGTCGGCGATGGAAGCACCTTTGTTGTCGAGAAGATGCTATGCTCCTACAGCTGTTACAGAAATGAATATAAATAAAGATTTAATGCATTCTTACTGTAGCTATATCATACGTCCTAAAGAAATCACGCTTAGCACGTCCTCAGAAATTGGATAGAATCCGTTTAGGTTGAATCTTTCATTAGATATTTCCCCCGCCCGAGCATTGAGTACCGTTTCACATATAAGAAACAATGTTTTGTCATTTTTTTTGATTATCACCTTCCCCTCGTCTATTTGATAAGGCTCCTTGTTCAGAGACATGGTCTTGAGCCTCGAGCATATCGTATAGAATTTGTTGAATGTGATCTGATCCACCTTCATTGAATATGTTTCGTAGATGTATTTGACCTTAGGCTCGTTGCCTAGGCCCGCACATACAAGGCAAATTGAGGAGATAAAGAAGTCTGTATTTCTTATGCTTACCTGCCCAGTGTTCAGAAAGTATATCATGGACCCTACGAATGTTTTGCTCTTAACGAGTTTTGTCTTCGAGTCTTCATCTAGATTGATTTCCATAAAATAATCGGTAAATTCTTGAAGCAATCTCTTGCTGTTATGTGCTAGCTGGATTTCAACATATTCTTCCATGCTGCCTTTGTATTCTAGAAGCAAGGGAAGAAGTACATCCACTGGCATTTTCATGTGAGATAAAAAGTACAGCATTGGAAATGAGATCTCGAAATCTAGCACCTGGCTAGAAAAGTATGACGAATGCTTTGAGTGCGCATAGACTAGAAGTTCTGCATTCGACTTTGGACACATCAGAGGAATCTTCTCAGTAAGGTAGGGCTTCACCACCTCTATTATCATCAGTATCTCTTTAACATTGCTACTGGCTAATGCCTTGTTTATTAATAATTCTGCGTATTCACTCAGGTCAGCTTTTCCCCGGAGATACGCCAAAGCAGATGGAATGTCTGTTTCTATAAGCCCTAGAGTTCTTTGCTTGGGAATCTTTCCTGAAAAAAAGTATTCTAGATAGAATCTCCTTCTTTCCTCGCATTCAGGAAGCTCTGCATTTTCCTCCTTCATTCTTTCGGAGTTTAGACTCAGAAAAGTAGTTACTCCCTTAAAGGACTTTATATGAAAATAAAACTCCCACGGGAGGTTGCATTCATTCAACAACTCAACATACGCCTTCCTTTGGCTGGTAAAAATGCCTTTGAGTGCAAGCTTGACAAACTTTAAGAGGCATTCTGCCTCATGTCTTGTCCTTCTGGAACCGTTCTCTTTATTTTCTTTTGAACCTTCCGCAATCTTAAGCAGGGAGTCCTTGTGAAGCAACATCCCAGATCTGAATATGTTGAAAACAACCTCCCTAACCTTGTGGCTTGTATCGAGAATCCTCTCATAGATGTCCAGTGAATGCTCGACAACATCTTCAAAGGAAATTCTTTCTAACAATGCCATGCGGACATCCTCATCGCAATCGTTGACAATCCTATAAAATATTTCTTCATGACCCGCACTGCAGTTCTCGGCCAGAATCTTGATTACCTTCTTGTCTCTATCACCGATGTAAAAGCTACAAAGCTTTTCGAAGTTCTTTTCAGACATTGCTGCAGTTAGGTACTTCAATTTTCCTTGTCCCTTGATGTTTCTTACACATAGACATTCTTTTAGAGTAAAGCTTGAGTACACGTCTGCATATACTTTGTCCTCAAAGCTTTCCATTAATATAGCAACTGCAGGCATCGAAATCTCCTTTGTAACCTCAATTACAGTGTTGAATGTGGGGTCCTTGGGTATATGGAGGAGTACAGCCCTGACTACCTCTCTTACAGAGTCTTCAGTTCCTTCCTCTATCAATATAATCATAATCTCCTTCAGATACTTCTTTGCAGTTCCGCTAACTACCTCCGTCAACCCCGCTAACTTGGAAATCAATGCTTTATCTGTTAGCAAACTGGGAATTCTATATGTGATGAAGGTTTCCAGATTTATCTTTTCCTTTGGAAGAGTCTCCACAAGCAATCTAAAGAATCTCTGCTTTTCTTCTCGGCTTAAAAAGCATTTAGGTGCATTTATCCTTAACACCTCAATAATGCCAAGTAATGTGGCAGGAACTTCTCTCCGAAGCTCCATATTTTTCAACAAATATAGCAAAACATCCTCCTCAACACAGGATCCTTGAGGAGCCTCCTTTAGCTTTAGATACATCTCGAATGCCTTGTTCTGAGCTTCTACTCTTTTTGCTCTCTTTAGACTCTTCATAGGGGCTTGTGCATCTATCTAGATCATTTACTACGTCGTTAACCCCAATACAGGTGAATGGCGAATCCTGAAGACTTGAAAAGACTCTATGACTCCTTCTCTCTCCCAGGAGCTTCAGTATACCTTAGAGAGGAAGAGGTGCTTGGGATAAAGTCATTTATACATTCCAAGAAGCCTGTTCTTCACATCTGTGGAAGTCCAGGGACTGGGAAGACGCATGTCACCACACATACCATAGAAAAGCCTTTTCTTTACATAAACTATTATAACGAGAGCAACATCCTTGCAAAGATAAAGAGCAGCAACGCTCCAGTAGTGATCATTGACGAGTTCGATAAGTATTACAATGAAAGAAGAAATGAATGCCTACAGGCCATGTATCATTTAAAGGATAGGCAGAAGCTCATAACGATATCTAACGACCTTAGAATGCCCGGTGATGTTTTGTTTTTCAAGCCATATACCCCGTCTGATATGGAGAGGATCCTGACTTATAAAATCATAAAGGAAGCCAAGACGGATGTCCTAAGTCTGACAGCCATAAGAATTATATCCAGAAGAATCGGACACTCTGGAGACCTGAGACAGCTCTTCAGATATGTTCAAGAGGTTGTGGGGAGAAAAATAATAGAAGGGAATGGGATAGAAATAGGTCCTGAGGATGTATCTCCCGAAAAAGAAAACGCAGAGGAAACTCCAAATAACGTGCACCATAACATCATTAGCTCTCTTATTGTCAAAAGCAAGAGAGCTTCAAGAATGGAAGTGTATTCGAAATACCTCAGAGAGTGCCAGGAGATGGGAATTCCTTTCTATGACAGAACAGATTTTAATATTATATACGACATATACGCCTGATAGCATTACGATGTCTTTTAGAAATTAAATAACCATGAGATCTTCGATGCAGTGATAGTTGTACGGGGTCGGCCAGTGCTCTGTAGAGTATGTCTTGACAAATGTGACTCCATCGCCAAAAGGTCCCATAAGGAAAAGAGTATAGGGTGGGCCTAATGTGTCTATAAGGTTGGTTACGACACCTCTGTCATAGGGAGACCTAAGAAAGGGTGTGCCCTGAAGCCTACTGATATCTTCTTGCTTAAGCTCCTCGATGAAAGTCATATTCATTAAAGCAAGTCTCAGTTGTAGATAAAGAAAGAAAGATGTCATTATAAGAAACACAAGCGATGATATTCCGGACAGCACCAGGAGATAGTAGTCCTTCTTATGTCTAAGATATCTATCGAAGAGCAGAATTGCCCCAAACTCCCCGCATACATATGCAAATATGAGCAGGTTTGCCAAGGCCGTAAAGAACAGAAATCTTATAAAGTGGCCTTGATTATCGTAATTCACGCAGTTGTTTATCCAGAAGCAATGATGATCCATCTTTCTTATGCAATGCCCACAAGACGAGCAATGGTGGGCTCTCTCCGGCTTGTAGTTGTTGCATTTTCTACAGAATTTCTTTGTATTATAGTGGCTCACTAAGTTAACTGTTTCTATATCGTACTTGACATGACCTCTGTAAACTATGGAAAGTGCCAGGTAAATTATTGAGAAAATGCTCGAGAGTAGCAGAAGAGAAAGATAGGTTCTCTTGAATGCAAAGTGGGTGGGAAGGACTATTTCGGACACTGGTGCCGTGTATGTAAACATAAGCGAGGAAATCAGTAATATCATTCTAGAATTCAGTCTCACCTTACCCATCTAAAGGGTTTATTTATTTGTGTTTTTAGAGTGGGTTATAGGATAAGAAAAGGCAGAATGAAACCTGCTTCAGAAAGAGTTTGATTATTGCATTTAGACGATCCGGGTGTGAAGATCAACCAGCTCCTTGTAATCTTCAGCCCAGAAAGGCCCCTGGAGTTCGTATGAGTAAAGTATCTTTTTTCCTTCTCTTATTGCACGTCTTTTTTGAAGCCTTACAGAAAACAGTATTCCGTTTTCAAATTGATTTTCGGATAGAATGAATGGAATGGAGAAAGATGGTGACATCGGGATGTTGATTATGTAGTCAAAAACCAGAGCCACTTCAATTCCTTTGACAATTAGAAAGGTCCCCTCTTCCTTGAATTCGATCTCATTTTTAATCAGGTCCTTCTTCATTCCAGAACTGGCTCTCAAATATGAATCAAACAATAAAAAGTCGTTTTTAAGCTTCATGTAGAATCTGATGTTGCTCCTTTTGTACTCTTTGAAGACAGACTTGGCTGCTATCAGATATTCTGAATACATTTTCTCGAAGAGCTGGGATCCATCGTTCTTCGTCTCAACTTCAAATGGAAACTTATACATTCTCCTTTCCCCGACCTGTATTTCCTTATCAGCCACTAAGGCCATCGATGTAAATATTCCATAGGGCATCTTTCTACTTTCAGTCTTAGGCTTGGCCTTGGGCTTCAGAAGAAGCTCCTCAAATATACTGTCTTCTATCAGACTCTTCTTTGATGGAAGCTCTTTACAGCTTACCTCGCTCTTCTTGTACAGTGATTGAGATAAGACATCAAATGGATTATCGCTTATTTTGGACAAAGCATTTATTCCTACATTCGTTCTGCATTCCCTCTTAGCATCTTGGCCACCTTTATCTATTGCATAGGGCATACAGGTACCTTTCTTGCCCATGTCTTGTTCCATGTTTTCCATCTGATTACGAATGGTTGTGTCTAGCTATATCTCCTTTATTGAAAATTTTTACTGAATCCAGAGGCATGCCAGGATTAGTAGCAGAGATACTGGGGGACTATGGGACCATATTGCAGAAAATAGGCCTTTTCCTGAGAAGAAGAAATGGGAGTACAATAGAATGCATAGTTCATGGTGCGTCGTTGACACACTCCCAGGCGATTCATGGCCTTTCGCTGATGATACAGCGCAGACTTGTGAAGTATTTTCAGTATGAAAAGAAGGTTTACTATGTGCTGGACACAAACATGGCATACAGAAGGATGTATTTTGGGATTTATTGCAGTCTTGTTGAGGATCTTTTTGGAGAAGAGGCTTCTAGGGAGTTTATGAAGATACTGGTGAATGGGTTTACCAAAGTGGATGGATCTTTGCAGGGAAGTGCTGAGAAGCTTGTTGATACAGGTGTAGTCATCTCAATAGGCAGGAAGGAGGCAAGCATATTGGTTACAGGATCAAGAGACCTAGGGGAATATATGGCAAGAGCCAAGCAAGATGAGGAAATGCACAGGAAAAGCAGAAAAACGGCTGAGAAGCCAAGGTTTTACATCATCGACTTTGATGCCTTGCATTCCATGATGATAAACAGTAGACTTCTGGCTCTTGTCAAGAAAAGATATTTGTCAAAGGCTGAAAGGATTTACAGATCCATCCTCAGATGTAATTTAGTAACTGTGGATACCATAATGGGGGACCTTGAGGGTGAAATGGACATCACCAGAGGAGACGTTGTCTCATGCATCAAATACTTCAGCAACTATGGATTGCTCAGGAAAAGCCTAGATTGTACAGAAACCTATTTCAAGGATGGAGATGACATAAGGAAGATTCTTGTGGTAGACTCATTAAACAGGATTCTCTCGGAAAACAGTAAAGAGGCACGGAGGATCTTTAACATGATGCTAGATTACAAGGCATTGGAGGACAAGGACATTGTGGTCAAGTCTCTTGTTCCTTCACATGTTGTCAAGAAGGCAATTCTTATGCTCCATTCAAATGGATTTGTGGTGCTAAAGCACACTGGACCGGGAGACACCAAACCTGTGCCTGAATGGCAAGTAGATATTGACCGTGCATCAAGGATTGTAGGCGAAGAGATCAAGCGGGAGCTAGAGAAGTCGTGGGCGCTAATAAACCAAAGATGGCGACGTATTGGAAGCGGTGGCGATGATGAGGACGGGGGAAGCAAAGAACTTAGCAGGATGTTGGGCCTATCATTGGACTTTTTTGTTCTTGGGATTCAAAATATAGCCTTCAAGACTGAGATATTTTGAAATTTTTGAAGATCATTTCGACGCCCAAAAACAATGGTCAAAAGCTTGGAAGAGGCACTTCATCGGATATCTGAGCTAGAAGAAAAGATAGAAAACCAGCAGATAATAATCAATGCTCTTGTGACACACACAAAGAATCTCATGAGAGGTGATAAAAGTACGACCTTGAGGAGGGATTACGGAGAGCAGGAGAGAGATGAGGCTAATGGGGCTGTTTCCCAAGACATGGCACGGCTTGAGCTTAGGAAAGGAGAAGAAAGAAAGAGCAGAGAGAGCAACATACCTTTTGAGCAGGAGGTTGAGGACCTATTCAGGGGAGATAAGGTATCGAAGCAGTTCAAGGATGCCTTTACAATTGACTCTCTCCTGCTCTACTCCAGGGAAGCGCATAGCTTTTCATTGAACACCAGAACAGAGGCGAAGATGAAGAGGTCCTTCCATGTGAATGTTAAGCAACAGATTGACAAGATTGTAAGGCATATGATGGTGAACTTGAACATATATGATCTCAACACTATCTGCTCAACACTTAACCTGATTTCTGGGGATGTGGAGTACCAACACAAGCTGGTGATTGCCCATGACATTATTCTCTTCATAGATGATTTTTCAAGGATACCATTCATCGTCTCCGCCCTATTCAACAACCAGGGAATCCGTGACGATGTGTTAGGAAGCACTATAAAGGAAATTCTGCTGCACCAGTGTATGGTCGACAGTGACATTAACAAGAATCACCCACACATTCTAGGGTACTATAACAAGATAATCGACAATTTTGAACTCCGCTCAAAAGAAAAGTCCTTGAAGGATGTATGTGCCAGGCTGATAGGGAACTTCAATGTTTTTGAGGATGGTGCCTTCAACCCTGCAATATTCCCAAGCATGTATTCCATAAGAGCTCTGTGCCACTACATGGACTGGGACTACACATACAACGAGTTTATATGCTCTGTCTTGTATCCAAGGCTGAAGGAGACCCGCGATCCTTTGTATGCAGTTTACATGTTTACTGTTGTATTTAATGCGCTGCGTGTGTTTGGACACATTGAAAGTGTCGAGCTTGTATTTGAAAAGCTCAAGGAGTTTATGGATGATGGATCCGACCTTTCTGTAGTTTCCTATCTATTTATCAAGCAGATAGATCCTGAAAGGGCCAATAGATGGTATAGATCCCGGATGGGCAGCATCAAGCATGTTGATGGGGAGTATCTGAGGAGTCTGCTGCTGTATTAATGCGGAAATAAAGCTTTTGGTGTGATCTGAAGTGTAGAAATTTTGTACCCTTAGAAGATGAACAAGGAGGCTTTTGAAAGGCTTCCTCAGGAAAAGAAAAAGATTATAGAAACGGCCTATTTCAGTGCTGTTCGGAAGGAGATATCTGCATCGCAGTTTTTCGGTGTCTGTAAGGAGGCGCTGACGAAGGAGCAGTTTGAGAGTCTGTTTTCAAATAATACGCCGAACAGAGAACAGCAGGAAGAAATGAAGACCGAGCATCTTCAAGATATCATCCAGTACTCTGGAGTGGACCTGAAGGAAGAAGCCGAGCACATTGTTCGGGAGACGGAAACAAATATCAACTTCGGAGAATACGACGAAGAAGACACAAATGAGCAGATAGGGAGCCTGCTGAATGTACCTCTGTTTAGAGAGTTTGTGGCTAGAATTGGTAATTCAAGAAGAGTCGGAATCAGTGAGGAGTCATTTTTCCTTCTGTTCCAAGTTGTTAGAAGGAAGATACTGGACATTGTAGAGAAGATGGAAGAGTCTAGTAAATGGAGAGTTGAGTACAATCTGTCTGAGTTTATAATAAGGATAAACAATGACCTCAGCAGGCAACTATGGTGTCTTGAGCAGATAGAAAAGGCTGAGCTTGAAAAGTTTACTATTAGGAGAGGAGAGGAAGAAGGGAAAAAGAAGGTGAAGAAGACTATTCAAGAGAGAGAGGACCTCGTCATTAAGAAAAGGCTAAGCAACACGGTTGCCCTAGCGGCCCTTGGAGTGCAACAAAAGTCATGGATGAATGCGGAAGATGTTCGAGTTAACGAGGAAAGCACTGCATTCAATTCTATCTATTCCCCATTTGACGAGAAGGCTCTAGAAAGGAAGGTAGCAAACAGAACAATAACGATGAAGGATCTTCTTTATGTATTGGAGAGAGATAGGAGATATAACAAGTCCATCTTCACCATCCAGCATTATTTTAGATGAGGAGTCCTTTTTTGAGTAATTTTATATCTGTACTTTGCTTTATAAACGAAGCCGGGACAGGGATTAAAAACAAGCAGAAGAATGGACAAGGACAGTCTGGAGAAGTTTCAAGCACAGATCTCTGTTTTATCGGCGAAAGAGATCGAAAAGACCATGAAGAGGCTGAGCAAAGATGAGTTTGACATGTTTATAGATGTTTTAGAGAACTACAACATGGACTTGGCAAAAGATCTTGAACAAGCAAGGAATGACATGAGGCAAAGGCTGGAGAATCACAAGATGCTTTTTGAATGCGTTTGGGACATAATTCCTGGCGATGTTAGAAGACATTTAATGGGATACTACCGAACGATGAGCGATATTCTATAGAAAAGCTTCTTTTGCCTGAATAATAGTAAATGCTTTCTTGATTGTATTTTTGGTGTTTGGATGTATTAAAGCCCTAAGGGCAAGCCCTACAACATGGAGGATTATGTTGGGACAAGATTGTTGTTCGAGACGTCTAATGGAGTGATAACTGGAATGCTTAAGGCTGTTGATGAGAATGTTGGAAAACTGGTTATAGAGGATGAGAGCGGTACAAAGGATGTGTTCGTTGAAGATATTCAGAGGCTAGAAATTGTGGGGGACTCTTCTCCTGATCTTTCTGTAGAATGTAAGTCTAGGGAGGATAAGAGGACTGGCGCTCCAATCCCATCCATCAAAACAGACGATAAAAGCGTTGCAAAGGTCTCTCGATCTCCCTCCATGGGCTACGCTGATTTGAAGGCAGGTACCGACCTGACGATCCAAAGTGAAAGGCACAAGAGTAGTCAAACAGATACAAGTAGAACAAGCCATGAAAATGGTGATAACACTCGGTCCTCTGACAAGATTAGAGTTGGAGAAAGAGGAGATAGGCATTTGTTGGAAACCTGTGAAGAGAATTACTATGGAATGATTAAGAGAGCATTCAGCTATTTTGGGCCTCTTGAGGAAGAGTTCTGCTCGATTGCAGCCCGTCAAGCATACCGGATATTTTCTACATACTTTGGAAGTTCAAATCTAAAGGTAGAGGTGCTTGTGAGCGGAGACGACTTCTTTTCAAGCATAGGGCTTATTCTTGGAAGACTACTTTTACACTCTGGAAAGAAGTCATCTGTTGTATACAATGAAACCGCCTTGAGAAATGCAAGATATAAGCAATCATACCTGAACTCAGGAGGAATCATTTCCAGTAGGCCTAGTCTGGAGCCAACGATACAAATATACGGATGTGGCAAGGCATTGATTTCTACGTGGCCCAAAGGTAACGCAAAGGGACTTATGTATTTAGACACGCCTGGGTTTAGTGTCGAGGAGAAGGAAACGAAAATAGGCCTGTGCTTTGGATCAATACCCATGTACTTTCGGGAGTTTAACGGGATAGTGTACTTTGTTGATATAGAATATCCGACGCCTCTCTACAAGGAGTTTGGACTTCAGAGGCCCACAAAGGGTAAAATTCACAAAGTAAAGTAGAACACTTTAATTTTCGATGAAGTCGTCGAAAAACTTACTCACACACAGAGAAGGGTCTTCACCATTGAGGTGATAGACATTCTTAAGGTCCTTGCTTTCGATATTAAGAGATCTGAGATCCAAGATACCATCTACACTGAGCATCTCAAAAGCCTTTTTGAGTTCTGAAGGATCAAAAAGGGTGCTGTGCATCTCTTTAACTATTAAAAGATAATCTTCTAAGGATATTCTGCCCTCTGGATTGCCAAATGGAACCATTCCCTCATCTATCGAAAGGCCTAGCTGGCTTAGGCACCAGCATAGGTCTGACGAGCTTATCCCACACTCATCCTTCTTCAGCACCTTGTTGAACAGGGAAGTAGCACTCTCAAGAACCTTCTCTTCCTTGCTTCTATTGTCATGAGCATTCCTCAAGGCTTCGAGCTTCTTTGACGCAATGCTCTTGAATCCCTCCTTCTGAACCTTTGCCAATGGGTGAGTGAATGTAATTTCCATCAGCTTATTGGTAAGCTCGGAAGTGCTCTGGATCTGCTCTTTTACATCTTCTCCCTTTAGGAGCATGTGCTTGAAAAACTCAAATATCCGATTCAGGGCATCGAGCTCCGACTGAAAAGATGGATCGAATAGCTTCTTGATCTCAATGCTGTCGGCAACTGTTTGAGGCTGCAAAGGAGGGAACAAAAGCTTATCCAGAGACACATCCTCTGGCGGAGAGTATTTTTTTATTCTGTAGAGGTCATGGATTGCATTTATACTCCCTAGAAGGGAATGAAGCTCAGTAGATTCGTGGATGGCCTTCGAATTTGTCTCCAGCATCAGATCAAATGATTTGTTGAGACTTCTTATGATCTTGCATACCTCCTTTTTCTGGTTACTCAGGCTTTTTATCAAAGACAGCAGGTTTCTTGCCTTTATCTCATAAAGGTTTCTAGCCTGTATCGACCAGTCAACAGTCTCCAAAATTCCCTTGATCCTATCGCGTGCAGACTTTTCTCTTTCGTACTCCTTGAACTTCCTATAGTACCCAGAGACATACGTCATAATGCTTTTCTCGTCGGGAATGGATACCTCTGCTATGTCTTCCACATCAAGAAGCCTCTTGATATTGAGAAACTTCTCGGCAACCTTAAATGCCTGTGTTAGGTTGTATGTCTTCTCAGAACTCTTAAGGCTCTGAAAGTTTGGGACAAGATCTGGCCGAAATCTGTGAATGATTGCATTGAATGCAAGCCCATCCTGCCAGCTCCTTGAAAAATCGACTATATTTACATTTTTGTATCCATTGGTCACTTCCTTACACCATCTAAGCAATTCGTTTCTTATAGAGAGCTCTCCAGCCTCTGCCATCTCTGCAATGGCGAGCCTTGAAATTAGAGACCATATAAGCCCCAGTATAAGCTTTGGGTTTCCGTCAACAATATCCGACGCCCCTATGTTTATAAGCTTGACCTTCTTTTCCTTTATGAAAGAAAGGACTCTCTCCACATTCTCCATTTTTTGGATCCGTGTGTATGGCGTCGGATTGTACTCAACCATGTCCTTCTGAAGAACCATTAGCAAGTGTGCAAGTTTTACTCCGTCACAAAGATCCTCAAACATGTCTTCAATCTCCCCATGGCCTCCTCTTGCCAGCTTCTCGTTCACCCATTTTGTGAATGTCTTTTTTTGAACTTTCTGCCATTCCTTCTCCTCTTGCTGCGTCATCTGGGATAGCCCTCTTTTCTAAATAATATAAAGTTGATGCCTCAGGGTACTTAGGTGTAAATAAGAAAAATAAGAAAGTCACAATATTTTAGTTATGACAGCAGAAGCTACACGAAAACAAGCTCGTGAACAACAACAGCCTGTGGTATAGCCCCGAAGTCCAGTCTATACAGCTCTCTTGTGATGGTTTTGACATGCTCTAGGTCACTGAGTGTTGCAAATGCAGCTTGAGGATGCAGCACTAGGCTAAACAGCCCCAAAAGAGAGTCAATTGTCATTTCTGTCACGTCCGAGTTTTTATCAACCATCCTTAGTAACTCAAAAAGCGAGACAAGTAGATGTCTTTCTGCATCTGTAAATATAAACGGCATGTATGAAAACAATGCTTCTTTTGTACGCCTGTCGTTTGAGATGATACAAGACTTAATCTTCTCAAAGACTTCTATGGGAATCAAGCCGTCCAGATGCTCCCTTATGTAGTTCTTTAGGGCATTGGCCAGCACTAGAACATCTGTACCCTCGATGTCTACACACTTGCTTTCGTGAAGCATGCTTGCTATTCTTGCGGCCTCCAACTTGTCCGGTTCGTAGCGGAAGATGAACTTGGTAGACGTTGCTCTTCTCTTTAGTGATTCGATAACATCGAAGACCATAGGATTGATCAATCTAGAGCGTCCTATCCTGCTTTTTTTCCAGAAGCAATTGACCCAAGCAAAAAGACTGTTGGAGGCTCTTTTTCTAAATGCATTCCAGCAGAACTTGCTAAGCTCTATCTTCTGTGAGGCAGAAAGAAGCTCGTATCTGAATTCTGAGAGCTCCTCTCCAGACTTTACGGAAGGAAAGACCCTTGTTTCCAGCTTCTTCTTTCTCTGTGTAGTCCCTGAGCTAAAAAGCCCCTCGTAAGGTCTAGCATTAGAATTCCGGAAACTTCCTACAGTGTCTTGCATAAAGGCGTACTTCAGGTGGCTGGATAGAGTATGATCGCTTTCGGAAATAGGCTGGAAAGTGACCTGAGGACTGTGGTGATGGTGGCCCGCCGAAAGGGAAGAGTCTGGTTCTGTACAGGCTTCTTCTCTCTTTGCGTGTGTCTCTTCTATCACCTTCATCTCTGCTATGTTAAAGATCTTTCTTTTCTTTGGAAAATCTCTCAGCATCCCGGGGTTTGTTTATATAGGCCTTCATAATACGTATATATAAGCTCAATATAAGATCTATAATTTTACAAAAAGCCTAGCTGACGTAATGCATTAATAGATCCCACCACCGTGGCACCTACCAGGTGATAACATCAGATTTAAAAGAAATGAGCGAAAATTTCTAAATCCCGGTACATGCTAAAACTCCTAAGAAACTTCAGGTTTTTATCTCTCAGGGAATTTTTAGCAGCTTATAGTATCGCAGATCTTCCAGACATAGTAGATAGGGTGTACATAAAAGCAGACAGAAGCCCTCAGATTTCTTCATTTGCAAGTAACCTGAAGGAGATAGAACTGATTTCAAAGGCTGTCAGGGTGCTTCTATCAAAGGATCAGGAAAACCATCTTTGCGCAGGATACAAAAAGTGGAGGTCTGGGTCGCCAGACCCCAGGATTGTATGTTACTCGCCTAGTGTATCCTCAAAGATCCTTAGATCCCACGAGTGGAGCCAGTTGATGAGATCCATTGGTGATGAACTGGTTCTCTTCATACTCATAGAGTGCCTTGTAATTCAAGTAGTCAATGGAAGCTATGTCTTTCTGGCAGGAAACTTCAAAAACCTAAGAAGGGTTGCAATCGAAAGAGACAGCAACACCTTGAGCAGGAATGTGATTTTTTGCAAGCACATTAGAAGAATGGACTTTTGCTCGTCATCTGCTTTCGAGTATGTCTTTGAGGCTCACAGCTCAGAAAAATATAAGACTATACAGAGCGATACTAGAAATGTACTGGAAAGTATAGAAAAGAGATGGAGGAGCTTGCCTATTCATTCGGTTTTCAGGTCCTTCTTCAAGGACGATCTGGCCCTGGAGGGTAAAGGCAATATTTTGGAGTGCTGTGTCAAGCAATCAAAACTTGTAAACTTCTTGTTTCTTATTTCGAGAAAGCTGTTTAAAGACGCCTTCGACTCCCACGGATTCAAAATACTGAAGTCCAGATTGTCTCTCCTTGTCCACAGGAACCGCTATGAAACGATCAACAAAAGTGAGTTGATGAAGTACTTCAGAATCTCGAGGTTTAAATTCTTCAGAACAGTGCGATGCACAAGAAACGAGTTTGTCTTCAGATTTAAGGTATCTTCAAGGTTTCTAGTCTACATCATGGAGAAGATCATCATACCTATTATTTCGAAGTATTTCTATTCCACAGAGTCCTCGTTCTCTAAATTCAAGGTGTACTACTTTCCAAGGATCATATGGCAGTATTTTTCCGACATTTATATTGACAGGTTCCTAAAGAAGTTCGAGGAGGTGGAAAAGAACAGGGCCTATCCATATTCAGAGCTAAGATGCATTCCTAAGATCAATGGTGCTAGGATCATTTCAAACATGTCTAAGACCAGGGGAGGGAGGCCATCGATCAACAAGACCGTCTATCCAGAATTCTGTATTCTGAGGCGTGAAACCCATGGAATGCTGGGGAATTCAATACTAAACCATTCTGGGATGTGTGGAAGGCTTATTCCATATCTTTCTAAGTCTGAAAGGCCCCTGTATATTCTAAAGGTCGATCTTTCTGGATGTTTTGACAACATTCCTCAGGATGAGGTTGTGAGCCTTGTCAAGAGACTCCTAAACAAAAGCAGATACTGCACAAGAACCTTTTCTGTATTGGAGGAGTCGAACGGAGAGCTAAAGAGCAGATACATTTGCAGGGCGGGAAAGGTCGGGGAGACTATCGAGGGGTTGGCGATGGAGTTGAGCAGCCTTAAGAACAAAATTATAAAGGAAAACACTAACCAGAGGATACTGGAAAAGGAAGAGATTGAAAATGTCATAGTAAGCACTGTTAAGAGGAATTATGTGAAGTATAATGGAAGGTTCTTCATACAAAAAACTGGGCTTGCTCAAGGGTCTGTGACATCTACACTCCTGTGCAGCCTGTACTATAAGAGTATTGATGATCTCTATTTCGACAGGATCTTCAAGGAAGGAATACTCACGAGGTACATAGACGACTTTCTTGTGATCTCTCCGGACATAAATGAAATATTGAAGTTTCTGGAGGTGTCCCAATCTATCTCACATCTAGGAATAAACTTCAGCAAGGAAAAGATAGAGTCGAACTTTGGACTAGAGGAGTGCTTGAACAAGGTGTCCAACATCTCTGAGCTTTCCAAGTACAGAGATATCATGAAGATAACAGACAAGCCTGTCAGATGGTGTGGAACAAAGATACTTTCCAACGGATACTCAATCAAGTCATGCACTGTTGATCCATATCTTCCTTTTTCCATGGCCCACAGTTCAACAAGGCCCGGGAGGGCCCTGGAATACAGAATGAGGAAGCTTTTGCAAAACAGGATGTCTAATGTTTACATAGATCCAAACAACAAGAAGGCATATGAAAACATATATGATGCATTTTTATTCTGCGGAAAGAAGATAGGTCTTCTTCTCAAGAGAATGGACTTTGTCAACTGTTCTTTTGCCAAAAGAATCATCGAGTATTCAAAGCGTTTTGCTCTCAGGACCTGTCATGAGCGTGGAATTTCCATAACAAAGAAGAAGATAGAGAGCATAGCATCGAGGGCTTTTGAGCGAAGTGGAATCAACAAAATGATAGAGCTTGGTTGATTTATAGATGCGGGCAACTATTCCTAAGTAAACGTTTTAATGTGAATCTTCTAAGCTTTATCATAAAGAATTCCAGTCGGGGAATCCGTTCAATCAACCCCCAAAATCCAACCTTTGTCTACTTCTGAATCTATTTGGGCTTCTGTCTCTTAACCCGATGCTTAATCTCCTGCTTAGAGGTGAATAGGCTGGTCCTCTTGCACTGCTAGACTCTTTATCGTCCCTGGTGAGCTCCACACTGACTCTATCTGATATTGCTTCAATAGGCCTTCCCATCACATGTAGATTCCTTTCCCCAGGCCTTGAGCGGCAAAGCCATTGGGGCATCATAATGGTAAGGTGGGGCTTGTAAATCCAGTTGTAGACATAATCAATCGACAGCCCCATTTTTCCAACCTTGTACTTCATATTCAGCTTGTCACGGCATGCTATCATCAGCATGTGAGATGGAACTAAGTCTCCGCATACAGACTTGACGGCACATATAAATAGGTCATTTAAACCCAGGAATTCTACAAGCCTCATTCCTCTCTCTTCAAACACAAATGTCAAGAGAACATACAGAATGTCTCTAAGAGAAACGTCGTCAACATTGAAGATGTCGAACAATAAATAAAGCCCATTGAGCAATGGTTTGACCAGAGCACATCTCTTCATCGCTGCTTCTAGTTTCTCTCTCTTATGCGATTCCAGGGAGAAATTCTTGCATAAGCCTTTCTTGCTGAAAAGGAGCCTTGCAGCAATTCCTCTATACATGCTGTCAAGAAGACACACTATGTATCTATCTCCATGATATATAGATATTGCAAACACATTAAATGATAGAAATATCCTCATTCCCTCATCAATGTTCTGTAGGAGAAACAATGTTCTCAGCATCTCCTCGCTTGTTAGCCCGGATCTTTGGACAGGAGTAAGTCTGGAGGGTCTAAACACATCGATCAACCCCTCTACATCTCCAAATAGATTGAAGCTATCTAGAAGGAAGTTGAGAAAAAGAGTCTTATCTACACCATCTATTTGCACCACCAACTTTTCGGACAGTGCTGCAAGCTCCTTTAGAAAGTCTCCAAACCTCAGGAAAAACTGAAGGGAACTCTTAAAGATGCTGTAGTTGGTCCTGATCTTTCTCTCCCATCCGTTGATCTTTGCAAGAATGATGCTCTCCATGTGCACCCTCGCTGCGATGTCACTCGGAGCCTCTTTCTTGTAGTCGTTTTCTTCTTCAGTGCTATACCCAAATGTATCCTCTTCATCCGTCTTGTAGTTTTCGTGGATGCTAATGCACTTTTGTACACACTCCCACGTGCTTACATAAATATAGTTTACGGACATTCCTGCAGTAATCTCCTCATCAAAGTTTACTTCCAAATGTGCTACGTCATTCTCCATTCCGTTATGGCTGCAATTAAAATTGTTTTTGTCATTTTGGATTGCAGAGGCAATTAAATGCATTTTCTGAAGCCATTGAGTTGTGCTGCAAAATAACTAATTTAAGTAGGCTTAGCCTATAGCGCAGTCTTCCCTACTTGGCTAGCGCCCGCTTCTTTGCAGTCAAGTGGATATCAATGCGAATAGGTCTCTCCTCCACAAGTCTGGTGCCACTGCCGCTTCTTGCTTACATGTACAGCTGCATTTGACAATAAACATTGTGCCATCCAGATGTTGTGATTAAAATGCATCTAGGTTCACCCCAGGATGTCCAACTTAGATTTCTGCACCATTTACACAACAACAGGGCAGATTGACCAGCTTACTTATGCGCAGAAGGCGGCAGACTCTGGAGACACCTGTGTTGGGATGAAGAGCAAACATGGCGTGGTCTTGTTAGCAGCAAAGCCTCGAATTTCACCTCTCTATGTGGCAGAATCTGATGAAAAGATAAGAAGGGCCGGAAACTCTGTTGCCGTGGCATGCACAGGAATAGCATCTGATATGTTCTACGTTGGATATGCCATTAAGGACCATGTATTTCATCACAAAGAGAACTTTAACGAGGATCCAACACCTGAGATAATGAAGGTTTATTTAAATGACATATTCCACTACTTCACTAGAAGCATCAATCTCAGGGTTCTGGGGGTGAACTCCCTAACAAGCGTGTACAAGGAGGGTAGGTTTTCACTACTGCACACAGACTGCTCTGGAAAGACACTCTTCTATAAGGCTGCTTGCATAGGAAGAGGAACAAGAAGAATCAAAACAGAGCTTGAAAAACTGGATATTGACAACATGACTGTTGAGGAAATGGTTGATGCCGGTGTAAAGGTGTTGTACATGGCCCACGATCCCTCCAAGGACAAGGAGTTTGACATCGAAATCGGGGTTGTATCTGCAGAAACAGACGGAAAGATGAGAAAGCTCAGGAGTAGCGAAGTACAAGCATTTGTCGATAAGTATAAGCATATCACCATTGACGAGGATTAGGACGGCGGCTGTCTCTGTTACTAACAATAAATCCTTTGCTTTGCCATCCCCTCATGACATCTGTAATAAACTACAGATTTCGATCGAACAAGAACTTTTCTCGGATTCTGTTTCAGGGGACAGGGCTTCCTCTGTGGGAGCTCAAGTATGAAATAATCAACCAGAGGAAGATGGTTTCGAAAGATTTCGATCTCTTGTTTTTTGACGGAGAGACAAATGAGGAAATAAACGACGAGTATCAGCTGATTTCGATGAATAGCCATGTAATAGTGAACAGGATTCCTCTGTGGATGTCCAAGGGCGGATACAACGTTAAAGAGAAGCGACTAGAGTCGCAGGGCCATCACCACAGCACACAGAAGTATAACAAAGCTGTTCCCGAGAGTTATGTGTGCTTCCGATGTGGGCAGAAAGGGCATTATATCCAGAATTGCCATACAAACCAGGATAAGGCATTTGACATCCTAAGAATCAGGAAACCCTCTGGGATTCCCAAAGATTTTCTTGTCCCGGTATCTGGGGAAAGTGTGCCATCCAATGCGGCAATGCTAGTTACACCCGAGGGGGGATATGTCAAAGCACAGCCACAGGTCCAGGAGTGGAAGAAGTATAAGCAAAGGAGTAAGATGACTGTTGAGATTCCGGACAGACTCAAGTGCCCCTCATGCCATTGCTTGCTAGTAAATCCTATGAGGACGAGCTGTGGGCATACTCTATGTGACCAGTGTGTAAGAGTAGACAAAAAGTGCTATGTATGCTCTAAGGTCATTGAGAGCTTTACACAGGATATAAATATGAAAATTGAGGTGGAAAGGGCCATAGAACAGAGAAAATAGTGAAAGATAGGAATTAAAGCTACCTTATAGACCTAGAAAGATTTATCATGTAAAGTTTGTATTGAAATCAATGAGCGGCCAGGGCCTAAAGTATATGCTTGTAAAGAAAGTATTCGAAGAAGGGATTGTCTGGGATTAAATCAACATGCGCAGAATCTTGATCGAACTCTTGGCACTTTGGGCTGGTGCAGTCTGAAAACTCTATGTCGTAATATGCAGAGATATCTTTGACCAAGGACCTGAACTCCGGGATGGATCTGGTGCAACAGCAGAGAATAAGCCTTTTGAGCAAAACATGTGCTCTGTGGATGGGCTGCCTTGTTTTTATGAATAGAAACCTGATGGCCTTTGAAAGCTCGTCATTATCTACAATCTCGGGATTCATCGGATGAACCATTGAATACACCAGGTCCACCAATCCACCGAAGTCATAGCATTCATCTGCATACAGAGTCAGTATGCACGATATCCCCTGAATCTTGGCGTCTGGTGGTACTCTTGAGAGATTATTGTTTAGTAAAAAATAAAGACCTTCCATAAACTCAGGACGAAGGATTTTTCTGTATTTCACAAGTCCTATGAATACATGCTTGTAGCACTCATACTTACTTCCCTTGAGGATTGTAAAGTACAGTCTCTGGATAGCATCATAAATCTTCTTGCAGTTCTTCATTTCCTCTATTCTCTCCTCGATGTCCTCCTCATCCCTCACTTGAGACTGGATCTTCAGCCGCTCTCTTTCCATCTTCTTCAGCTTCTTACTGAATATCTGCTTCCTACGAAATATGCTACCCTTCTCTTTCCTGGATACAGATCTATTGGCCTCCCAATACTCTCGGGCTTTCTCCTCGTCGCTCTTCAGAGAGTTATCCACAAATGGAATGTCTGTTAAGTACTCCAGAATCAAAGGATTGTACTCGAAGTCAAGCATCCGATCCAATATAGTTATAATCATTTCTCCAGAGCAGTCTCCCTTCAGCTTTGATCTTATTGTGTTGCAACACATCACAGATACAGGCCCCTTTCTAAGAGACCCTCTCAGCACACCCGAAACAATCTTATCAGTGCAATTGAAATGGTCGAAATGCTGCAAGACCTCGCATAACGAGATGTAGCTTTCATCAGACATATCGTCGACCATTGCCTTTATGTAGGATGCATACCACCTCAAGAGGTTTTTGTCGTAATCTTTTATGTGCAGGCTGTCTCTTTTGTCCTTCACCACATCCTTCAAGGATCTGACTTTGTACAAGGGAACGATTGCTTTGAACACTTTGAAAAGAGACAGGTAAATAATCCCTCGACTCCTGCTCTCCGCTGTTTCGCTCTCGAGCATTCTGAATATCTCACCTACCATCTTCAGATTCTCCTGCGGCTCCTCTATGATCTTCGTGCATATGGACGCAATTCTTGATTTATGGCAGTCCATTTTATTCATCGGCAATTTCACACAATTTTTATCGGAGCAAAAAGTAGGTCGTTGGAGGCCAAATATGGAAGAGTTTATTATGTTGATTTCTTGACTTCATGATGATCCAGCAGATGGAAAGGCTGCCACCTATGTGTCTTTCTGCCCTCCAGTTGCCTTTGGGCTGTCTATGCTACGTGAGCGCAATATTGAGACCTTTCTAATGTAAATAAAAGGCTTCATTTCTCTGATGCAAAGAATGTCTCCATCGACCTCGTAATGCATCTTCGAAAGACAGATGCAGCTGTCGACCTTGTGCTTCCTACACTTGTTAATGTCACCCGCAAGGCCATTATCTTTGGTGCAGACCACTTTTTTGTCTCTATTTCCTCGCGATAAGTATATCACGAGTGCATCTTCGTTCGGTGTCTCTCCAATCCGAATTTCCTGATCCCCGAGTCTAGTGCTTGGAATGCTGTTCTCCCTAATGTCTTCTTCCATCTCAGGAATCCTTCTCTTAGACTTCGGTACATTTTATCTGTTTTCATATGACGTTTAATAAGGGGAAACCATTCCATTGGATCCAGCCAAAAATACAAAAAATAGCAAGAAGACGCATAGACGGAAGAAAGTGACATTTCTTTGCAAAATTTTACCCAGGATGATTGCAGTGATAGACACAGGGTATCTGATAGAAAGACAGCTTCCGGCAGAGGGGCAGATTAAGGGGTATGTTACGGATTCTGTTGTAAATGAGCTCAAGACGGTGGGATCGAGGGAATACCTCGAGTTTTTCTCCTTCATGATAGAAGTGAGGAATCCTTCCGAGGAGTATGTTGCTAGAGTCAAAAACGACCTGAGGAGAGAAGTAAACAGCCTGAGTGATACAGACATCGATGTTGTGGCATTGACACTGGAGTTGAAAGATGAGATCTCTGAAATGTGGGTAGGGCCAAATAATCCCGAGCAAGAGGAGGTTGTCTGCCTTACAAATGACAATGGGATTAAAAATGCTCTATCTCGGTACAGCTCGTATGAAGGCCCTGGGTTTTCGACTAGGAAATACAAGACTAGATGCTACGGATGCTTTAGTGTTTTTTCGGAGAATCTGGACTTCTGTAAGAAGTGCGGGCTTCGGACACTGACAAGAATAACAGTTGCAGACACAGAAAACGGCGAGGTGATGTTCTTCAAGAAAGGATATCAGTACAAGAAACCAAAAACATTGAAGAATGCTCGGGGCGTTGAACTTCGTAGTGCAGGCCAAAGAGAGTACATCCAACACCAGAAAATGATGAAAAGTAAAATGAATAGAAGTCATAAAGAAATAGGATTCTAGAGATGTTATTGTTTACCGAGATTGATGATTTCAGATAAGAAGAATAAACCCTCCGAGACAATAACACTTTTTATATCGTTTGTAGATATCTTTTCGTTTTCGCCCGAAATTTCTTTTGCTTTTTGAAGTATAAATTCCGAGATGATTCTTACATATTTTGATACAAGCTTTGCCTTTCTTTCTTCATTGCTAAGGTTTATCAGGGGGATAATGTCTGGCATGTCTTGGATGTCCGCCATATTCTTCTTGGATGATTTTCGTTCGTTTGGCTTGATCTTCTTGTAAGTTTCTGACGGCTTGACTCTATATTCCATAGTCAGCCCTAACGGGCATGTTTATTATATTCGGCCTGGCTAAAGGCTATATAGGCGGTGCAAGGCATGTGTAGCTTCCTTCTGGAAAGATGATGCATGGCTAGTGACTATTTTTGGAATTGAAAAGAACCGTTAGATGAAAGAAGCGAAAGAGAGAAACGAGGCTGCTGTCGGAGATGCCACGAAGAGAATTGCATGCATCGGGATGAACTGGGCACATCTGAGCATGAAGGACTTGTTCAAGATCTTCAACTCGGCTCTGCCATACTCATCACCTTTGAATGTGAAGCTCTGTAAAACTAGGATAGGAAGAGAGCGTCTCGGAGATGACAACACTTTTGTCAAAAGCTGTGAAGAGGGGAGCATCAGGGAATGCTATGTTGCCGTTGCAGAGTTTGAGGATGTTGAAGATTCAAAACAAGTATATGCTACCTACGACGGCGCAGAGTTGGGATGTTCTGGAATGGTTTTTGATCTGAGGTTTGTACCTGATTCACTGGACCTTCGGAATGTTTGTGATGAGGTTTCCAGTGACGGCGAGTGGGAGGAAAAGGACTTCCGAGCCCGGGAGAAGGACTCGGATGAAGATAGTGGAATGGGGTTTGAGCTCGAAAGACTATTCAAGGAAAAGGAAATTGACTTTGGCCTTGCTTCGAAGCTGGTTGATGTATCTGACGATGAGGATGTTCCCAGCATCCAGGACGAATTGGTGGTTTCCCCCGACAGTAAGAGAAGCGAGCTTTCTGAGTCGATCTCGGATGACTTCAGCGATGACTTCAATAGAGAGGCACCGAAAAACAAGAAGCCGAAGAAGAAAGAGGCCAAAGTAGAAGACATAGAGCCGATTCCCAGAAGTAAGCCCACGGACGAATGCGATGGGTTCGTGTTTGACCCAAAGGACAAGAGGTTTGAGGCGATATTTGAAGACGATGACTTCGCCATCGACCCTACGCATCCAGAATACAAAAGAAAGGGTGGCTTGAAAGAAATATTAGATGAAAAAAGAAGGCGACTCAAAGACAACATCGACTAAGGCTTCTTCCCAAGCCAGGAATGCTTTGAGGCCCATGCTAATGCAAGTAAACCGTTTATTCTTAGTAGATCTTCAGTTTCTTTACTCTCCAGTGTCTTCTTGCCCTGTTATACTCTCCCCTATGCTCTTTCATCATTCTTTTCCATGCTGGAATTTCTCTGTTTCTCTTCAAGGCTCTCATAAGTCTTGTCTTTACCAAAGCAGTCTTTCTTGATCCCTAAAGTTAGTCTAGAGCTGATTCACCTACCATTTCGTCTGGGGCTCAAATTTTTCTCAAAATAACCTTGATCAGCCGCTCTGCAGCCCAAGGGGAACGGATATCACCTTTTCATCCTCTCTCTGTTCTTACTGTTCTCTCGCATGGCACTGTAAAAGGTACAGAGCCTCTCAATGGTCAGATTATCCTTGAGGCTTTCAAGTATATTACAAACTATCCTTATATTGTTTGGCGTGTCCTTGTCCGTTCTTATCCTGTATAACTTCCACCCACCCTTCTTCAGAACAAGCTCGTCAAGGTCCCAGTAGTATCCATCGCTGTCGTATAGAAACTCGCCTATCTTCCCATCCATTTCTTCGTCCTCGCAGAAGAACTGGTCAAATACAACATCTTTTCCCTTTCTCCCAGTGCAGACCAGGTCATACACGCAGCTCAATCCCCCGTTCCTCACAACCTTAAAGTCTACTGTGTTTATGGAAGAAGGCTTCCACTTAAGAATCACTCCTCTTTTGCCTACAGAGTAAGGCTCATCCGTGGGCGTGAATATTAGCCCGTCATTTCCATGCTTCAGCTCGGGAATCTTTTTGTATATTTCCCAGAAGCCATAGCTTTTCATCATCTCCTTAGTATAGAAATGTATGTACGTGCGATCAAGCCCCTGGGCGCCTGCCTCGATAGGAACCCTTTTCTGCTCAAACCCATCATCCCCCTCCTTCCTCAGAACTCTGGTCCTTTTTGTGGACTCATTCATCCTCTCAACAAACATCTGTGCATATCCAAGTCTTTTGTATAGGTTCTTGGATATCTGAGAAACGCCCTCGTATATCAGGCAGTCGAATATTGCATATGTTGGTGTTGTGCCGTCTTCTAGCAGAATCTCTCCATCCATAAGAACAGGCAGGTCAAATGGAAAGTCCATCTCTAGCTCGTAGAAGTCATTTTTTCTGTCATAAAGGTACCCTCTGAACACATCCTCTTTCTCTGTGACAAACAGCAAGGCCCTTATGCCATCTGACTTCTCGCATACAAGGAAGTCCTCGTTGAGCAAAAGATCGATGTTGTCTGATGTTAGAGATATGGGATGGCATCCAACAAACTTCTCTCTCTTCTTTCCGCTTGTGATCGAGAGTTTCTTGTATATGTCTAGTCTGAGAGACTGTGCAGTCTCTGGGGGAACCTTGTTTCCAAGATGGAAGAGCTCCATTCCCAATTTGGGATCAGATGCAAAATAGCATTTGTGCTTCTGGACGGCACAAAACGAAAAGATTACGGCACCCGGTATTCCCGAGTGGTCTCCCTCCTCAGTACTACCCAGGCTCGCACGGACTTAACTTCGGAGATCTGACGAGTTCCGGTGCTTTTCCGTGGATATGGCCGTAATCAGCTACAAACACATTCGCCTACAAAAACAAAACACAACACTCGCAGCACGGACACATCCTTTAATTATACCTACCCGCTCTCCCTCAGCCTTATATACTCAAGTACCTCAGAGCCGCTCAGAACCTTCTTCTCGTTCAAGCTCTTCATCCTGGAAAATACCTCTGCATCTCCATCTCGGACCTCCTTCAAAGCCCCATCCTCAAGCTCACACTTGTGCGATTCATGCATCCTAACCTCATCAGCCCCGCTGGTCATCGTAAAGCTGAACAGCTCATTTATGCACGACTTGTTGAAGAACCTGTTCAGCCTTGGATTGCTCAAAACCTTCTTCCCAAGCAGATCCTTAAATATCTGCTTCTGGTAAACCTTCTCTTCAATCGTGTCCTTACAAACAAACCTATATATCTCCACATCCTTTCTCTGTCCATACCTCCAGGCCCTCTCCTTGGCCTGCGTGTCTGTCGATGGATTCCAGTCAGGATCATATATAACTATCCTAGACGCTCCAATAAGATTCAGCCCAAGCCCTCCTACCTTGGTCGTCAAAAGAAATATAAATACATCTTCGTCTCTGTTGAATCTATCCACAAGCGAAGATCTAACAGAGGTCGCCGTCCTTCCATCCATCCTCAGATACGTATACTTCCTGATACACATCTCTATTATGTCTAGCATCCTTATTGTTTGCGAAAATACAAGCACCTTGCTTCCCTCCTCTTTCCACTTCTTAAGAAGATCCATCAGAATCTTGATCTTGCATGAAGAGCTCACAAGCCCATATCTCTCCTCCCCTTCTAAAGAAATCTCGGCCTTTCCATCATTCTTTTCATTACACGTCTCAGAGGAACAGTCCTCAGGGCCATCTACCTTCCCTGGAAAGAATAGCCTTGGATGATTGCATACCTTCCGAAGCATCGAAATCCCACTCAGCAGGTTTGCTTTCCCCGTCAGAACCTTCATCACATGCTTAGATTCAAGAACCCTGTTGTAAAGCTCAACCTGAACAGGCGTTAGTGTACAGAACACTATCTTGTCCTCCTTCGACGGAAGCTTGTGAGATATTTGCGACTTTGTCCTTCTCAATATATACGGCTCTATTAGCGACCTCAGCATCAAGCTATGCTTGTATGCCCTTTCAACCTGGAGATTACTAGCACTCCTGTATCCTCCCCTACGTATCACCTCCTCAAACTCTTCATGGAAGGAGGTGTGCGACCCTAGAAGCCCGGGATTGACAAAGTCAAATATAGACCACAGCTCTCCAAGGTTGTTCTGGATGGGCGTCCCAGAAAGAACAAACTTACTCCTTGCCCTCACCTTCTTCACAGAAAGCGTAATCTGCGCATTTCTGTTCTTGATCTTGTGGCCCTCATCTAAAATTAAGATGTCCCATACAAGACCCTTCTCTCTTGCTTTGAATCTCTCATATGACATCAGATAGACTCCTTCTCCACTCCTCTCAGAAAATCCAAAATACACCCTCACAAACGGATAGAATCTCTTCCACTCAAGAATCCACTGTGAAACTATGGTGGCAGGACACAATATCAACACCCTGGAAATATACCCGCTTTGGAAAAGAACTGACAGGAACACAATCATTTGAACCGTCTTCCCAAGGCCCATGTCATCGGCAAGAACCCCTCCTTTCTCCTCCTTGTATAGCTTCAGCATCCACTCTACCCCATCCTTCTGGTATTCAAAAAGTGTGTCCCAAAGAAACCCAGGGACAGAAAACCCTTGCCGTATCTTGCTTTCCTTCTTCAAATGCTCTTCAAACTCACCTCTTCCAATTCCCATAAAGCCACAGTACCTCTGGATCGCTTTCTCGCACCTCAAATTGAACACATCGACTCTTTCATCATCATCAGATCCAGACCATTCAAAGTCAATCGACTCCTTGCCTCCAGCATCCTCCTTTCTATCCTCAGCTTTCAATATAACCGACTTGTCCTCAGCAAGCCCTCGGCGAATCTCTTCTATCTCCCCCTCAAGCTTCCTCACTCTCTCCATGTCTCCCTTGCCTTTGTACATCTCTATCTTTTCTAGAAGATCGTCAATCCTTTCCGCCGCAGTTCTTTCCAAGTACTTCTCAACAAATGACTTCTCATAGTCCTCTGCCCTACAGTCCATAATCAAAGGGAAAACTAAAACAACATTTAATGTAACTAAATTTTCTTAAGCCACATGCTCTCCCTTTGTCATCTCCGGAATAGCGCCTTGACCTCCCCTTCCCATAGCATCTCATACTCGTTTAGCTTCCCCATAATCTCATTGTCTATGTTCACACCAACTGCATCGCTTCTACGCCGGATCTTGTTAACTAGATACACCGTGTCCTCCACCGCACTGGCTTTGTCATTCAACATAACAATCCCAAGACACATGGAAAAGTACTTGATCTCGAGACTCTTATACATCTCCAATACTTTTGGCCTGTACTTCTGTACCTCTGCTATCTCATTCAGCCATCCATCCAGTTCCTTCGGGTTTTCAACAGGTATTCTTTCAACAAACCTGTCGATCTCCTCATTTATTCTACTTTCGACGTACTCGTGGATGCGGAGACCGTTTGTCTCGTCATATCCCTTAAGCCCAATAAGGCCTTTTATCCTGGCAGAAACAGGGCCTCCGACTGTCTTCGAGTAGACGCTTTCAAGATGGTCTATCATCATCAGCCTATACATCTCGCACTCCAAGCCTAAAATGCACATGCACTTGATAATCGTATTTATCCTCTCCTTACTGTTGAATCCTATGCTTCTTCTCAGCTCAGTACTCAGAAACCCTTCAAGACCCTTGCACTTGTCCGAATCAGTGGCCAGTATCCCCAAAAGCATCTCGACATCCCGGGTCTTCCTTATTTCCTCAACAATCTCCTCTATCTCCCTTTCTCTTCTCTGGCGTATTAGACGGGCATGCTCCTTCTTCAGCTCGTGCCACTTGTTAAGTTTGTTTATCAGAGACTCCATGAGAGGGCCGCCTTAAAATCCAAGTATATAATCCATGTCTCTCCACTCCAGGACCCATGGCATATAACCAAAGAAACAAGGAGGACGCCCACACGAGCAATGCAGAAGACAACAGCAGCAGTAAACAGGCCTCATTCGCGAGAAACTACTTTCTTTCGAAGTTGAAGCTGAAGTTCAGGAGCATCTTCGAGGGAAACAGAAGATTCCATCTCACCGAGAGCATGCAGCAACACGACCAAATAAACTAATAAAAGCACAGCTATTTTCAAGAAACATGAGGCTCTTCCACAGACCTAAAACCCTTTATTTTGTGCGCCCCACATGGAAAAGGAAATCGTCTTCTGCCAGTCACACATAGACTTCTATATGGATGACTCCGGACTGAGCTACTCTCATCCAATCTTCTCGATATCTGGAAACATGAAGTCTGGAAAGCCCCTCCAGGTGCTTGTCAGGAACTTCTTCCCCTACTTCTACATAGAAGCCGCTAACGGCAAGGAGTACAGGAAGGAGGACATAAAAGAGTCGATCCAAAGGCTTGATGTCAAGGCAACTGTGCTAGAGGTCGAGGCTGTTATGAAGCAAACCATAATGGGATACACAGAGGGCAAGAAAACGTTTTATAAGGTAACCCTCAACACGCCCCATGCCTCTGCAGCCTTACGGGCATTCCTAGAAGGCGGAGTGGTTATTAAAGGCGAGAAGGTTCGATTCCGAGTCTATGAAAGTGGATTTCCCTTTGTGTTGAGATTCATGTGCGATCTTGGGATTGTTGGGATGAGCTACCTCAAGGTGAACAGTTATGAGGTTTTAGACAGTGAGAATCTGACTCTGAGCACATCCTACGAGTCCTTAGAAACACTTCCGCTTACAGGAGTGTATGCAATTCTCCCGCCACTCAAGATCTTAAGTATAGACATTGAGTGTGTAAGTGCAGGGAATTCGTTTCCATCCTCTAAATCTGATCCCATAATTCAGATAGGGAACACCTTGATGCTCTTTGGGAACGAAAAGCACGAAAGCCAGGCCATCTTCTGCCTGAAGGAAACCACTGGGATTCCTGGCGCCAGTGTTCATTGGTATGACACAGAGAAAGGGCTTCTGGAGAGTTGGAAGAAGTATTTCATGGAGGTCGACCCTGATATCATCGTGGGATACAACATCAAGGGATTTGATCTTCCTTACATCCTTGACAGAGGAGAAATCCTAGGAATCAACGACTTTTCGATTCTAGGAAGGTCAAAGAAAAAGGCAAAGACGAGAGATACAACAATGTCCAGCAACATGTTTGGCTCTATAACCACTACGGAAGTTGAGATTGATGGAAGACTGATTATAGACATGATGGTTGTAATACGAAGAGACTACAAGCTGAGAAGCTACTCGCTAAACTCAGTCAGCATCCATTTTCTGAAGGAGCAGAAGGAAGATGTCCCTCCATCCTCCATTGGCGAGCTCCAGTCGAAAGACAAGGATTCCAGAAGGAGAATAGCTTCCTACTGCTTAAGAGACACAGTACTTCCGCTCCGCCTGTTTAGTACCTTGAGCGTTCTGATCAACTATACCGAGTTGTCAAGAGTAACAGGCGTGCCCATCGATTACTTCTTCACTCGAGGAACAGCCATCAAGATGTTTGCACTTATCTATAGAGTGGCCGCAAAGGAGGACTTTGTAGTTCCCGAGGTCGATCCGTTTGAATCAAACAGGACTTTCGAGGGAGGGTTTGTCATTGAGCCCAAGAGAGGATTCTACAACAAGCCTGTGTCTGTGATGGATTTCACCTCTCTGTATCCCTCTATAATGATAAGCAACAATCTTTGCTACACGACATTGCTTACAAAGGAGCAGTACAGGGTCCTCGGGGGCATCAGGACCCCGACAGATAACTACTTCTGTAGTGCAGAAAGGAAAAAAGGCCTTCTTCCAAGGATCCTAGTTGACCTGCTTGAATCAAGAAAGAAAATAAAGGAAGAGCTGAAAAAGGAGAAGGACCCGGCATTAAAGGCATGCTTGAATGGAAGACAGCTAGCCGTGAAGCTCTGTGCAAACTCATTGTATGGGTTCACAGGGGCGTCGAAAGGAAAGCTTCCTTGCTTCGAGATATCCCAGAGTGTAACGGGATTTGGAAGGGAGATGATCAATTTCACAAAGAACTTAATCGAGGAGAATTTCTCGAAGAAGAACGGGTATACCCACGACTCTGTTGTGATCTATGGTGACACAGACTCTGTCATGATAGATTTCAACGAAGAAGACTTGGGGAGGGTTTTTGAAATGAGCAAGAGGATATCTGAGTTTGTAACCAGTAAGTTTGTGAGGCCTGTTTCTCTGGAGTTTGAAAAGGTTTATTATCCGTATCTGCTCATCAATAAGAAGAGATATGCTGGATTGCTTTATTCTAATCCAGACAGTCCAAGCAAGATAGACACCAGGGGGATCGAGACTGTCAGGAGAGACAACTGCGGGCTTGTTAAGGAAGCTGTCGAGACGGTTCTTGAAATGATTCTCTACCAAAGGAATGTTGAGAAGGCCAAGAGGTTTGTTAAAGATGTTGTGAGGGATCTGTACCTAGGAAAGATAGACCTGAGTCTCCTGGTGATCTCGAAGTCATTGACAAAAGCAGGAGACAAGTACGGGAGCAGGCAAGCACATGTGGAGTTGGCAGAGAAGCTTAGGAAGAGGGATGAGAGTACTGCACCGGTGCTTGGAGACCGGGTTCCATATGTGATAGTGAAGAAGGGGAAAGGAATAGCAGCATATGAAAAGAGTGAGGATCCTGTGTACGTGCTCGAAAACAACCTTCCGATTGACACAGAATACTATATTGAGCAGCAGCTGTCGAAACCTTTGAAAAGAATATTCGATCCGATCATGGACAATGTTCACGAGCTATTCAAGGGAGACCATACAAGAGTCATGCAGTCAACATCTCTGAAGGGGCCCATTAACACGTTTCTGAAGCCTGCGGATGTTTGCATTGGGTGCAGGGCAGAAGGAAGGATAATATGCAGCAACTGTACCAAAGACTTCCATGTGCATCTTCAGAGAATGCAGCGGGAGGTAGAAGACAAAAAGGAGAGACTGAACGGGTGCTGGGTGGAATGCCAAAGATGCCAAGGAAGCATCCACAACCAGGTACTGTGTGTCAACAGAGATTGTCCGATCTTCTACATGAGAACAAAAGTAAAAAAGGAGCTGATTCCTCTCAGCGAGAAGCTTGGAAAGCTAAGGTCCTTTTCCTGGTGAATACAGAGCAGACCAATAAATGGAATCTTATGGCACTTTTCTTTCTAGTTTAGAAAAAACCACACCATCAGGCACCTCTTCTCCGGATAAGAAGTTCGTAGAGCAGCATGCGCATTTATTGAAACAATTAATATCCAATGTACTTGATACCCATTCTCTTCAAGGAGTGCAGGATGTCAGAGCACGTGATTGTCTTTCTCTTGGCATGTGTGGCATAAATACATGCAATCGAGAGTGTATCCCTGATGTATTCTCTTGCTGCATTGTTTACTTCCTTAAAGCAACCGCCTCCGACTCTTCTTACACCTGCCCGTCGAGCAATCCTTCTTATCGCAGGCTTCGATATGCTATCCGTCAGCCCAGACTGCTTCCTGTGTCTCTTTGCAATACCTTTTGCTGCCTTACTTTTTCCTTTAGCACCAAGATTCTGGGTATTCATTTAGGGGATTCTGTTTTGATGTTTTATAGTTTTATTTTTGGCGGGGAGGTTCCCTCCAATGTAATTGTCCGATTCAGAACATTCTAATTTGGATGTTCCGAGCACTCTTCCTGAGGAGGCCTGCTTGCCTCATCAAATAAAATATATGGGAGTTTCTGAATACCAATAGGATTGCCCTGCCTCCACAAATGACATCCATGTAAGCTGTGCTTTACACTGTATCGAATGCATTCCTACCCGCCCTGCACCCATGGCTCAGCTGCTTTTCTATCGCATTTGGCGCGAAAATCTCCCGGCAAATAAAATTATAAATATGTGTTAAGCGAAAGGACAAAAATGTCAAGGACAAAGCAAACAGCTTCAAAAGCACTTGGGGGAAAGGCACCGAGAAAAGGTGTATCCATGAAGTCGATCCAATCCTCTGGATCCTCGTCTGTCATGGCCAAGAGAACAAGGTTTAAGGCTGGAGCTCTTGCTCTGAAGGAGATAAGGAAATACCAGAAGAGCACCGACCTGTTAATAAGAAAGAGGCCATTCCAAAGGATGGTTCGGGAGCTGTGCAAGGGGGGCGAGGGCATAAGGTTCCAGGCCTCTGCAATTGTTGCTTTCCAGGAGGCTGTCGAGAATTTCTTGACAAACCTTATGGAAGATGCCTATAGATGTGTTCTTCATGCAAAGAGAGTGACTCTAATGCCAAAGGATATTTGTCTTGTGTATAAGATAAAGTACGCAAACATTCTGTATGCAGCTCTTGATTGAAATAAAGCATCTTCTTTACTTGTTGTGCGGCCCCTTCGGCCGAAGACGGCGAATGAAATATTCAGAGTGTGTCTCAGCCCTCATGGGAGATACTGTTTACATAGTCCATAGGCAGCTTGAAAGGATACCAACGATTCCGGGGGATGCCAAGACAGTTGATCTAAGGCGGAATAACATATCGAGAATGGCCTTGAACAGGGCTGAGCTTGTCGAGTATCTCGATCTTTCCGATAACAGAATAAAAGTGATTTCTGACCTCGAGAATTTACCGAGACTGAAGGTGCTGGATCTAAGCTACAACTTGATATCGGACATCTCGATACCCCGCATGGGCATTGAGGAGCTGTATCTGATTTCAAACGACATCTCTGCAATCCACGGGCTGGACCTTCCCCGAATTAAGAAGCTGGACATGGCTGTGAATGACATATGCAGGATTGAGAATCTGGAGAGCTGCATTGCATTGGAGGAGCTCTATCTCGGGAGCAACAGAATAAGGATAGTGGAGGGCTTGGAAAGGCTGACGAGCTTGAGGGTGTTGGACCTCCAAAACAACGAGATTGAGGCGGTTGATTGCTCCATGATACCCAGTAGTGTCGAGGTTCTTCTTCTTGGGGAGAACAGAGACCTCAGAGCATTGGAGAATATAGAGCACCTTCCTCGTCTCAGGATTCTTGGATTAGAGAAGACAAGTATATCTGAGGGCATAGCAAGAGACGGTCTTACTGTTTGGAGGTGATTCTTGGAGATTTGGCAAATAAAAATGAGTTCCTTGCTTTGGAAGGTACAATGCCTACTTTTCTGAATAAGGATACCACCAAAACATTACCCATGGAGAGGCATCCTGAAAAAGAAGACAGGAAAGAACTGTTTGACATTCTAGGCCTGATCAAGAGATCAGATGAGTTCTGGCTTGAGGATGACGACAGAGTCAGTTTAACTAACAGGTTTGTTGTGTAACCAAAAGGGAAAAATTAAAGTAGCTTTCTTATGAAGATGTTTTCGAAGTGTTCTACAACATTGTGTCCTGATGAAGAAATTTCCTAGAAAAGCCATCCCATATGTTATCTGGAAGGTCAGTCTTGAAGTTTCCATTTCTCAGCCTCAGAAAGAGTGCTTCGGAAAGCATTGTCCCCAGGGTTGCACTGTCAATGGCTATGCTCAAGCCCATTAGTGTCATAATGCCAAAGGTCCTCAGCGACAATCTATATAAGGGAGCAATGGCACTCGCAACCTGTCCATTTGGAGTCGGGGACAAGATCAAAATTGATAAGTATGACGGGGTTGTTAAAAACATAAGCTTCTGGTATGTAATGCTGGAGAGGGGAAAGGGCTATGTGTTTATCCCTACATCTCACATGTACAACACCGTTGTTGAGCTATTAAAATAGTCTTGGCCCAGGGCCTTACCGAGATGAAGTCTATGAATGGTAAATAAATAGGGTTTATTCTCTTGTTCTTTCTCTGGGTCTGCACTTGACAATTGCATCACACTTAACTATCATTTGCGCAGCCTCGGATGCGGCTTTGATAATGCGGTGCTTGATTCTGAAACTGTCAATCACCCCGGCTTCTTTCATACAGCCTACACCTCCACTCCTTACATTCACCCCGTAGCTTACCTTTTCAGAATTATGCTCTGCTCTTAAATTTGCCTTTATCTCTTCTCCGTTGTATCCTCCATTATCTGCAAGTATCTTTGGAATTTGCTGCAAGGCATTTGAAAACGCCAAAATGGCCTCACTTTCAACACCAGGAACCTCCATGGCATAATTGTTCAGTGCAACAGCCATCGCCATCTCGCTTGACCCTCCTCCGTAAACAACACGCGGGTCCTCTTTTATTTTTGAGAGAACACATAGTGCATCGTGGACACTTCTTTCTGCCTCATCCAGCATCTCCCTTGACGATCCACATAAAACAATGGTACTTGCTCCACCTCTCACTCCACTGAACTTTATCACTCTCTCGTTCCCAACATAGACATTCTTGACATTCTTACATGTACCGTAGGAAGACTCGTCTATACTGTCGAAGGTGCTCAGTATTTTCCCCCCAAGCACATTGGAAAGCCTTTCAACCCCATCGAAGTCTGCATGCTCGATCGCCTGGATTCCTTTTATCCTCAAGAGCTGGAGAGGATGGTCGTATATCAGCTGTCTGTTGATGAACATGTTAATCCCATTCTGCGAAATGCGCTCGACCTTCTCCCGAACCTTGTCCTTCTCCATCTTTTCCATCTCCTCTAGCTCGCTAACAGAAGACACATTGATCTTTGCACCAAATATCTTGATCTTGTCCTGATCCATGCTAGTATTAGCTATCAGGATCTTTGGGTCATTTACTTCCTCTATTCTAATGTCCTTTTTCAGAAGAAACCCGTCGTCAAGATACGAGTCCTCAAGCTTTCCAGAGCACTTGATTATCTGTATAAGATTTAAGTCGCTCCTCCCCTCAAGATTTTCAACAGCATTGACGCAAATATCGCAGAACTTCTCCAGATCATACTTCAAGACCTTGGAGCACAGGGTAGTCCTAACAAGCTTGGCGAGGTCTTCCTTGCTAGGCTTAAAGCTAATCTTGTCCAGCGTCTCCTCACACTTTGCCTGCGCCATTCTGTATCCCTTGAGGATCTTTGTTGGGTGTATCTCCATCTTGCTAGCCTCCTTCACAAGTAAGCTTGCCAGAATGGCAACAGACGTTGTCCCATCTCCTTCCTCCCAGTCCTGCCCGGTGCTTGAGTCAATCAATATCCTAGCAGATGGACTGTCAATCATAAGGTTCTTGAGAATAAATGCCCCATCATTAGTTACATTGACACTCTGTCCCTTCAACATCTTGAGCATCCCCTTCGGCCCAAGCGTCGTCTTCAGTATGTCGCCCACAATGTCCGTTCCTGCAATAATAGTCCTCTTTGCATCGTCACCTTTTTCCTCTGTGGTGCCTAGATTTGCGTGGCTGAAGATGTTCATCCGGGGTGAAAATTTTGTTCTTCTTGTAAGCCCATGAACGAGGAATTCCTAGTGGCTCCGCTTGTTATGAAGCCTACAAGGATATACAACTATACCCAGCTAATAGCATGCCTCAAGGTAAAGCAAAAGAAGCTTGCAAAGTACAAGGCCACCATACAGCCAACGCCCCTCAAGAATGTCCTCAGGCCGAAGCAGTGCAGATTTGATGTGGAGGACGTGGTTAATGGGTTTCTACATGAAAGGCTTAGGTCTAAGCAAAGAGAGCATGAGAAGTCTGTGGGAAAGGTATTTTCACAGTGTGTCAAGAAACACATCAAGGAGCTGAAAAGAGAGAACGATCTTTTTGTTGTTGGAAGCAGCAAGATCAGTGGAAAGATCAGGGTCTTGGAAGAGGTGTTTGATAAGGATGCCGACGACAAGGAGGGGGTCCTGGTCTCCAGAATGGGTGAGAAGAGCAAGTACTTTGACGATGCCTTTCTGTTTGACATGTACATGTTCCTCAAGCACTCAAGGCCCTCGGATAGCTTTGACCAGGAAATCAAGTTCCTTGGAGATGAATATCTGAGGTATGTGGAGAGGTTCTTAAAGGAGAATGCCGACAAGATCAAGGAGCCTCTCAGGGGGAACGAAGACAAGATCTCGGTATTTACCAAACTTCGCTACAGTAAAGAAGAGTATGGGCTCGAGGTCTACGAAGGGAGGTACATGTTTGCGGAGTTGTATACTCTTTTCAGATGCGGGCTCCTGGACTCTGTGAGGAACCTTCTTGAGAGGTTCCACGTTTTTTTCGAACACATCTCGCACAGGTTCAAAACGAGCTTTGGAAACTGGATGTCCACAAAGTCAAGGCCTGCCGTTCCTGTGAAGATAGGGGGGGCTGACGACCTCTTCAAGGCATTTCTCCTTGGACTAATGGACGAGAGAAACAGGAGGATGGATGAACGGATTATTGGTAGCATTGAAGACTTTGTGTGGGTGTACTTAATTTCGATGAACGAAGGGGGGTCTGCTTCTGAAGTCCTGAAGATGTTCAGGAATTACCAGAATCCAAAGGGGCTTTTCCTTGCATATGTGATGCTAAAGGACTATGACAAAGCGATGAGCTTGATGTTCAAGGGAGACTTTCCCATAATTCCCTCGTACTTCATAATGAAGACCCTTTGCCTTCGATGTACAAATAAGAAGGTGTTTGTGGACTTTGTGTTCTTGGCAGCCTCTAGGTTTTCTTCAACGCAGAAAAAGGTTGAGCTCATAAGCTCTCTAAAGGCTACAATAGAGGGGTACTATGATATAGTTCCTGAGATGATAGTCAAGATGGAGCTGTATGATGTTCTTGGAATTGATTCTGGGGCCTGTCTGTATCTCGATAAGAAGGTCAACCAAAAGGTCATTGAGATATTGAAGGGAAAGAACGAGAAGAAGAAGCTGATCAAGCTCTACTATCTTATTGATGACGAGACGCTTGTTGTAGACCTCATTAACGAAGCCATAACCGAGGCGATTCTCTCTGACACAGACATAGATGAGTATCTTGAGATTATTGAGTACTATGAGAAGGTGGAGAGTACGAAGCAGACAAGGGTGATGGCCGCCTTGAAGAGCTTCTACCTATTTAAGAAGAGCCCTTCCTCCTCTACTCTCGGAGCCACACCGTTACTGGACCCTGACTTTGACTTGAGCAGCTTTAAATATGTTGTTGAGAAGATATTCAAGTCTGCGTGTGATGTTGTGGAGAAGGTGGGAGACAACGAGATGGCAAGAACGCTGTTTAAGCTTTGCGGGGTCCTTGGGCTTGGAGAAGAGATGTCTGGCTATGCAAACAGGCATCTTGTACTACTTATATGAGGCTCTTTGGATTAGCACGTGGTAAATTCCCTGCCTGAGATAACCCATAGGCTTATGAAGTTCAATTCTGCAGATTTTCCCATTATGAACAGGATGGTAGTAGCTAGAGAAGATGGAATACATTATGAGATTGAGAAGAACAGCCTAGCAGACACATGGGACAGGCTATTAGAATACTACAATAAAAAGATTTTGGAAGAGCACAAGGAGGAGTTTGAGGAGGAAGAGCTTTATAGGATGCTCTGTAAGGCAAGGATTGAGGTGGAGACAGGGCAGAAAGTGTACGAGCTGGTTGAAAAGGGAGTACTCGGGACATACAAGGTGAGGCCACGGAATGTAGACAGATGCGAGTTCAAAGGGTTTATTCTGGATGCATGCATCAGACTGCTGAAGAAGGGATGTTCCGAGCTAGAGGATGCGATTAAGAAGGAAGAAAGAGTGTGGAGGAGTGTGGAAGGGATTGGGGTGCCTACAAAGTTGGTGAGTGGAGAGGTTCGGGTATATGTAACGGACACACAATACCTGGTTGCAAATGAAGAGGGGGGTTATGTGTGCTCGAATGACTGGAATCCCCGTGGACTAACATGCAGCATTAGGTATATGGATGTTCACCTTGAATGCTCCGTGCTTCCAAAGAGTGGCATGAACATGGTTGACATGGCCAGAGAGTACTTTCTCGAGAGGTCGATTATGCAGGAATTTTCGAGGAATGATATTGAAATCAAGATAGCAGAAGTAGAAGAGCCTTCTGAGAAGAACGATGCAATCTGTGCATACGTGGTAAAGGAGTTAAAAGAGGGAAAGAGCATTAGAGAAATATTCTGTACAGTAAGCCTCTACCTCTCAAGAAAGCTTGTCGACATTATTGTATCTAACTACAAGAGATGCAAAGTCCTGAAGTACAGCGGCAGCATTCTTAGGGATGGGCTACCTGAGGTGTTTTTTGTGCTTGCTGGCAATGATGTCATCAAAGTTGTAAGGCACATTCCAGATAGATTTGAGATATTTGTGAATGAGATTCCAGTGAGGTTCTTTCGAAGGGCCCAACCGATGCAAGTACCCTTCTAGTCACATTCCCTGTGCTCTCTATTTGTATGGATATATCCCGATTGAATAATAAACTACTTCATCTTACTCATAGTTCTGGATGCTATTATCTACTTTGGTATTTGTGGCCCAGATGATAAGATGTGTCTACACAGTACAGAAGCACAAAAAGCTGAAGACATGGATTGACGGCTTTGTAGAGCACAAGGGTAAGAGGCTCTATCTGTACAACTCTGACATGGAGAGGATAGATAGCATGCTAGCACCTGCTTTGGATAATGAGATGGAAACATACAAGTATCTTGTGTATATCGACTCTTTTGAGGATGTTGAAGAAGACGAAGCAAAGGATCAAGACCCGACACCAGACATCTCTGAGTTATCGAAGAAGGAGGCAGGAGACGAACATAAGGAGGAGCCTCTATTACCAAGAGGAAGATCCGGAGAAGAAATAATAGGCCTGTTTGGAAAGTAGAACATGGTTTTTATTATCCAATAGTTCTTTCAATGCTACTTTCAAATAAAGATATTGTTTTTCCATCTATACCGTTTAGCTTCAGCTTGCTTCTCTTTTCAAGGACATACTCCTTTTGCTCGTTGATCTCAAATATTATCTTCCCTACAATCTCCTTATAGATGCCTATCCGAAGCTTCTTGAGCTCGCAAATGACAACGCTTGCAAGCTCCGGAAACCCAATGTTCCTTGAAAACGTTGACATGTGTTGCAGCAAGAGAGATCCGGCCTCTTCTATGACAAACATCTGGTGCTCCTCGCTTTTTGTCCTTTCTGCATCCGGGACCACCATATCATAGTTTATTCTCCTTCCGCTTGCCACAAGATTCTTCACAGATATTGCATTTCCCAATATCCTAAGGATGTAAAAAGACAGTGGAACATAGAACTTCGATCCCACAGCAGACTTGATCACACGAAGACAGAATATGGAGTGTGGATAGTCCTTATATGTCTCCATCAAGGCCACTAGAAGCTTGGTATAATCTCTAAACTCAGAATGCCTCCTTAGGCATTTCCCTAGAACTTCGCTTATAAATATGATTTTGGCAAGATCCGGGCTTTTGCTACTTATATATCTCTCCAAGTACAATATCTCATTCCCTGTATCCTTCGGACTTAACACATAGTTCTTGATGTCTTCAGCAAGTGTCGATGGTTGGGATGTGTACAGTTTTGAGAGATAGCTCTCCTCTAGACCCCTTTCATTATCCATTTGTACCATTTAGGGATTGAGAAATATGCATATATGATTTTGTGGGTATTTCATTTTTCAGAATTGCCTTGCTTTTGTGGACAGGAGCTGCCATCTACCCCCAAAAGCCACGAAAATCGTTGCTTTAAAGCTGTATCGACAATCGCAGCCAGAATAAATGCCACACGCCAAGAATCTATGAATTTCCCCGCACCAGGACAAAGAACGCCCATTCCTCTTACACCAAGTAAGGAGGCCTCTTCACAAAATCTAGTATCTAGTGACTAACTCTATATCTCTCTATTCTTTCTCTCGGGAATAGGAAGGCAGCCAGAGTACCGATCTTTTCACCATACCTACGGATAGAGACGCAAGGAGAGCATGACGGGTACAGAAGCAAGATGGCCTCTAGTGAAGTCATCAAATCTCTGAACCCCTTGATGATTGAAAGTTCCGCAATAAAGAAGTTTATAATTAATTACTTCATTGAGCACAGCCAGGAGGATATTGATAAGATGGCTGGGAGCATACACAGCTATATTCTCAAAGGGTTTTTGATGAATGAGCTGGTGTGCAACATGAAGTCTGGAAAGTATGGCCGCATTTCGAAGGTAGGAGGAGGAAGATATACCATGATGATTCAGTCTGACAATGGAGAACATGAGGAGAGCTGCTATTTTTCAGACCTTGCAAGAAAAGATGATGTGAGCGCAAGTGGAATAAAAGGATATCTGCTTGGGATAACGATGGAGACGCCCTTTGGCAGGGTCCTGAAGGAGAATGCATTCCGAAGCATAAAGGACTCCACGGAGGTGGTGAGGTGTAAGGTACCCCAAAATCAGTGCCATGGAGCAATGCGATCATCAAGCAAGGATTCCCTGAGGCCCCTAGATAGAGAGAAGAGGCAGGAGATGGTGCCTTGTTCGGAGGGTGGTGAAAATCAAAATAAACTGTCGAAGATGTGGGATGGTGGATCCAAGGCGATGGAAGCCAGGAACAATAGGGTTTCTGAAAGGCCCGATATAGGTTTGATCTTAAATATGGGGGATGGCCAGATGCTGAGGATCCCAGGATTTGGGAGTTCGGAAGTTGAGTTGATGATAAAGATCTTTGGGGTGTTGATGAACTTCAGGTCTTTCTTTGGTATAGAGAGAATAGGCGTGAAGGGTCTGGGTGATGCTATCATTGACCCTTTGTACGAATCTGATATTATTTCTAGAACGCATGAAAATCTGATTGAGATGCTAAATGCAGAAATCAATAGCATAGGAATGGATGTCTTCATCGAGAATTCCAGGCCATGCATGATGCTGGCTTCTGAGTCTCTGCGTTTCCTGAGAGAAAAAAAGCAGGACACACACGAAGGCACTGGGAATCCTTCGAAGCCCCGGGGACCTAGAAAGAAAAACTGGAAGCCGGAGCTAGAGAAGTTTGTTGAGAAAATCTCCGACCAGGCAGGGATAGACATTTCCTACATCATACCTTGTGTTTTCGCAAAAGATTGTCCACTAAGCCAAGAGGAAATAAGAAGTAGACTTGTGCTGCTTGAGCTATTGCTGAACATGTTCTTCACGACTGAACTTTTCAGAGAAGCTATATCAGAGAAGATGAAGGAGTCAAAGGAGCTCGAGAGGAAAAAGAGGGTGCTTCAGATTGGACTCAAAAGGTCTGGACCACAGTCCTCGGACGCCGGAGCACCTTCGGATATTCCAAAGGCATCGGAGGCAAGGAAGGAGCTTGCAGATACGATGGAGAAGATATTCCGGTTACCTACAAGTATTGAGATTGGGGAAATTGCCGGAATCAGGTTTTTGAATCTTGACAAAAGAATCTATGCAGTTAAAGAAGGAGACTACTATCCATTGAGTAGAGATGCACTGTTCAGCCTATGCAAGAAGTACCATAGCAAAAGCAAGAGTGAAAAGAATGTACTGGCAAGTATAGAGCACCATGTAGAGATTCTGGAGAGCTATCCATGAATCGTTTTTTGTTTACATACTGTATTTAGGAGATATAATTTAGTTTTACATTTTAGAATAAACAACTAATACAGATGGACAGGCAAAGATTCTCAAATCTACTGAAGGATAGCGAAAGTGCCGTACCACCTGACCATAGTATGAACTTGGGGAAGCACGCCGTGATGGTCAGGGACCTCAAAAGAAAGTACTTTATAAATAAGGTTACACTATTAGATGTTTATGATTACTATAGAACGCCACTATCGGTATACACATCGCAGAAGATCCGGAATGTGTTTATAACTGTATCCCTGTGCCTAACGGTTTATTTTGCATCGAATATGGATGCGATTAGAGGCAGCAGAATTCCAAGGCTTGGGATGAATTTCTCTTCTGCAACGCTTGTGGTGGGAGGTGTGTTTGTTGTGAGAGAAGCTATTTCTTATGTGATAAACCTTAAGAAGATGATATCTGTATTTTACATATACAAGTACATCCTACAGGAGAGCATAGACAACATAAGGTTCAAGGACGTAGTTGAGGGAGTAATCAAGTTAGAGAAAGAAGTCCACAACAGAGACCTTACGGGAAGAGGCTTCCGAGACATTGTGAACCACAACAATTTCCTTTTGCTCTTGATGATGAGGAAATTCCCCACGATATTTCGCCCGGTATGCTCTAGGTTTCTTCTTTATGTCCTCCATTCCTACACCGAGAAGATAGAGGACGGGCATATAGAGGAGATCGGCGATGAAATGAGGGTGATTTCCGCAGCCATATTTCTGCTGTCGCCCATCATCTCGGCCTTCTTTATTCTGTACTATATTGTGAGGATTATAGAGAAGTCTCAAAGCAATGCATTTTATGTGCTCAAAAAAGCCCACAGGCCATCGTTCAGGTATTTTATGTCCAAGAGAAACGAGTATCCTCACGAGACACGGAGGAAGATACAGAAAGGCACAGACTATCTGAATGCATTCTTTCTTGCAAAAAAAAGAGATTGCATCGTGAGAATCTGCTCTGCAGTTTCCTTCTTCTTAAGCTGCCTTGTGTTTCTAGCAGCATATTTGATTCTGAAGACGGCGCTTGTGTCCAGTCAGGGCTTGAACGGGGTCTTGTATCAAGACATAGTCCTCTTTGGAAAGACAACAAATATAATATATCTCTCGTACTTCATAGGCGGGATATCCTGCTTCCTAAGGTGCCTGAACTTCGACTATGCAACAACAAGCCGCCGCAGAAAGTTTGTCAAGTGGTGCATTCTCATGGAGCAGAAGGACCTACTTAATTACTCTGAAAGTCGGAGACGTCTGGCCGCATTCATGTCCAAGTTCTTCGTCCCTCGTATATATTTATTTCTGATAGAAATTTCCTCTCCGTTCATTGTTCCATTCCAGCTCGAAAAGCTGAGGAAGAACCTGAGGAGAATCCACACAATGCTCAATTCTGCAGACGTATGGGAGGAGTGTCTTGGGGGAATCCAAAGCAACAGAATTTCCGTCCTGGATCTATGAGATTAAAGAGTATATATAATGACACAATACTACACCATCTTCTTTATTGTGGTCATGTCTCCTAGTCCAAGAGACTTGAGCTTCTCACTTACTGCTGACTGCTTAATAACATATCTATTTCCAAATCTCCTTACAAATGCCCCAAGATCCTTCTGGGAGGGCAGCTCCCTGATGAGTTCCTGAGAAAGTTCTTCTGGAAACACCTCACGCTCCTCCAACGGAAGCGAGATCCAGGAGGGTGAGAACGATGGAGAGATACTCAGCCTGCAAGGGGGAAACGAAAGAGACGGCCTTTTGCTTGGCTTTGACAGCTCTCTCCTTTCAGAATCCAGCTCTATCCAATCATAGTTGTCTTCCTCTTCTTCAGATTCCTCCTCCGTGCTTCCAATGGTTTCTGCATCTTCGACGTCTTCCCAGTCAGACTCATGCTCATAATCTAGGACCTGTGGAAGCTTTGCAAGGCTGTTTCTTACATGAAGCTTGTCTTCCCTAAACCCGTAGAAGGGTGGCTTCAGCTGGCCAGAAAACTTGATGAAGGACAATCTCTTTGGATCCCGTATATTCCTTCTTACACGCACCGTTGAGCTTATAGGACTTGTAGGTGTACCGATCATAACATCTCTGTCAAAGCATATCGGCGAGAACTTACCAAGCATATCTGCAGAAGGTTTCTTTCTGTCCTCTATCTTAACAAACCTCAATATCCCTGGACTACTGGCTTCCTTCTTTTCTGCATCGGAGGATGGATCAAAGGCCCCCTCATGCTCAGGCCTTCTTTTCCTTCTACTTCTCAGCAGTTTTCTGATATTCTTAGAGACCAGTGCAGGATCCTTCAGAAAATACACGCCTCTGACATCCTTGCTCCTTCCATCAACCATCTCAATCCTGAACTTAGACTCGACCAATTCCTTGAGGGCCTCTATCCTGTCCTTTCTTCTTTTCGATGTCCTCTTGTACGAATATAGAACCTTGTCCATCCAATCATAGTCCACCTCCCATTTGCAGTCCACCAGCAAAGCCAGAAGATCCATGGGGACCTCTTCTTCTTGGCTTTTCTTCCACTCGTGCAGAATCTTTAACACTGTTGGATGGAATAAAACCTCCATACCCTCTTTCAAAAAATAAAATGATATAGGACCTACTTCACACGCTGCACAAGTATATTCCGCCTTTTGTAAGTCCATACCTCGTTCAGCAAAGATACTAGCAGTGTATGCATCCAACACCTACAATAACTGTGGTTCGCCACAAGTGCAGATGGGTGCTGCAGATCCACTCTGGTCGTGAGGTGCCAGTTCTGTGCAGTGCACGCAGAAATCAAAGCGGCCATGAAATCCACTACCAAGAGTCAAAATAAACCTCAAAGTACAGATCTTTATACAGGACCTTTAGATTTTCTTGCGAAATATAATGGATGTTTGTGTGGTCAACGAGAGACAGGCCCCCCTTCTTGCATATCTCAGATACAAGCCTCTTCCCGACTCTCGAGTCCATTCTAGCCAGCTCAGAAAACATTTCTTTGCCAATGAGGATATTCAAAAGAAACGGCCTCTCTTCAGCCACTCTCAGCAAGAAGTAAGCCATCTTCATGTAGTTCTTATCTATGTATTCTTTGACAAGGGAGATAACCTCCTCGTCGTTGAAGTTGAGCAGCCAGTCCAACGGCAAGGTATTGAATAGCTTTATCTTTTCCTCCGGGAACAGCGGGTTCATGAGCACCATGCAAAAAAACTCCTTGAAGACTTCTGCTTTGCAACTAAACAATATGTAGAAGTCTAGAAACTCCTTGAATCTCGATATTTTCTTGCTCATCTCCCTGATCACAGACGAGGAGTCTAGCTGGCAGAACTCAGAGTAGAAGAAGTCCTTTAAGAACTTGAGCCTGCCAAACTCAAACGGAAGTAGGGAGAACCCTATTCCACAGCCTGATTTCGCAAGTGCCCACTTCACATCTATTTCCGCATTCCCCTTGTGTCTTTTGAACACTCTAGACTGGTTCTCTCTTATTCTGCTCTCAATCCTGAGGACATCTACCTCCTTCTTTAGTTTCTCCGCTCTCCTCAGATCGTCCAAGGCTGCTCGGCTCTTTTGCTCCTTCATTGCAAAGTTCTGCTTTTCCAATGCAATCATGTTCTGCCGCAATATCACTATCTCTCCAGTGAGCTTCATATTTTCTTGCTTAAGCCTCAGGAGTTCCATCTTCTCGCTCTCCATGTCGTGACTGGCGTCTTCTCTCGCTTCACTTGATCCATTAAGCCCCTTCATACTCGGTTTTCGTTTGAAAGGATTATTTGCTGATACTCGTCCATGCCTATCCTTGCCTTTGGAGAGACCTTGTTTACCGGTAGTACAAACCCAACTCCGTCAAACTCTATCCTGTATGAAAACCTCACAGAAAATAGTGCACAGTCAAAGGTAAACCAGTCATGCTTTACATTAACCGGCACTCTCTTGTAAAGACACATGTTCGAATTAAACTCCTTGACAACCCTCTCCTCACTGCTTGAAACCTTTCCATCGATACATTCCGCCACCATCAGCACTATCCTTGTTGATCTGATGTTCCTTTTGTACCATATCGTCATTACATCACTCTCAATAAGATGCCTTCGATACTCGATCTTGGCAACCTCCTCATCGCCATTCCAAGCATTAACTCTGTGCCTACCTACTTCGACTCCAGAGTCCCCCTCTATTGATACATAGAAGTATATGTCCCCTTTGCTTTCCTTCTTGTATCTTTCCACAACCTTATTCATAAACCTAGGGAACTCTTCAAGGACATGTCTCTTTTGCTCCACCATCTCCGCAATAGTCCCAGAACTTGCAGGCTTATTCCTTAGGGAACTAACGATCTCTCCAAATGCAGTATCATCTCCATCCCCAATTCTGATCATGTCTTCGTGGACTATGATGCTCTCTATTTTCCCAGAAGGCTCAAATCCGACGGGATAGACATCAAACATCTCCGCCCTCACATTCTTCTTCTTTCCATAGTATCCCTCCACAATAATCGTGTATACAACTTCTAGACTCCTCAGCCTCATTGAGGGAGGAGCGCTTCTTGGTATGATGCATCTATACATAGTCTCGGATCCCTCTTCCATTCGGAGCTCGACAGGCGTAGACTCTAGGAGCTTGATCTCCTTTCCATCGATCCTTACAGCTCCGGTAATCCGTGCTGCCAGAAGACTAGGCCTCTGGGATGCACGCCCGCATTTCTTCCACCTTATACACGATCTGAATATGCCTCCCGTGTAGGCAGGAAAAGAGCATATTTCAAGGTCCATGTCTCAAAAACAACAGGGATCCTCAGCCCAGGTTTTACTTTGGCTCAGAAGCTTTCTCAGAAAGACACAAAGCTGGATCTAAAATCTTTAATTAGCTCAACCCGGGAATCACCTTCTTCCTCCCAGACTATTTCTTTCAAAAGGATCGTCGTCAGACGCATTGAAAATTCCGCTATTTCCGAAAAGCCCTCCAATGCCGCCTTCGTTCTTTTCATTTGGATCGGCATATCCTATGCTTGGCTTTGCAGGCTGCTGTGAAGGCCCAGTACCCCCGAAAAGCTCTCCAAACAGGCTCCTTCCATTTCCGAACATATTTCCTATCGATCCTGTAGCATCGGCCTGCCGAGGCACACCAGGTTGTTCCTGCCCTGCACCACCAAACAATGGGAAACTTTGCATGCCGGTAGCCATGCCACCGTTGCTCTGGAGGAAAGCGCCTCTTTCTTGTCCAAAGAGAAGGCTGCTCTCAGAGCTTTGCTTAGCCTCTTCACCTCCACTTATCTTTCTCTTGAGTAGTGAAGACCCAGGGTTCGGTGTATGGGGCTCTGCAGACTCTTGGACACCGCTAAGCTGGGGCTGGAGGGTTGTACTCCCTCCAAACACAAACGGCTTAATCTCAGGGCCCTTGGCATCAGAAGCAAAAGGGCTAGAGATGTTCTCATGATTTACAGTAGAAGGTGAGTTTTGTGTCAGAGGCTGTGAAACGCTGGAATCAAACCTAAATGCCGATATATCTCCTTGCATTCCAGGAGTCCTTCCATCCCAGAATCCAAACCTCTTTGGCTCCTCGTTCTTCACGCTTCCCCCTAGGCCTTCCTTCTCTTCATGTCTAACCGTCTCACCAGGCATTCCTCCAAACACGAACGGCGTCTTTAGTGGCACTGCCCCTTCGTCTTTTTTGGCATCTAGGCCAATTTCGGTCTGCACTGTATCAGAGCCATTTTCTTTGTCCCCAGAAACAGGCTCTAAGGTAGAACAAGAATCAACCGTAGCAGGATTAGGCACATTACCGACATTCAAAACAGTGCCCATACTATCTTCCTCTGTATTCGGACTCCAACTGGCCTTCGGCATCACGCCCTTATCATCATTCTTCTTACCATCAACTTCTGTAGCAGGAATCTCAGACACTTTATCTTCATTCCCATCAAGGCCGACACTCCTGCCCTCAATCGTCTCTATATCAAATAGCCGCTCCCTCCTTGCTTGGCTAAGAATACCCACAAGCTTCTCCTTCTCTTCCTCCTCAAGATCATCCATGTCAAACTTGTCGTCTGTAACATATCTTGCCATCGTTCTGTCAACACCAAGATCCTTCTCAAGATAGAAATAGGACCTCGGAACCTTAGACTCCCATCGGTCCTTGGCTATCTTCTTTCTTTTCTCAGCCCTTTCCCTCTCCTCTCTTCTCCTTTCCTTCTCCTTCAGCTCATACTCTTTCCTTATCTCATACTCTACACATCTTTTACAGTTGTAGTCTCCCCCAAAGTTGCACCGTACACTCCCTTTCACCTCCTCAGAATTCAGCTTCTTCACATTCCTTTCACAGAAATACTCTTCCTCCTCGTCAGTAGACACATCTCCCAGATGGAGAAAAAGATTGTCTTCAGAGTCATAGCAAATCGCCTTCTCAATCGTCTCGGTTGGCGTCTTTCCCTCCACTCTGTACTTCTTCGGAAGTATCCCCCAGCTTACATCGTTCTCTTTCTTTAGCGCATACTTCTTCTGGTAGCCCCTTCTCCTGTGCTTCTTCGCCTTCCTTTCACCCTTCAAATCCCCTGCATCCTCACTCCTCTTCCATTTCGCCCCAATGCCCCTCTCGGCTTTCTCCATACTCATCTTCTTCAACATCTCAAATCCATCGTCTATCTTCTTTCCGCACTGAGGCTCTGCTATCGCCTTACACAGCTCCTTGATATCATCAAGCTCGCATATCGATATCGGCTTCGAACTCTCAAACCTGGAGCACAGCTTTTCATACGACTCAGACTCCACCCTCCTTCCAGGCCTCAGCGTGTCCTTAATCCTATTCCACGCCTCTCTCATTTTCTCATAGAATCCTGCCATCCTGCTGGGTCAACAATAATTTTTTATCATAAAATCCAGTTCTAAGCCAATTTTAATTCAACACCCGCTATTCATTTTCCCTATCCTCCTTTATGTACCTCTTCAGCCTGCACAGTCCCTTTAGAATCTTAGGGTCCTCTTCCTTCCTTATCCGGTCGCTCCTCCCTTCAGTCGGCATTCCAGAACCTGCTAGGCCTTCCATCCTCAAGGGCCCCCTTCCACACACAGGACAAGCATCTTGCGTACCCAAATGCCTCTTAATACACAAGTAGCAAAAATTATGTCCACACGGCGTCTCATGTCTTATGGACACCTCACACCCACATATCATACACAAATCCATCAGGGGCCTTTCTTCAAAGCATCTATTTATCCCCTATCTCTTCTCCATCCTCACATACTTTAGAATCTTCCTCATTGCCCTCTTAAGAATCCCAGACACCCACAGAACTGACATCGAACATTTGAAGCCAGATATCTCTCCTATAGTGGTAATCGTAAACAGGACATATTTGCACACCGGCGCATCGCATCTGATCACCACTATCTGGCTGTGCGGTAAATACTCAACAATACCCAGATTACCCACCATCGATAGAACATGCCTTCCATAATCAATCTCAACCCTTGACTTGATAACAGAACCCAATACATCCATACTAGGCATGCCTCTGCCCTCTTCAAGCAGAAGCTTCACAACGATGTATCTTGATTTCACACGAACCATACTGGGGCTGTAAAATCAATTCGTCAAACATTCACTATCCTTACATCTCCTTTGAATATAACCAGGAACCTTCCCTTCATCCCCATGCCTTCTAGGATCATGTTTACATCAGCAGACTCTTCTCCCTCTACAGGAATCATCCCTCGGCAAATACTAAATCTCCTGAGAATCCATTTGTCATTGGAAATCACAACAATGGGAACCGTAGGAGACCTCAAATACATCCGCTCTATCTCAAAAGACTCTCCAAAGCATATCACAACACCATCCACATATGGACACCCTTCGTAAAGCCTTTCACTCCTTAATCCATACTCCTCAGCATCAATGCATACGCTTCTCATAAACTTAACAGTTTCAATGGGAAACGCCCCCACAGCTGTCTCTCCACTCAGCATCACACAGTCGCATCCATCGATGACTGCATTTCCAACATCAGAGATTTCCGATCTGTTTGGAGTGCTCTTCAAGATCATGCTCTCCATCATCTGTGTCGCGCAGATAACAGGCTTACCCTCCCTCTTCGCAGATAGAAGAATCTTCTTCTGAGCACTGAACATGTTTTCTAGGCCAATCTCAACTCCAAGGTCCCCCCTCGCTATCATCACCCCGTCAGAGGACAAGGCTATCTCTCCAAGATTCCTCATTCCCAGGCACGACTCCACCTTGGATACAATGGGAACCCCCGATCCAACAACCCTTCTTATCTCTTCAACGTCCCTACGAGAATTCACAAAAGACACAAAGATCATGTCTATTCCATTCCTCACTCCAAACATAATGTCATCCTTATCTTCATTACTCAAAGATTCAATTCCTATATCTATGTTCGGAAAATTCATGGACTTGTTGCTTTTAACCACCCCACTGCTCATCACCTTGCATCCAAACCCGTTTTCTTCTACACTGGTAACCTTCATGTCTATTGCACCATCATCAATAAATACCCTGTCATCCATGCTCAGAGACTTAAAGTCAATCTTCGGTATCAAGATGCCCTTGCCTGACGACGAAAAGCGAAGGATGTCCCCAGCATTCACCTTGATGTCCTTTTCCTCCGGCGTCCTAATCCTCACCTCAGGACCCCTTGTGTCCAATGCTATTGCAACATACCTGCCCACACCACACCTGGAATCCTTAATACTTCTAATAGTCTCCAGATGCGCTTCTCTTGAGCCATGGCTGAAGTTAATCCTTGCAACAGACATCCCAGCATCAATTAACTCCCTGATCTTCTGCCTCGAAGATGTACTTGGCCCAATGGTGCACACTATCTTTGTCAATGCCTCCCTCATCAATGGATATAGAATAAACACTTTCCAAATTTATCAAGTTTGCTTTGAGACAGATGATAGGTTCTTCGCAGATAGGGAGTACTTTCCCACAGGAGCCACAGATATAACTGTGGACAATCCCTGGGGTGGATGAAGACAATTGCTATTGTAATGAGGTCTCTGAATGACGAAGTCCCATCTCTTAAGGCCCCGGCAGCAGGCGCGCTCCTGAAGTCAGCAAAGCACATCGTGATAATATTCATAGAGAGGAACAAGATATTTCTCTTCAACGAACCACATGTGATGCTCGAGTCCGAAAAGATCTTGAGCATCGAGCAAAAGCTCCACAGAAAGGCTGTTGTTGCACATCTTGAAAAAGCAGCACAGACAGTGAAGAAGATGAACCCCAAGGCGGAAATATCAAAGCTTGTGATCAGCGGGGATGAAAAGTATAAAATAAGGAAATGCCTAGAATGCCTGGAGGTTCAAGCAGTCATGTTTATTGCCAAGCACAAGAAAAAGAAGTTTTATGAGTACTTTGTCCAGTCGCTGGAGGATTATGTATTTGAGATCGTGAAGATCCCGATCATTAAGGTGTTAACCCCGGAACACTGTCTCCAGATTCCTTGAAGTCAAAGGCATTCCAAAAATAAATTATAATCCAATAGACCCGAGAATTCTTTTGCACAGTAAACCTGTGGCGATTTTACATCCATACAAACATCCGGCTGCCGTCTCATTCCTCACCAGGCACATCTCTGAGACCACAATGGAATTCGATGCTATGCAGAGAAAGTCTATGACCGGCAGGTATTCCTCCCACTGATACCTCCACATTATCATGATGAATACAAACAAGTAGTAGAAGCTTGAGAGTAGAAGCGCACTGGATAGCTTTATGAATCCGGCACGCCTGTGGAACACAGTGAACGATAATACTAGAAGAAGCCCGGTCTCCATGAGACTCTCCACAGCATCTCTGAAGACAATGGATATTGCATCAACTGAAACAGCCTTCCCCAGGCCTTCTCCAGAAAGAAGAAGCCTAAGGGCATCATGGTGCCGAAGCATGGGCCCGGTAAGCACCCTGACGACCAACATGAGCAGAGCGCCCCCGGTGAAGTCCTTTTTGTTGTTGAAGAGGTAGTGTCTGAAGATTCTCCTTTTGAGCAAGAGAAGGTCTATAAGCTTCATCAGGCCATTCAGCTCAAAGTATCTGTCCATCTTCTTGCAGCATACCAGGCATTTCGAAATCTGCTTGGCAGAGGAATTCTTGAGAAACAATTGTTTTGCCCTGCACCCACATTCTATACACACATACATCTCTATTCTGCCAGGGCTTCTGCAGAATGTTTTCATTGCAAGAAGAAGTTTTGGCCGGTACCAGTACCCCTGGAGTAATGGCCATTGCATATATATTCGACGAGGAGGTAGGACTGTTCCACTATGGGCCTAGGCACCCTATGAAACCATTTAGAACAGTTCTTACGCACTCTCTAGTGAAGTCTTTTGGCCTCGACAAGAAGATGACGATAGTCAAGCCAGCAACAACCTCTTTGACATACCACACAAAGGAGTATCTGGAAAATCTTGGGAAGAACGAAACGCCTGACTGCCCTGATTTCATCGGGCTCTCCAGATTCTGTGAGCTATATGGGAGTGCTTCCATAAACTCTGCAATGATCCTTGCAGAGGGAGAGTACAGTACTGTGATCAACTGGAGCGGTGGGCTCCACCATGCACACAAAAGCGTTCCAAGTGGATTCTGCCATGTAAACGATATTGTGATGGCGATTCTAGAGCTTCTGAAGACATATCAAAGAGTCATGTACATAGACATAGATGCCCACCATGGAGATGGGGTTGAGGAAGCGTTCCTTGAATGCGACAGGGTTCTGACTCTTTCCCTGCATAAGTATGGAGACGGGTTTTTCCCCGAGACAGGGACTCTCATTACGACGGGGCATAAGGCTGTGAATGTTCCGCTTCTATCTGGAATTGATGATGCAGGCTACAAGTACATTTTCGAGCCGGTTGTGAAATCCTGTGTCAGGAAGTTCCTACCCGATGCAATTGTGCTGCAGTGCGGCGCAGACTCCTTGGGGGAAGATAGGCTGGGATGCTTCAACCTCTCAATAGAAGGCCATGCGTCGTGTGTTCGGTTTGTTAGCTCGCTTGGGATTCCTTTGCTCTGTCTTGGAGGAGGAGGATATACTCTGACTAATGTTGCAAGGTGCTGGGCATATGAGACGGCTGTTTTATGTGGAGAGGACCCCATTGTTGACATTCCCAAGGAGAATCCCTTCTATACATACTTCAGTCCTACATATACCATTAATCCGGTGTTCAAAAGGAAGTATGCCAATAAGAACGATAGGGAGTATCTGGACATGATTATGAGCTTTATACTTGATAAGGTGGATAAGTTTTGAGACTCTGGGCATAGCTTCTGCGAAGGACTGATTTTGGAGAATAAATTTTTTGCCCATTCATGGCGAGTGAGAAGCTTGAGAAGATCAAGTCGCAGGTCGAGTTTTACTTCAGCGATGCAAATTTCAGGGTCGACAAGTTCCTCAGGGAGCAGTCTTTGGTGAACGATGGCTATGTTCCCATTGAGACGATTATCTCGTTTAACAGGCTTAGAAGCCTCGAGGCAACTGTGGACGATGTCAAGGAGGCTCTTAAAGAAAGCAAGGTGGTTGAGCTCAAGGACGGGATGATAAAGAAGATCGAGACTGAGGAGTACCTGTCGTATGTCATGGAGAAGGATATAAGCAAGAGAGTGATATACATTGATGGGTTTCCAAAGGACATGTCTCTTGAGGATGTGAAGGACACCCTATCACCACACATTGTCCCTGTTTTGATCAGGATGAGGAAGGACAAAGGGAAGAGCTTTAGTGGAAGCATATTTGCAGAGATGAAGTCTGAGGAGGAGGCACAGAGGGCCCTATCTGAGAAGATTCCTGCAAAAAAGCGTGACGACGACGAGGAGAAGGCCAAGAAGCAAAAGAGCGAAGAGAAGTACCTTGTGATTATGACGAAGGAAGAGTATCTCAAGGAGAAGGAAAAGATGTCTGCAGAGAAGAAAGAAAAGGAGGCTAGAGAAGCTCTTGAAAAGGAGTTTGTGCCCAGACTGTTTAGATACGAGTCTGACAACGATCTTGACATCAAGGAAATAAAGAGCCTGGTCAAGAACACCGCCTTTGTGGACACTAAGGAGAAGGTGGTAAGGATGAAGCATGTAGAGGATTTCAAGGAGAAAAGGTTTGAGGAGGATGGAAGGAGCTTGACACTCATCAAGATGGAGGAAAGCGAGGCCCTTGAGTACTGTAAGAACATCAAGACTACATCCAAGAGACCAAAGCCCACTAAGAAATAAAGGATATTTTATTCGTAGTTTCATCTCTTTAGCTGATTTTTATTGGCGATTGTTTACTTGACCCATGGAAAAGCACCGTGTTGTACTAAGAGTCTATCCTCTTGGAGATGAGGCAATAAGAAGATTCGTTGCGTCGAAGTTAGGGAAGGAGGAAGTTCAGATATGGCACACATCAATCGAGGTCTACGGGGCAGAATATTACTTCCAAAATGGAATAATGAAAGCACTTCCCGGATCTACTATCCATGGCACACCTATAAAGACCCACGACCTCGGAACCACAGACATCCCCGAGATCGTGTTCGAGGACTTTCTTCACTCCATAGCAGACGATTTTGCCCCTCATAAGTATCACCTACTCAAAAACAACTGCAACAATTTCACAAACACACTAGCATTATATCTGGTTGAAAAGGCCATTCCGGGATACATCCTTGAGCTCCAGAATGCAGCATTAGAGTCTAAGGAGGTGTCGTCAATTGTTGATCTGTTCTTTGGAGCCTCCGAACAGGTGTGAGCTATATCTCCCCCTCCTCTTTTTCCTCGTCGATCGTTTCGAAGTATTTATCTATCGCTCTCCTATCTATCCCACTGATCCCCTTCCCCCTTTCTCTTTCGTGTCCCCTCAACCTATTCTCTAAGTCATTGATAAAATCGAAGTATATCTCCTTGGGACTCTCGATGCCTCCCAGAAGGTTCAAAAACGGCTCTGAGTCCTTGAATAAATGGAATGCATTCTTGAACTTCATTTTGTAGTATATCGATCCTTCGCTGTACATTCTTGACAGGAGCTTCTTAAACTCTTCTTTGTGATGGCTGGCACTTTGAAGAATCTCCATTTTCCTTTTTTTCATGTCTGAAAGGAACTCAGACTCTAGCCTGCGGAAGTATCGGATAAATGAGAACAGGATGGCCTTTCTGTCAAACCCCTCCAGCTCCTTCATCTTAATAACGTCTTCTACAGAGGTTTGAAGGCTGACACCCAGGTCTTCAAACACTTTTTCAAGCTTTCGTGAGGTAGTGCTTCCCACGTGCCTTTCAACATATGTTTCATAGCACGCGAACTTGTCTTCAATCCTCGAATAGTATGGATGCTTCGAAAACACATTGTTGAACCCAAAGAAGTCAGAAACACCGACATCAACTTTGCAAACCTCGTCCACATAGTACTTCTGCTCTCTAACCTCCTCTTCTTTGGCACTTCTCTCCTTATCTTCGAAATATCTTCTCATCAGAAGCTCTCTCTCACCTGCTTCCACTGCTCTGAATATAGGCTCCGTAGACAGCTTATAGAATGCATCTTTCATGCTTTCCACATCATATTGCTCCAGGAGTCTGTTCAGCAGGTATCTCGATGTCTCTTTGTCTGTTATCTTCATCCTTATTCCTATCCCCCTTATCATTCTTTTTCCTTCCTTTCTTTCAAATGGCCTCTTCCATCTACTCTCCCCGGTAATGGTGTTGTGATAGAAAGTCTTTCCTCGCCTGCTTTTACACTCAATCCATGGATCAACCTCAAACTCCTCATCAGAGCCCTTCAGCACATCCGGCTTTGTGAAGCTGCTCATCCTTGTTTTCTTGTTGTAGTAATACGTCCTGTTGTCCGGCGCAACAAGTACCTCGTAGTCAAGCCTCGACTCAGTAGCCCTCATTTCTATCGGGGTTGGCCACATCATCAAAAAGACAAACCTAATCACTCCTTTCATCGTTAAGAATACATTTATTTATTGTTGCTCTTATTCTTTAGTCTTGTGTTTAGCTCGTTGCAGTTATAGCAGTAGAATTCATTGAGGTCGTACTCACTCGGATGAACCAGCCCATTGTGATGGTTGCACCTCTTGCATATCAGTGCATACATCGTTCCAGGATCGTCCCCCAGGACAATGTCTGTCACACTGTCCATCATCCCTCTCCTTCTTTGCTTGATATTACCGAAGTAGTGTCTTCTCATCGACTCGCTTTCGTACTTGTCAATAACCTTCTTCGTGGCCTCAAAAGACTCCTCTTTCTTCAGGAGTGCAATCTGCTCCTTCTGCTTCTCTTTCAAAGCTTCGAGAGTAGTGTTCAGCCTTCGGATCCTCATCTCATACACCCAGACTAGAAGGCATCTTGCAATGTAGCATACAAAAGCACTCCCAGCCCCAAACAGAATTATGCTTTGTTCGTCCGTATACGAGTATATCATCGAAAGGACAATCACCACAAGTGATCCAGCCAACGACTTCGCTCGAACACTGTCCAGGGAGGCCGAAAGATTCTTTGCCTTTCTTTCCTTCTTGCTTATATCTTCCTCAAGCCTCACCAGACTTTCTCGGAGCGGAACATTCTTCGAGAGTACATTCCCCATTCAGAGGGGTATCCTAGCGCTTTGAACTAACAACTAAATTTTAATATTCTTCGACAATGTCAAACACCTCCTCCTTCTTGATCCTAATCGAGTTCACTGGATACACCAGAGTGTCTGTATTTCCAGAAACACCGACCTTCTTATAGTTCCTAAGAAACTCAACTCCAGAGTAATCAATCACACAAACATCAATGTTGGATCCAGAATACAGATCGTTCAGGATCCCTGCCTCTACGGCATCGCATGCAAGCTCAATGGCTTCACTCTTGTCCATTGGCCTGTATCTGCCCTCGAGTATCGCTATGGCTGCAAGAGACCCAGACCCAAGAGATGTAAACAGCACGGGATTAGACGATCCATGAGGGTGGATGTCGTATAGATGGCATCCCTCGTCATCTATCCCCCCAACTATCAGTGCCGCACCTATCCCTCCTCCATACTTGTGCAGGTGGCTCACACACACTTTTTTGAAGTGGGACACAAGTGGAGAGCGGAAGTACTTGTTTTGGAAAAGCCGGAGCTCTTTGGATGCCATTCTCGTTACTCTTTCTGCATCTGCTGCAGTCCCTGCGCCGCAGCACATAATCTTGTCTGAAATTCGGTGGATCTTCTCACAGTTCCTGTCGGAAACAACGGGCCCTTGTGTCGACCTTGTGTCTGCTGCAAGTATGACACCTGTCTTGTATTTGAGTCCTACAATTGTTGTCCCCGTCTTCACTATCATCCGGGGTTTCCCATGCTCAACATTAATCAGGCCTATTCTATCCTCCAGACAAACAATAAAAACCTGCATCTAAAAATATTGAAATCGACTTCCGTCCTTGTCCATGGTTTCTGACTCTATAGCAGTACCGTCCATGCACATAGTCCTTGCTGCCATGGTTCTTTTGTTGGACTTCCTATTCCTGCTATTCACAATCCAGAGGTCTCTGTACTTCTTTGGAAAGAGTGCGAGGAGAAGGCTGGAGAGTATAAGAGTCAAATTGGCGCCTGGAGGCAGAAGTGAGCTCTATCTAGTAGACTGCATGTCCTGTGCAGACCTTATCTATCTTCCAGGAAACTTCGTGGCCGTAGAAGAGCATATAGAGTTCTGTAAGTACATGTCGAAGATGCTTGAATGCAATGTGGTCTCGATGGTATACAGAGGAGTAGCAGGAAATCAGCACTCCCCCTCGGAAAAAGGGATAATCGAAGATCTGTCTCCAATCTCTCAGTGGATATCAAGAAGAAGCACCCGGAAGGTTGTGCTGGGGTTTTCCATAGGATCGGCTGTGGGAGTCCGTCTGGCTGAAAGGTGCCACGTCGATGCCCTGGTTCTAGTGAATCCGTTTGTTTCATTGAGAGAAGTAGTGGGCAACATTCTGTTTGGCAAAGTTCTGAAACATCTTGTGGTGGATGAATGGGATAATGCAAGTAGAATGAAAGGCATTGATGCGCCTGTCCACTTTATTGTTTCCTCCTCCGACGAGATAGTTCCCCCATCCCATGCAGATGAGCTCATCAAGAGAACAAGAAACCCGAGAAAGATTGTGATTCCCGGCGCAGACCATAACGAGCCCATGCGAAACTTCACGGCGCATCTATACCCTGTGGTGGATAAGATTCTAATGGAAAGATATCACTAGACGAATAGGATGTGGGTTTATTACCATATTTGCAACTAGTGGGGGTGGGAGCAGTGAATTACTGCAGCACTAGATAAATAGCCTATCAGAAGGGTAAGTATCCCGTGGATTCGGCTCACCTTTGGATGGTCGAACATTGGGGGAATCATCTCAATAGACACCATGAACATTATACTTCCCAAGGCAAGTCCTTTGAAGATATTTTTGATGGTTTGGCCAAAGAAGCCAGGTGCGGATCCTATCATAATCCCAATGGGCGTGAGGGATGAGTAGAATAGGGCAAGAATCAGCCCGGTGGAGAAGTTGAACCCAGAGGTGAACAGAGGAACGCCAAGGGCAAAAGATTCCAGAACTTTGTGGAGAATAAGCCCCATTTCCAAGGAGCCGATTTTGTCGATGGAGTTGAATGCCAAGCCTTCGAAAAATGAGTGGATGGAAATACCCAATATGTATATAAACACCTGTGTCTTTGAAGACGTATTCTTTATAACCTCACTTGGATCGCAGCATCCTAATCTCTCTGCCTCTTTTGCAGAAGTCTGTGCATTTAGAGGTTTTTCGGATGTCTTTTGAGTATGGTTTCCTTGGGCATCCACTTTGTGGTGGGGGTCATTTCCGTGGCATCCGGCATTGTGTGCATGCCTCTTTTTTTCTCCTTCTTCACAGTGTTTGTGCTTCAGAACAATGGTGTCGATAGCCAAGAGAAAGATAAAAGAAAGGCCTGCAGTGAAGAATCCAAGCATGGGAGACTCATGGGTGTGATGGCCGTGATGGTGATCATGACCGCTGTGCTCATGGCAGTCAGTGACCATGTGAGGACTCAGCTCTAGGAGCTGGACACCAAGAAGAAACCCGGCTGTCAAGAGAGTCAAAAAGGGGAATACTCTCCTAACAACCTTGAGAGATGTTATCATCTTTGGACTCAGACAAACAACCAGCGACGACGAAAATATTATCAACGCAAACAATAGCACTTGTAAATTCATTTTCCAAGGGCATCGAAATATTTGGCATTAAATCCAGCCTAGCACGTCTGCCCATGAATTTTCACTATCTCCATGGATATGGAGGCCTCATCCCTCAGGCCCTGCCTCAGTATGCTCGTAAGATTCTCTGCAATGCCGCTGTTTCCGTCGAGAATGGCGTCTGCTATGTGGCCATATACATTCCTCTTGTCTATCCCCAAGCCTTCAATATATCCAAGAAACACAGACACCACATTCATGCTGCTTCCAAGTGCACTAAGAGACAAGGTGTATCCCCTATCTTTCATCTCAAAGTGCCTTTCTCTCATCTCAGCCTTTCTTATGTCTCTCATGTGCCTCTCGTACTCCTTCTCAATCAACGCCCTTTCCTCTCTATCGAATGGCATCATCCGGTAGGAGGGGCCTTCGCAAGCCAGGCAGTGCCTTCCATTTGCACAGATTCAGATATAAAAATAAAAAAATGGCAATGCATCCATGGGTGTTCCCTCACTATTTAGATGGCTACAGCTTTCCCACAGAGAGGCAATCCACAACATCCTGGAAAATCCATCTGTGGACTGCCTGTACTTGGACTTCAATGCAATAATTCACACATGTATCAAGCCCGGACTGGGGTCTGAGGAGGAGATTGAGAAAGACCTATACAAGACAGTTGGAGACTTCATCGATTACATTCTTCTTAAGGTGCGGCCTAGGAAGTTACTGTACATAGCCATCGACGGAGTGGCGCCTCGAGCAAAGCTAAGCCACCAACGAGCTCGAAGATACAAGTCGGCGCTTGGGAAGAAGGAAGGAAGCGCGATAAAGCCCACTCTCCAGACGGATTTTGCTGTACAGCCGCCCAAGGAAGGAAAAGACGAGGGCGAGGACGGGGAGTTTACTGGAGAAAGTTCTCTGTACGACAAGTTTACGGCAGAAGATATCTCTGAGTCGTCCTCTCTTGCTGTGGATGTGGAGGCTGAGAAGTTTGATTTGAACTGCATTACCCCTGGAACGCCTTTTATGGAAAGGCTCCACAGCGTCCTTATTTCCTACATACAGTACAAGCTCAGCAGCGACCCGGGAGCCTCGCATTTAAGGATAATCTACTCTAGCTACCTTGTGCCGGGAGAAGGAGAGCAGAAGATCATGAGCTTCATAAGGAACCAGGAGTCTGCTGCAAGAAACGACGTTCACATGATATACTCTCCGGATGGAGACCTCATGTTCCTTGGCCTTTCTTTGCACAGGAGCAAGGTCCTGATAATGAGAGACTACTTCAGCCCAAACAGGGCACAGAAGAAGAAGGTCTGCACAAAGTGCGGGCGGACAGGGCACTCCAATGAGGAATGTGGGGTGTTTACCAACTACCACTTTGTGTATGTGAACATCTCCGAGCTCAGAACAAGGCTTATAAGGGAGTTCAGGAGATACACGGCACAGAGGTTCAGCGAAGAGAGGATCCTAAACGATTGGATATTTCTTTGTTTTCTCCTTGGAAATGACTTTGTACCGTCGATCCCATGCCTTGACATAAGGTTCCACTCCATTGAGACGATCACTGAGATCATGATGAAGAACTTCTCTGAGACAAAGTCGTACATCACATGTAACTCGGCCATTGACTACCAGGTTCTGAAGAACTTCTACACAATCCTTGCAAGCAAGGAGGACAGCCTGTACTACCGTAAGTCCCAGTCTTTAGACAGGTTTAGAGAGGAGCTGAAGGATATGCCCAACATTACCTACGAAAAGATTCCGATCCACACAAAAACAGGGAAGATCCAGTACTATGCATCGAAGCTGAACGCAAGCACGGAGTCGGAGATTAGGAGCGTATGCTACGAATATGTCAAGGGACTCTACTGGGTATACTCGTACTACATCCTTGGGTCTACTGGATGGGACTGGTACTATCCATATCACTTTGCACCTCTTGCAGCAGACCTGTCGAAGCTTTCGATAAGCGAGATACGTATCAACCCGGGGCTTCCTTTGAGGCCTCTTGAGCAGCTTCTGGCGGTTCTCCCACCCATGAGCAAAAGTATGGTTCCTAAGGCCCTCCAGCCCATATTTAATGAGTATAAGGATTTCTATCCGGAAGATGTAAAGACTGACATGTTTGACAAAGTCTTTCTGTGGCAAGAGGTCGTCATTCTCCCGTTTGTGGACTTTCGAAGCATTCTGTCTGAAAATGCATCAAAGTTCAACTCTCTTGAGTACGAAGACCTGAACAGAAACTTAAGAAGCCTAGACCTATTCTTCACGTCTGATAAGAAGTCAAGTGAGATAATAATGAGCATGTACTCCGAATTAAAGCCAACGTGCTCGATAAAAGGCCCTGGATACTCAGGAAATGTTCTGCCTTACTCATTTGCTAGCTTCCCAGGCGACATGCTTGAGTACAATGGCACTAAATTTGCTAACAGAACTACCGTTGGTTTCATAGAGTCTAAGAAGAATTAAATGTCTCCTACCTATTCTTTAATCGAAATCTTTGTCATCAAACCTCACAACCTCTAACATCCCTGTCTCCATGTCGAGGACAACCACCTCATGCCTCTTGGTAAACCGGGGAATCGTGAAAAACAGTGTTGTGCCGTCCTCAGACCGGCCCTCGAGAAATTCGTCTGTATCGCCTACACAAAAATAATCTACTTGCTCTGTCACAACAAATGGATCTCTGCCCGAAAACGGCACAGATTGGATGGTGTCTGGGGCTGTTGGGCAGATATGTCCGGCCTTCATTAGAACGGCCAATGCACTTACGATATTGCCCTCATTACTCATGCTTCTTGGCACGGCCCCATCTATCTTCTCCATGTCAAGGTGCATCTTGTATTCAAAGCTTTTTCCTTGAACATCGCCTAGGTCTTGAGGAAGGTATTTCAGAAGATCCTCTATTACAAATCTTGTTGTGATCAGCACATTCCTGTTGTCTACTTCCAGGCGGCACGGATTTGTATTCGTCTTCACAGGAGATGTGAACAGCTTCGGATGAATGGGCAGCAGCGGCAGGACCCTAGATCCAAAGTCTTTTATGTTTGGAACAAGATCGATCCTTCCTTCCACATACCTCAGGACGTCGTCCAGGGAGGAGAGCATATGCTTATCAACCTCCTTGGATTCATCAAAGAAGCCTCCAATCATGATGTATTCTTTCACCCCCACCGTCCGAAGATAGTCAATTATTACCATCATTCTTTCCCTGCTTTTGTTCTCGCTACTTATAGAAGGCCCGCTTATGAAGCAGATTTTTTTTCCAGAGCTCAGGCTTTTGGAAACGGGAAGGTCTCGAGGATAGGAAAACGGAAACAGAATGTCCTCAGCAAGGAATCTTCCCCTTTCTGCCATCACCCCGGACACTCCAATGCACATCCCGGTACTTATCACAAAGTTTCTTTGGTACACCCGGGAAATATCCGGAAACTCAAGCTCTATTCTTCCGCTCCCATCCTCCAAAAAGTACTTCATCCCCCGGGAGTAGTATGTCTTTGCCTCTATCTTCTTTATCTCTTTGGACTTCCTGTCTATTTTGTCGAATATTGTAGGCTTTAAGTCACTGACTATGAAAAGCGTCCCAACTATCACACTCTTCCTGTCTCCAGGCTCTTGTTCGGCATCAAGAATCGAATCCAGTACCGGGCCTACACCCAGTGCCCTTGCAGACCTCATGACGTACGGCTTCAGCTCAGTAAGCCTTGCGTCATATGTCCTGTTGAATTGGTGCTCATAGTTCACTAAAGATAGATCGTCCATCCCAGGATCAGGGGCTTTGAAGACATCTAACCGTCACTGCAAAAAGTAAATAGTTTATTGGCAGAACGACAGCAAGGCCAGAAGCTCACCTATCGAAGTGAATATAGAATTCGTGGATGCCCTCTCCGATCTTCTCTAGTATTGGTAGGTCAAAAGGAAAAAAATATAAGCAATCGTTGTCGTAACTCGAAAACACCTTGCATTCATAGCCAAACAGCTCGCAGAACATCTCCACAACATTCCTGTTCATGTATCTCGCAATCCCAGAGTCAAAGACCCACTCTATGATATCCCTTGCCGCCACAGCAACCTCTCTTCTGAAACAGGCGATGTACAAAAGACATTGGCATGCAGCAACAGACAGGATCGAATGCGCCCTGCTAAGTGACTTGACATATGATATGTAGTCCCGAATATATGTGGACTTCAGCTCCCCATCCACCTTGCATCTCACAATTAAAGACGATAAATAAGGAAGGTACACCGTTGGGTTTTTGCGTGCTAGTTTGAATAGAAATCCAAAGACAGCCTGCGGATTCCGGCAGCAAAGCTTAAAGAGAAGAAACTGGACGTTCCGGGTCCTCGAAAGCAATGAAACCTCAAAGGCTTTGAGAACCTCGTCGATGTTGAAGTCGTGGATGGCGTCAGACAGGTTCTCGTATGCAAACAGAAACATCTTAATCTTCTCCCTGAGATTTGCATGGCTTCCTTCTATGGGTGTGTCATAGTCAGATATAACCTCGTCCCATTCGTCCTGAGTCAGTATCCCGTGCATTACACTTATGTAGGCATCAAGATTCGTAAGCTCCTTCACAAGGCTCAGAAGAGTAGGTCTCATCAGCGTTCTGTCGTGTGCATAGAGCACCATTCTATCCGCAACAGCCAGATCAATAGGCGTCTTCTTCAAGCTTTCTAGGAATTCTAGTCTTTCTTTATAAGTTAACGCCATGGGGATCAAATTTTTTGTTCTTTAATATAAAGACCCTTCCAAGGATGTAAGACAGGGTTAATTTAGTGTGCACAGGCTTCAGGGCCGTTCTCTTCCCCAGCCAAGGAGTGCCCTAGCCCATGTTCTTTCTCAAGCTCCTTGTAGTATTTCTTATGCTCTTCAAGATTTACAAGAGCCTGGTTGTACAGAAATCTAAAGTCCTCAAATACTAAGGAAAACGAATCTGCTAGGGGGATCGATACGTTCTCGAGAAGCTTTATATCCTCGCATATGTCCTTAAGCGTTCTATTGTAGCTGTCGTCATCATACATCTCCGACCAAAATGCAATCGAGTTCTTATTAAAGATCTTATAGTCCTTGTAGCACGAGCTCAAGTCTGCTATTTTTACAATCATTTTCAGCTCTATTTCAGAGACCTCCCTCTTGGCATTACTCTTGGCCGCTCTCCCAGGCTTCTCCTTCTCAAAGTACTTTTCCTCAAATGCATCGATTATCTCTTTGTTCAGTTGTAAATCCGTTGCAAAAATCATCTTTTTGATGAAGTCTAATCTTTTCTCAAACTCTACATTATCCATACTCCCAAACAGCTTGCGCCTATATCTAACAATCCCCTTCCTGCATATGGCTGCATGTATCACCTCGAAAGACATCGCGTCGGGGCTCCCGTATATCTCATACAGCCTTCCGATCCTTTCTCTGCTTTTTTCCCCTGGATGCCCCACGTCATGTAGGCTCAATGCTATCACTAGGCACATCTTGTCTAGCATTGGCAAGCAGCATATCCTTTCCAACCTTCGGAGAATGAAGTCTCCAAAGCACAGCGTGTTTATCAAGTGATCGAGATTGTGGTATCTGTGGGGAAGTACATGGAGAAAAGAAAATGAAAAAAACGACTTCAATGCTTCTAGATTCACCTCAAGAAGACTGAATCTGGAGTCCTTTACTAGGGTTTGTACAGCGGCAGATATTGCGTCGGCAAGTGATATTCCCTCCAGGTGAAAGAACTTGTAGGAGGACAAGTCTAGTTGAAAATCTTCCATCGGCCTGGAGTAAAAACTCTTCTTGCCTTCAGCAACCCTTACTACCGTGTCGCATATATATTTGGATATTTCTTCGCTTTGATCCATTAAAACCTGATTTCTTCCAAGGGTCGGGGTTTGAAGTATTTCTTCGGTCCTATAATTCTTGAGCTAATTTTTCTCTGGCTTAATATCGAAAAAATTTATTCGTTAGACAAGCTTTATATTCAGGTAGTGTCATATGGCAGAAAAGTTAAAGTTCTCCTTCTCGCCCTCAACGACGGAAACCCCCAGGTTACCTTTGAATGCTTGAACCGCAATGATATAGTGCGGTGATTCAAGGTCTACCCTCAGGGATATGCTCTTCGTTATAAGGTCGAAAACCTTTTTTTTCATCTCATGGTGGCACAGCCTCCCTTCGTACATTATTCTGTAGCTCTTGTTCTCATCAAGTCTTCCGATGCTCTCCAGGATTTTTTCTTCGTCAAATTGGAAGAAATTGTCCAGTGGAACTATTCTGTGCACATACTCAAACCTTGTCCCGGAAGCTCTGAGCTTGTAGAACAGAGACAGAGACGTTTCGGTGCTTCTGTTCTCCAGCAGCAGAACGCATCTGTACCCGTCATGCTTCGTGAATTGTGTGCAGCTCTTGTATTCCTCTATTTCCTCTTCAAGAATCCTTCGAATGCTTTTTTCTTCCGAGTTCTTTCTTGGTGGCTCCACTAGCCCCTGCAGCTTTCCTGTCACCTCCCTCAGCCCTTTGGATTCCTTGTTTAGGCGGCAGGAAACAAAAAAGCCGGTTCTCATGGGGTGATCGAGCTACATCTCTTACAGCCCCGGTGATTGTGATGAAGGAAGACGAAACGGATGTCGAGATCATAGAGCACTGCACAGAGGCCCTTGGAAGCCATGAAAGCCTCTATAAGAAGAAGACACCGCTTGCAAATGTTGAGGAAAAAGACCTGCATTACTTCGATTTCATAGCTCAGAATGAATGGAGAAAGGCAGTTGCAGGGTTCTTTGGGTTTGGGGGTGCAGGAAAAACATCTCTGATCAGGCTGCTCGGAAGTAGGAGTGTTATAAAAGGGGCTGGTCCGTGCCTCTCCACGGAGACCCGATATGAGATGGAAAGAGGATGTACAGTCCATGTCCACCCAACCGTGGCCTTCCTGCAGAGAGAAAATGGGGCCTCATGTATAATAACTCTTCTGGACACTCCTGGGCATTCAGATCTAGCACCAGAGGCCCTTAGGATACTTAGATGCATTGACATTGCCATCATAGTTCTTGATATCTGCTGTGACTTGTCTCTTCAGCACGAGCTGATTTTTGATGCTGTTAATTCCAGTGGTAAGCCGTCAATCGTAGTCCTCAACAAAACTGATCTGGTCGGAAAGGAGTCTAAAAGCCTTGCCGAGAGGAAGATAGAACACCTCAGAGGTGTTGTTGAAGCAAGGGTGCATCCTAGAGCGTGGTTTATTTCGTCCTTTAAGTGTGGGATGTTTAGCAGAATGAATGGAGACGTGTTTGAACCATGCAGGGAGCCTGAGAGTGGGCTTAATGAGCTAATAGAGGAAATGCTTTCCACGAAGTTGGCGGAACACAAACGTGATGATGAAGAAAGGTTAGAAGGGTTTTTGTGGGCAGGAGAGACAATGCTGTCTAGCCTTGTACCAAGGGCTGATGTCAATGTGGGATCTACAGCTAAGATCAGTGGGGCTAATTTAGTTGCTGAGAGGCTCTACATTCCGTTTCCAGGGTGTCTTGTAGAGACCAGGGCTGCTAAGGCAAATGTCGGGGTGCTAGTAAAGTTCCAAGAGACTCTCCTGCAGAGGATTGCATCTCTTGACACCCGAAGAGCCCCAGTGCCTACGATTAAAAAGGTTTTGGAAGAGGAGAAACTAGTATGTGCCAGCTCTGGGTTTCTTGAGATGGGAGATCCAGTTGTTAGGGTCCAGATAGACCTCAGGGATGAAGAAGGCTTCTTGAGTGAAGCTTGGAAGCTAGAGCTAATATACCGTGGGCTGAAAATAGATAAAAAGAACCTATATGGAAACGGAGAGCTGTTTATGGATGCCGTACTGTATGACTTGAGGAATGTCTTGAATGTTGAATTTCAAGTTTTGAGCGTTTCAGCAAATCTCAAAGAAGCATTCAGAGGCTCGTTTGTAGAGGAAGTGGAGACAGAAGAAGGGCTAATAACGGTCAAAGGGGGGAAGCCTGCAGACGCTGATCAAGATTGCAAGCAGTCTGAAGATATAGAGGGATGGATATTGAGTGAAGGCCTTCTCATCGGAGAGCCTTTTTTCCATTCATATCTGAGCATATCCCCTAAACCTTTGGAACTGGATTCTGAATGTCTTAGGAAAGTAAAGAGCTCTGTGGCCAGGCATGCTGCGATTCTGGAGCCTCTCTATCTGGTTGAAGTGGTGTATGCACCAGAAGCAGAGGATCTTGTCAATGAGATAATCACTTCCTCCTTTGGAGAAGTAATTCGGCAAGGGACTTTTCCGTTTAGTATACTAAGAAGCGTGCTGTGCTACATTCCTGTTGCAGAATCCTTTGGGTTTGAAACGGACCTTAGGATCTACTCCTGCTCAAGGGCCGATTGCACAAAGATTCCATTCTATTGGAGCATAGTGGCGGACAGGAGCAGAGAGTCCAGCCTGGTGAAATTCATGAGAAAAATCAAGAGATCTGTGCCGAAAAGCAACTGAAACTGCAAAAGGACTTTATTAATGAAGAGCTACCTTTTTATCCCACTTTCCAAAACAGCAGCTCTGTAATTTTCATATATTTCACTTGCAGTATAGTCGATGAGTCCATAGATATGGGTGCTGAGAAGCAGCTCTCTCAGCGCAGGAAAGTCACAATGCTCTGGGTTGTCGATATTTACACTTCCCCACTGATAGTTTCTTGTCCTTGATTCAAGGTTTTCTCTATCTGCAGAAACGACCATGAATGGGACGAGGCTGTTTAAATCATTTCCTGCCGTGGGTGAAGAATAAACCTCGGGATCGTCCAGGTCGAAGATGGAGATGTTGTAGTATCTCAGCTGCTCCATAACCTGTCTCTTGACCTCTATTCTTTCTGTAATGCTCAGCCCATCCGACTTGCTGATTACCGGAATGATGTTGACTAGCCCGGAGACCTTCTTCAGGAACACGATATCTCTGTTCTTGAGTCCAAAAGAAGTTGAAGGTATGAAATACAGCAGGCAATGGACCCTTGTGTCCTCGTATTTGGGGTTTCTTCTAATCTTTGACTCCTCTGTTATGAACATGTCTAGCTGAGCTTTGATAAAGTTGCAAATTGTTTCCTGTATCTCAGTGTCATCAAGAGCGTCTCCAAACCCGGGCGTGTCAACAAAGGTAATCCTTTGCATAATACCCTCACAATCTAGATTCAGCATGTAGAGGTCGATTCCCTCCTGGCCCTTCGATGTGACAATTTCCTTTCCTATCAGAGTGTTGAAGAACGACGATTTTCCAGATCCCTTTGGCCCGGCAGCCATGATCGTGAATCTCCTGTTCTGCCTTCGAACAATCATTTGTTTGTTTATGTACTTGGCTATTTAATAAACAAAAGCTAGGGCCTCTTGATTTTCATCATGGCGAGGAGAGGGAAAAGAAGTCCTTAAAATGTTCTCTGACAGAATAGCATGCGCCCACTGCCTCAAGGATGCAAGAGTGTAGCTTGTCGCACACAATCCTCCCATTTAGAGACAGGTAGGCAATGCTTTTTCTGTTCATTAGATATGCAACAGTAACAACGGGAATCCTTTGGCTCTCCTCCGTAGACGTAAGGTCAACACAGCCCCCTCCAACAGTGGCAGAGTAACACATGTCCGTCAAGGGCATCCCGAAGTATGACAAGCAAATGGTTATGCAGTTAATCATGGTGGACAGCAGTGACCCTCCGTCCTCCCGAACAATGACTTTGATGTCTACCAAGGCCTCTGGGAGCAGAACATCACTAAATATATCCAGCAGAACATCTTCATACTCCAGCATCCTCTTCTCATTTACAGGCTCTTGCCTAGAAACAGCATAAAACTCCACCTCAATGCTCATCTTCCCAATCTCTTTAGGGCCGCTACACATCACAGACACCTGGGTGTTCCCTTGTCTCATGTCCACAATGCCTTTGCCCTCGACCATCTTTTTTGCAACCTCCACTCTTCTCAGCTCATTGGGCCTTCTTCCATCCTCTCTGAATCCCTCCTCAGAGACTAGCATGAATAGGCTTGGTACAATTTTACATAAAATATCTACAGAGGGCTGAAAAAAGATCATAAGGCCGATCCTCACAAACCTGATGGGTTCGGAATATATGGAGTGCAGGAACCTGCTTGAGATAAAGAATATCCGGGACATCGTGAGCATATCAAGATTGCTTGGGATGCCGCAGAAAACCACATACTTCACATCAGCCGTCTACTACAAATACATTTCTATGCCGAAGAGCAGAAAGACCATTCCGATAGGTGCTGCGTGCATACTGCTATCTGGAAAGGTGAATGGGTCTCTAAGGAGTCTTGAGCAGATTCTGAAAGCGAGCTACAAGCACCATGGCGTCGATCCAGAGAAGTTCTTTCAGGATGACTATAAAGATGCAATCGATATTGAGCTCCATGCCTGCATTGCAATGGACTTCGACTTCGACATGGACGATCCGTATAGCTTTCTGGAGAAAATCTGTATGGATAACGATGTCGACAGATCAAGAGCACAAACAATGTGGGTTATGCTGAACGACACAATGTATCTACCACTTATACTGTCCTTCAGCATAAGAAGCATAGTTGTGAGCTGCATGTTTGTCTCGGACATTGCCAGGGACAAGGGATGCAAGGACATTGACGAGTTCAAAGAAAGATATAAGCTCACAGAAATCAATACTGGGGACATAGACTTTATTTCCAAAGAAATTGTATCGTTTTATGAGCACATGCCAAAATAGAGTATCTACATAGAAAGGCTGGTCTTGGATAGAATTGCAGTGTGCTACTTCTTGCAACACTCGTCAACCCAGGCTGAATACACATCAATACCTGTGGTGAGCTTGTTTGCATCACAACTGAAACTTGCATCGCATACAGAGCAGTTCGCAAACCCCTTCATCAACGTCTTCTTGATGGTGCACTGGACAACGTTTTCATGGTTACACAGCGGGCAGTTGAATCTCCTTTCGAGCTTGGATTGCCTTCTTGGAACATTGAGTTTTCTTTTCACTTTCTTTCTACTCATGAGGGGATCTGGAGGCTAGGATTAACTTATCTCTGGAAGGACATTAGGAGCAGCATTTTGTATCCCAGGAATGGATATAACGGATGCAGAGGAAAGTGACGTTGAACTGATAGAGCTTCAGGGAGAGGTTGAGAACATGGATGCATTTGATGGAAGACTCGATAAGGAGCTTGTCCAGCTTGAGTTTGGAACATGTGTTCTTCATGGAAGGAAGGTGCATAAGGAGTTCTGTGTCCTTGAGGCAGACATCTGCAATGAAAAGCCCTGCTTGAGGGTGATAAAGAGGATCAAATGCGTATACTTATTTGACAAGCCTCCTAGATATAGAAGGCCCAGCTCCTCAAAGGACATCTAGGTATCCGTACAGCATACAATGCATTCCTCATCCCTCCCAAGACATAGCTTTTCAAGGGCAATATTCTCCTCTCCGGTGTAGAATATGAAGTCGTAGGGTAGGTTTGGGCCGTCTAGCAACTTATAGGCCAAGCTTGCGCATATGGAATTAATAAAGCATACATTTGGCATTATTCCATCGTACATCCCAGAGACATCGAACGCATCTGTCCTCAATTTCTCCTCGGCCAAAGCATTGAACTCGTTGACTATCTGCTCAATTTTCTCCTTCCTATTTCCAGGAAAGTCCCTCCTAAGCTCCACCAAAGACCGAAGTACTTTTTCTCTGTTCTCTGATGTTATCTTCTCGGGCAAAGAGCTCAGAGAGCAGATTCCTACCCCGTCCTCTCTATAAAGCTCTCGAATACAGTACAGGCACGAAGACCCCCTGTAAACAGCCTTCGCGTGTGCTTTGTAGCCACTTATTCCGCAATCTATCAGGAGCCTACACTTGGATCTTCTGAACATCAGGTTCAGATTCATTCTTCCCTCGATGTTGTCAAGAGCCCCAAAAATCACGTCATACCGATCGAGAACATCTACGGACACTTCTTCTATTCTTTGCGTTAGGAAGCTTGCCTTAATCCCATACATCTTAGACACAAACTCAGATGCTTTCTGCGACTTGTACTCTCCCCTGTCTCCACTAGTAAACATGAAGAGCCTGTGGAGATTCGTCAGGTTGACTCTGTCATGATCTATCACGAGAACCTCGCTGGCAATGCCCCTTGAAATCTTTAGCAGCTCCACACCCGTTCCGCCACATCCTAAAATTAACTCTAATGGCACTTACCGACTAGAATCATCTTCATGAGGGAGACAGAAAAAGAAACATTTCACACATAAGGAACACTTGTTTTATTTAGAACTGCCATGGCATGGATCAGAATGCCTTGAGAACATCCGGATATATCCTTATTATCTTCTCCTGTACATCAATGAGAATGAGGGCCTGCTCAACAAGAAATAGCTCATCGTAGCTTACTGCACACTTCAGGGCCTCCTCATATACTTCTCTGCTGCTCTTATCGTTTCTTCCAAGAAGAATTCCTCCCAGGTAGACATATGGCTTAAAGAACCTTGCATCTGTTTTGATGGCAAGTCTAAAGTATCTTTCTGCATCAGAGACATCATTTCTTGCCTGCGCAACTATCCCCTTGAACAGAAAGAACCGGGGATCCTCGCGATAGTGCTTCTCAAAGCTTGACATTATCGCCTCTAACTTTGCCGTGTCTTTGCACCTTAGATAATACTCGCAGGCAATCGACAGAACATGAATGCTTAGTGGATGGCTTTCGAGCGCCTTATCCAAGAACTCTTCTGCCTTCTCGTTTCTTCCATGCCCAACTTCGTAGATTATCCGGTCCACATACAGAAAATCATGTTCTTCGCATTCCATGGCCATAGCAATAAACTTTTCGTACAACTCATAATTCTTGAGGTTGAGGTGGATCTTTGATGCATAGAATAGAACAGACACACTTTTGCTGTTCTTCACCACAAAGTCCTCTATATCCATAGGCATGCGCCCATGCAAAGACTTAAGATACTCCCTAAGACAGATAGAGAAAATCATCTTCTCATGCTCCAGTAGCGAAATCGAGGCCATATCATTTCCCCTCACATGCATCATCCCTGCAGTCACAAACTTCGATATGCTATCATCTCTCTTCCCTGCCTTCTCAAAGGCTTCGTCATACTTTCCATCCCGGATCAGTCTGACAAGCTCATCATTAACAAAAGACTCATTTCCAAACAAGTCGGGAAATGTCCCAAAAAAGCTCTCGTATGAAATTCTCGATGGACTTGCCTCCCTCTCCCCAGCCATCTTCTTCGCCTCCCCCTCCGCCTCCATCTTCAGAATCTCCTGCGCAAGCTTCCTGTATTTCTCATCCTTTGTCACAAGCCCGCATAGAAAGGCGTCACAGAGCGTTTCTCTCCTCATGTCTAGGGCCTTGTGGCACTCATATCTCAGCCTCAGTGCCTTCTCATTCTCAAGTATATTTATCTTAAGAGACCTCTCAGCATAAAGGGCTGCCTCCTTGTAGGCCTTGATCTTTGCAAGGCATATCGCAAGGTTGTTGTAGACATTGACAAGCCTCTCGTCTCCTTCTTCCATTATACTCAGGCACCTCAGATACGAGAGTGCTGCCTCACTATACACTTTTTCCTTCAACAACAAAAGCCCTCTTTCCATATGCTCCAGAATGCTTCTTTCTCTCTTGTTTCTTCTCCATACCCGTACCCCTTGACATACAAGCATAGCTCCAGACATAATGGCAATAGTTAGAAAAGCTGAAGTCTTCCTTCCCACCATTGGGCCCAAAATATTGACCAATTTTTACTCACGTCAAACACTCATGCTTCAAGACATCCGTAAAGCTCCTTGAACTTATCTGCAAACCTCGAGCTCTTGCCTTTCACAAGCATCTCTAACTCATATGCTTCCTCTCTCATTGCCTCAAACAGGAAGTACAGCATCGTCTCTTTGGTCCTGTGGATATACTCCTCAGGAAACTTTCCTTTAGTCCATGAGAGACAGGAAATAACAAGCTCATAGTACCTTTCTAGGTGTGTGCTTGATTCCTTGAAGTCTATTGCGCTTCCAGACAGAATCATGGCCCTTGATGCAGCACACACATACATGGTCTCTAGATCTTTTGGCACCTTTTCATTGCTCCCCTCAGCTACAGCACAGCCTTGAAGATACAAGTAAATTACGGCTGATGTTTCCGATGGCAATTCTTGGCTGCCCTTCAGGATCATATTTAGGAGCTCAATAACGCTTGAGTCGAAGCAAACAAAGTCCTTTTGCAATCTCTTCACAAAGGCCTTCAAGAAGGCCAATCTCTGCTCCGGAGACTCCAGGCCGCTTATATAGTCAGATATAATGCTCCTCAGCCTAACTGCTCTTTGATCCGTGCTCTGAGTGTTCCGAAGAAACAAGTCCACAAGAACACTCCACTTCTTCTCAGCCCCAATCTGTGCAAAGGACCTTAGCAACAAGTATCCGGAGTACAGCAGGAGATCAACCCTGTCCCCGACAGACCCTATGAACAATTCAATATACACAAGGTGATCGGAACTTCTTACAAAGAAATCATCAAACATGAACTGCAGCCACTCCTCTTGCTGCCCAGGATGGCAAGCAAAAACAATCATGTCCGACCATGAAACATCTTTTTTCAGATTCTCCAAGAATCTAAGTACTTTTGATGGGCACCTTGTGGATTCTATATCATTATAGAACACAATCCTGTCAAACTCGGTTTTCCATGGATATAGAGCTTCAAGGCTTCTATACTTTGCAGAAAGAAACCTGTCGTGGATGCTGTACCATTCATTCAACCCTCTGTGATCTGTCCTTGGAAGAACCAGTCCCTGGACTAGAGAATATGCATAAGAGAAATCGGCCCCCACAAGCTCAGGCACGAGGCGGCATATTGATGGAATTGCCTCCATTATGCACACCATTGCAAAAACCTCCTCGTAGAGCGCCATTGCTCCGTTGGAAAGAGATTCAAGGTGGAATATGATTTCCTTGAGTATCCCGGAAGATGTCCTGGAAACATCCGTAGAAAAATCGAACCCAGTAAGGAGCTCGATTGTTGAAATTATCTCATCCGCATCTTTCTCGTTGATGAACACAAAGCTTGTATGCCGGGAAATTATACCTATGAGATAGGAGATAAGCGACAGTACATACTCGTCCTTTCCACTCATGGTGCCCGGGATGTATGTTAGTACGGACCGAAGTGCAATGCAGCATGCCACGATGTTCTTGTCAAGGATGTTGTGCTTCACATACGTGGTCAATCTAGTAAATATCGGCAGGAGCCTCTTGAAGCACATTGCTTCGTTGTCCAGCAAGGCTATGACCAGGCCTATCTCCTTGTAGCTAAAGCCACAACTAAAGATTCTCCTTATCATCGACTTGTACAGGCTATATGTCTGGCTATATCCAAAATATCCTCTGTAGTACTCAAGATCTTCACAGGATAGCTTCAGCTCACACACAGAGCTTACGAAATCCTCCATTCCGATCGGAATTATGGTCTTTCTCACAAACTCCACCATCTTCTGGTTGAAGTCCACATCCACAACCTTTTCTGCCTCTATAAACTCACTGAAAAAGGTCTTGAGATCCTTCATGAGCCGGGTGCTTCCTTCAGAAGCCGGCATGGGAAGGTTTACAAGCAGAAAGTACTTTACATAGACGTCGGGGATTGAGAGGATGTCCTCTAGGGATAAAGCGTCTGATGCTATCTCCACTGCCCTTTGCCTATCTGTCTCTATGTAGAAGTCTATGTCACTCGCAACGGCCATCCGAGCTTGATCTGCGGCAGAATTTCAACGAAAAGGATACCAATGGCGTTGTAGGATGTGTATCGTGTGGTGGAAGATGTTTGATCTTGGAAACTCGGAATTTGACGACCCCACGAAATAGCCCTGGATAACAACTATGGGAGATAGAGATCTTGGGCTTGAAAAGAAGATACACAAAGCTGCACTTCTTGAGACGGTTGGTGTTTTAAACCAAGTTGCAGATAAGAAGGACAAAGGCGGCAAGAAAAAGACCTATGTAAAGTCTGAGAAAAAGGAAAAAGAGAGTAAGAGGGACACTCGGAAAAAAACCGACAATCATGGAATAAGGCCAAATAAGCAGAAAAGAAATGCAATGAGAAAGTGTGGCCAAGTTGCAAACGAGAAGGAAAGTAAGGATTCAGAGAAGTGTCTAGAAAAGATGACGAGGAAAGAGAGAAGGTTGGAGAAGCTGAGGAGTAGGGGAAAGGGGCCATCCTCAAAGGAATACTATGAAAAGTTTATCAAGAAGCGCAAAGACAACTCTCCAGAGAAGAAAGTTTCCAAAAGCGTCCTTCCTTCGAAACGCAAGGAGGACTTTCCCAAAGACGATGGAGGCAAGAGAAATAAAGTGTCTTCGTCCCGCAAAAAGAAGAGGTAAAAATCAATAGCGGTCTATTCCTGGAATTAAATCCTTCTTATGCTTTTTCTTCTCTATCAAGACAGTTTTTGTGTGAGAAAGCTGGATATCCTGTGTGGGTAGAAGCTTTACGATGGAGCAACAGATGGAGGAGACATCATCGAATATACAGATATCTATCGCTTTTTGTGCCCTGTAGTAGATGGGCTGTTTGTTCTCAGACCAGACCTTCAAGTGCACATCGCAATGGCTGCTTTCGATGGTTAAGCATGCAGAGAACCTTATAGGCATCTTACTACGAACTTTAACCTTCGATGGAACATCTACGTCGTACCTGAGGAACCTTATCGACTTAAAATCCAGACTCTTTATGTACTCTATAAAGAGCTTGATGTTACTGATAAGCGAAATGTCGAAGTCTGTATTTACAAAGAGAAATTGGATCTTTCTGAGTATATTATCTCTTTTCTTACGAAGAAGCTCATCCATTCCTTTGTAGACATAGTATATAAACAGATACCGGTCGTCATCATTCTCTTTCATCTGGTTGAAAAGCCTCTTGTAGTGCCCCTTCTTATCCACACTAGGCTCTTCAAGAAACTGGCAGAGAATGTCCTTGAAAAATATGTATCCATCTCCGCATCCGTTGGGCTTGGAGCACTCCATAATGTCGAGAAACAGGAAGTGATCCTCAATGATCTTACTTATCCTCATTTCTGGATCAGCCCTTTTCATCTCTCTTAAGACCATCAATCTTGCAACATAAAGGTTGTCCTCAAGAGATTCCTCGACCTGGGCCATGGGCGTGTGCTTATAGAATCTGTCGACGTTTGCAAGAAACAGCTTCTTGTTTCTGGACACAATTTTTCCTATGCACCTAAATACATCTCTAGGTCCCACATTCACCTCCATATGAGAAGTCAAGATGTTGAAGACTTCTACGTCTTCATACTTGAGGTTTCCAAGTAGGCCCAGGATATTTGCCTTGACATTGCAGCTTCTTTCCTTGAGGCTCTCACTGATCTGCCGGACTATCTCCTTGTCCACAGCTAGCACATACTTCATGCTTATCTTCTTGAGGTAAAGGGTACAGAGCTCCCTGACACCGCTGTCGTCGTCATTCAAAGAGTCGACAATGAAGTCAAAGGCTTTCGAGGCGATCCCCGGTGTAATCAGCGAGAATACAGATGATATTGTATTTCTGCGAACATCAGAGTACTCGTCCTCAATACCGTATATCAATCCCCCGCAAAGCTCCTGGTCATCGGGGCTAGTGACCTGCTTGCTCAGAAGCCTCCCGATCATCTCGTCGGGAAGGCCCTTGAACTCTCCAATTGCCTTTGAAGCAAACACCCTTATTGAAAGCTCTCTATCGTGTATTCCATGGCACACTGCTCTGAGTATCTTTGTCTTGTATCTCTCGTCTTCGGAGAACCTCATCAGCTGGTGCAGCGCCGCTTCTCTAACATCCTTGTTTCCATCCCTTGCCTGCTTTATCAAGGAGAGAATCCTGATATTCCCCTTCTGCCTTAAATAGATTGCCCTGATCAAGTGGTCGGGATCATGCTGAAAAGAGGGAGGAGGTGGTATGTCTGGGAAATGCTTGCAGTGCAGCATCAGTGAGATTTTCCTTACCTTGGAGCTTTCATGGAGAATCAATGCAGATACATCTTTGTAGCAGATTGGAACACCTCTGTGGAGTGCGTTTTCAAGATATACAACCAAATGGTGGCCGTTACATTCTGGAGTGCATCCTGGAGAATAATAGTCAGACAGCGATTTTGCAGAGCCACCCTCAAAGTCTGCAGCAATGCTGTTCAGAACATTGCACTTGGATGGCTCGTGAAGATCAAATATCTGTAATCCAGGGAGCATGGGCTTGGCCGAGGAGATGTTAGAAAACATTTTTTGCAGCCCTATGACTAGACCTCAAAGCGTCAAAGACTTATGCAAAAAGATTAAAGACGATCTTTCATTTAATAAAGAAGTAAAGGGAATTAATTTTGAAAGGAGATGGAACTTTGCGAAGATTATAAAGTCATTTGAGACAACTGGATTCCAAGGATCGAACCTATACAGGGCCATAGAGGAGGTTGAGAGAATGAAAGGCTCGAAGATATTTTTTGGATGCACCAGTAATATCGTCAGCTCTGGGCTCCGAGACATAATAGCCACACTAGTGAAGAGGAAGCACGTTCATGTTCTTGTGATAACAGGAGGAGGAATAGAGGAGGACTTAATCAAGACATTTAAGCCAACGTTCTGTGGGGACTTTAAGCTCAGCGGAAAAGACCTCAGAGAAAACGGGTTAAATAGGATAGGGAATCTTGTCATTCCAAGTACAAACTATGAGTATTTTGAGGAGTGGCTAAATCGGATTATAAATGACATAACCGAGGGATATACAGAAGAACGGCCAAGAATATTGACGCCGTCTTCCTTTATAAAGATATTGGGAGAGAGGATAAACAACAAGTCTTCAATACTTTATTGGGCTGCAAGGAACGACATACCCGTGTACTCTCCAGCAATTATAGATGGGTCAATAGGTGACATACTGTCGTTCCATCCGAGAAGGAAGATACTGAAGCTAGACATCGTTGAGGATGTATACAATATAAACTGTGAAACCATCTTCTGTGGGAACACTGGTGCGATTATACTGGGGTGTGGGGTTGTGAAGCATCACATCCTCAATGCCAATCTGTTCAAGAATGGACTTGAACATTGTGTCTTGATCAACAACGCTCAGGAATTTGATGGAAGCGATGCAGGCGCCAGCCTGGATGAAGCAGTCAGTTGGGGAAAGGTCAAGCCTGGCACAAGCGGTGTCAAGGTGTTTGGAGATGCAACAATACTGTTTCCGCTGATTGTTGGGGCCACGTTTATGAAGAAAAGCAAGAAACATCATTCTGAGAAGAAATAAATCTAAGCTTTGCTATCTTGTCTCACAGTGTATTCAAGCCCCACTTCTTTACCATATCCGCAGAGCAGTACGGGCACATCACACCTGGTGGCCATGTCGACCTCATAAGGGTCAATGTCTATAGCCTTCATTCCCTTGCAGTATATAAAACACTCCATGGACTCTATTCTGCTTGCCCTTGGCTTCAGTAGAACAGCATTGTCATAAAACTTTCTGAAGTGGCTGACTACACATGAGATGTGCTCTCCTTGGAGGCATTTACCCACGAACGAAGAGCCCTCCTTCGAAATCCTCAGCGTGGCAGCAAGTGCAGATGCCAACAGCTCCATCTGCAAGTACTCGTCTATCTCATGGATCCCCGTTATATCAGGCGCACCATCGCACATCACAAGATCTGCCTTGGATCCACCAAGCACATCCAGTATACTTTCCAGACACGAGGAAGAGGTTATATCACCTTTGATGTATGTCACACCTTCCATGGGTATGATGTCTTGCACATCCACAGACACTATCTTTGGGTTTCTGTCTTTCTCTAACTTCTCACATGCATACTGGGACCAGCTTCCTGGTGCTGCACATAAATCGACAACATTCTCAATGTTCTGAAACAGATTGTACTCTTCGTCTATGTTTGCAAGCTTGTACACGCTTCTGGCCCTGTAGTTGTTTTTCTTTGCAAGCCTGTAATACACATCTCTTTTTTCCTCTCGATCCATTTTCTAGGGAGTAAAAATTAGTGTCCATTCGGGCTCATACTCCCTCCAAGAAAGCCCCTCTAAATGTTTGGGCTGATGTCTGTCATGTACGGAATCCTGTTTCTCTTGAACTCCGTTGTCATACTCGATGAAAAGAGGTTTCTGTCAAAGGTGGGCCTTCCCTTATCCCCAGAGGCCAGAGGCGCCCTTGGGCCGAGCCGCCGGAAGATAGTCGACTTGATCAGAGCAATCAAGACTGTAATGAAAATCCCCCTAATGGCGCTAAACATAATGTGTATAGTATATGAGACATTCCTTGGATAGAAAGCAGCAGTAGCCTTTTATTTCACAGAGTGTCACTCAGGTCATGGTAGTCTATGTCAAAGGAGCCATCGCCCTCTTTGTCGGACTCCTCAGACGTTCCGCCATTATTTCTAAATAAATCGTTGGAGTCTAGAGCCTTTTCGTTAATCTTATGGATCCTCTGTACTTCTCTGATGTAGTTCTTGTCGTAGCAGCAATTTCCTAGCGAATTTCCAAACTGCCTCAGGGCCCTCTTGAGAGCATCAGTTGCTGCCTCTTTCTTTGCTTTTTCATATGCAGCTGCCTTGCTCCTCTGATTCTCTGCACTTCCAAATCCAATGTCCTCTCTGTATGTCCCGTCCTTCAGCATAACCCTGACAAGGCAGGACACACCTAGACTTATCTTCTTGTCTTCAGCCTCCTCGTAGTCCGTGGAGATGCTTCGTATCTCTGACGACCATCCGTTGAATCCAAAGATCCTATTGGCTAGGCTTATCACCTTCCACCCCTCGACATACGCTATCTTGGACATGTTGAACCCGGGCCTGTAGCTGATGAACTCGGGCCCAAGCTTCTGGCTGAGAAGCTTCGATATCTTCCTTACTCTCTTCCTACCAAATGCACTAGACTTCCAGCCTCTTGGTTCTTCTTCTCTCATAATACCCCTTAAAGGACATGCATTTCCGAAACAAGAACAAATAAATATTTCTCTTGCAAGGGGCAACAAAAATGGATCCTCTCGTAAGTGCATTGAAGGCAAGAGAAAGCAAGACATTTTGCAGCCCGATTCCACATAGATACGAGCAGATGTTCAAGTCAAAGAAGTACGATCTCGAGCACTTTGGGATGACGTTCTTCCAGCGTGCGGTGTGCTTTTCGGCATGCCTGGGCTTGGGAATCCTCTCGTTCCTCTACAGCATGTTCAAAATAGTTCGGCTCTCGCCGTCCGGATTTATACTTCCTTACACCATCTCGAACTTCTTGTTCTTCATCATGTTTGGATTTCTTCTCGGATTCAGATCGTATCTCGAAGGGCTTTTCTCAAAGAAGAAACGCTTCCACAGCTCGTGGTTCGTCGGGTGCACGTTCCTAACCCTATATGTTGTTCTGAAGTATGACAGATACTTGCTCAATCTGGCGTTCTGCTTTGTCCAGGTGACGTCATTCATTATGTTTTCACTGACGTTTGTTCCTGGAGGAACCTCAGGCATGTCCAGCATGGTCAATATGTTCTTCAAAAAATAAATGCTTTCCAGCCTCTTTTGGTCTTGTCGGCCTTGAGCTCTGATACTTAAAAAACAGGCTTTTACAAAGGATTCAATCATTTACTAGATAGAAAGGAGAATGCGATGGATAGCAGGACAACCATCAGGGCTATTGCGGCCTGGGGCAGTGACGAGCCAGGCACAAGCTTTGCAAGTATATGCAGAAGAAATACATTTGCAATGAAGATAAGAGATATCACAAGGACTTGCATCGGAGAAATCAGAAGCCTTGACGGCTGGTTATACAGTAGCTTATTAAGGTTGTTCTGTCTCTTCTTATACTGCTGAATCTGGTTCTTATTGCTTACTTGCTTCACCATTTTGAGGGTTAAACATTCTTGATTTTAAGCCTTCGAAATGACCTGCGTGCCTTTGCTCAGTCCTGGCCCTAGAAATCCATGTCAAATCCAAACTGCAGCCTTTGAACTTGTCTATTGTTGGTCAAGGGAATCGCAAAGCTCACAGTCACCACAGGGCCATCTTTCGATCTCATAACAGGGACACTTGCCCCCAACCCGACAGAGGCTCCAAGGCATTCATCGTCTTTGTATGAGCGTGACTTCGTGATCGATCTGAGGCCATTCACTATGCTCCTCTTTTCAGATACATACCCTAACGACCAAAACACAAACCCTTTTGCTTCCCACCTACACACGCCCATTCTATGCGATGCCTCGAGGAAGGAGTTTCCTCCGATCTTCAAGCCGCAATTGCTTGGAGATATGCTCATTCCTTTGTATCCTCTAATGTTTTCCCCAAGGTAGTATCTCTCTGCAATATGCGGCTCTCCAAGTATCAGCCCTGTGGAAAGGTGCATGTCCGTAAATAGGCTCCTTGCAAAAGACTTGCCTAGAACTATCTCGGCCTGTGTTTTCAAAAATAGCCTTGAGGACCGTGAATCGAAGATGCCGATCTTACTCCTGACGTCAATAGCCCCAAGTTTCTTCTTAATCTCCAGAAATGCCTGGTCTAGATATCCAATCCTCTCTTTTCCTGCACATATCTTCTGCTTTTCCATTTCAACCTCTAGACTTACACGGGTATGCGGGTATTCTTCGTGCGGAGACTTCATCACATCTCTGGCCCCAAATATGCTGAGGAAGCTTAGAGACTTTCGAAGGATAGGCTTTGTAAATCTAAGACTCATGTCTCTCGAGGTGGACACAGAAACCTCGAGGTTCTCTGCTCTTCTAAAGAGATTCGGAAGCTTTATCTTGAGGTATCCCTTCGGGACCCTCCCAGTTGTGTCTCCAGTAAACCTAATGCTCCTCTTCTCTTCAGTAACAGACAGTCCATCATCAGTCTCGGCTATTGCAGAAAAGATCCTGAGTCTCCTGAGCCTGCCCACAACCTCATCTATGCTGCTGTTCCTAGAAATCCCCTGGATCTTGTCTAAAAAGCCTTTGTCCGTTCTTTTTGCTCCTGTTATCTTGAACATAGGATATCCTTTGGGGATTCCAATGTATTAAATATCGCCGGAATAACTCCAGAACTATCTAATTCATAAAACAGTCCACTCGAAATCTTTTAATACTTAGATCCTGACATCTGTCTTGCAGAAGAGAACGTCTCTAATCCAGCCGACACGTGGGAAATAGCATCCGCGGAGCTCAAAGCAGGGGCTGTCAGAGAGGTCCCCCACAATGTCATACGTGCTCCTGAACACACCCACAAGCTTCTTGGGGTCGTCACATCCAATAATTCTGCTCCAAATGATCTCCGACTTGTCTGCCTTCCCGCCATAAACAGCCCTTACATACACAAATATCTGCTTCAGGTTAAAATGGAATTGGTTCGAAAGATCGATGCTTGGCTCAAATAATACAACCTGCGTTCTTCCATATGCCTTGTACTCCCTTATTCTCAGATCAGACGCAGGTGGCGCTTTTGTCACAAAGAACGAAAACAGAAACACAGACAGAAGAAGGATGACTGTGGGGCTGAATGTAAACGACACCAATGCGTTGAGTCTTCTACCAGATGTCTTCATCGGGGCACAACAAAATAATTCGAAAAAAAACAAGCACTCCTGTCCTACCATACAAGGCCTTATTAGAAACCATGCGACGCGCCTGTGGGTATTAATCAATACATTTATTGGACCTGGGATAATTTATCCGAGTATTGCAATGCCGTAATTAATTTCCCATCTGGGAATGTGGTGAGCTGCTCAAGATCAACCACACAATATACTTCACAGGAATCGACAGATTGGTCACCATTTTGATCTTTGTTCTTCCCTCAATGTCTTGGCCCGCCTGAGATTCCTTCTTTTTGGCTCCCTTTGATACAAACCGGGTGTTCTGGAACCATATCTGCACTGTTCTTGGTGAAATGTTCAGCAGAATCGCCAGATTTAACCTTGTATCATGCGAAGGATAGTGAGTAATCTCAAAGACTTTCTTCAGGACATCAACCTGCGTACGCGTCTTGTACTTGTATCCTATAAGCCCAAGATAGCTCTTCTCAGACAGCCTCCTGAGCTTTATAAGCCCGGCAATCGCTTCGCCTTCCATCACCCATCTTGTATCCTTCATATGCACAAATCCCTGCCTTCCATTTTTTTATCTGATGAATTGAGCAGATAAATTAAATCGTGAAGATTTCAACCGTATTAATTGTCCTCCGTGCTTGAAATACAGTCTCTCATCCACATCCGTCTATCCCCTCAGAGCCCTGTTCTTTATCTCTCCCCGCACAAAAGACCCACCTGTGCAGAAGTGCTCCCATCAAAGATGCATCCAGGCTATTTCCAGAAATATCCTATGCCCTCTTCAGTCCAGATTATGGATGCAAAAGCTCCCGTGTCCATAGATGTATTTGATTTTTAGGCAATCCCTAATGAAGAAGTTTGCGTCCCGGCTTCTAAATCTCGAGTTGCTTTCTGAGGCAGAGGTCCAGAGCATTTGCAACAAGGTGTCGGAGATCCTCATATGCGAGCCAAACATCCCAAACAAAAGGGCACCTGTCATTGTTTGTGGAGACATCCATGGACAGTTCTTCGACCTGGTAAGCCTATTCAGGATTGATGGCATTCCTTCGAAAAAGAGATATGTCTTCCTTGGAGACTACGTGGACAGAGGAAAAAACTCCCTTGAATGCATACTGTTTCTTTTTCTCTTAAAAATTCTGTATCCAGAGAACGTCACGCTTATAAGAGGAAACCATGAGCAGTCCACCATCAACAAGGTGTATGGATTCTACGAGGAGATCGCCGAGAAGTATGGCAGTCCAAAAATATGGAGGATGATCAACGAGGTATTTAACCTGCTTTGTGTTGGATGTTTGATTGATGGAAGAATACTATGTGTACATGGAGGGATATCTCCCAAGATCATGTCCCTGAACCAAATAAGAAGGCTGGACAGGCTGCTTCCCATCGGAGAAGGAAGCGAGTTTGCAGACATTCTCTGGGGAGATCCATACGACGGGAAGGGCTTCCAGCCTAGTCCCCGGGGGAGTGGATACCTTTACGGAGAGGATGTCGTGATGAGGTTTCTCGAGCTCAATGGACTTGCAAGCATTGTGAGATCGCATCAGCTTGTGATAGAGGGATACAAATTCCATTTCCCAGAGAGAAATGTGATTACTGTATGGAGTGCTCCAAACTATATGGGGAAGTGCGGAAATCCAGCAAGCATTCTGAGAATCAATGAGACATTGGATATTTCTGACAAGGACTTCTGCATATTCAAGTCCACACCACAGAAAAAGGAGTTTCTTGAAAAGCTTGAGGGATTTGATCTGTAAACGATATTCGAGTGATTTCTTTATTTGCACTATCCCATAGATGTTTACCAGGCTTGGGACACCAGAGGAGGAACGAGAGGTCTGCATTCTCAAGGGGTATGCGATAAGGACTTCCAGAGGTGACATCAAACGGTTTCTGCGCCTTATGGAATACAGGATGCTTCCAAAGCATATAAAAAGAATCAAGCAGCGCCATGGGGACCTGCTTGTACTTGTTGACGTTGTGGAGGATGAAGATCCTATAGGCGATGTCATGAGTCTTGTAATGAAGATGACTAAAGAGGGATTTGGATCAGAACTTTCTTCTGGAGACCCAACCTCTCTTATTGAAACAGTGAGTATTCCTAAATATCAGCCATTAACAGATGTCCAGTACATAGAAAGCACAGCTCTCTGGCCATGCATCAGGTCGTCCAAGCCTACAGAAGAGCTAGATGCTGAGTACACTAAGAATATGGTGAGAGAGATAATATCAAGAAGGAGTACTCCAATATGCTGCGGGCCCTGCATCATAGCAGATGGAGAGAAAATATTGTCTGCACATGAGGACACCGACAATGTTTTGGGCCATTCAATACTGAAGTGTGTCGAAGAAGTTAGCAAGGCCCAGATATCTTACCTGTGCACGGGCCTTGATGCATTTATATTCAGAGAACCCTGCTTGTCATGCTCGATGGCGTTTGTTCATGGGAGGATAAAAAGGGTTTTCTGCATCAATAAGGTTTCTGAAGGACCTTTTTCGAGCCTTAAAATCAATTATAACAGAAGCCTGAACCACAGGTATCCTGTTTATTTCATGAATGAAGACTGCAAAGACATTCAGCATATAAAAGACTGTGGAAAGGGCTCCTCCAATAAATAATAAAGCTTAAAAACCACCTATAATTGAAGGTTTAATGGATTTCTGGGGCAACCTCGGCCTTCTTGGCTCCATAGAATGCCCTCTTCTCTTCGCTTGTCTGGAATCGCCCATGCCCTATCTTCGACGATGTGTCAACAAACTTGATCACAAGCTCCTCGCTGGGCTTCTGCATGCTAAGGCTCTTTCGTAGCGTCACAACCCTCTTCCGGGGCCCGACAACAGCCCCTTTCACCATGATAAAGTCGTTCTTCACCTCTCCATAGTGAGGGAACCCTCCCATGGGAGAAATAAACTTCTCGGTCAGGTCAAACTCAGTCCTGATGCTGCTGCTTCCATTCCCAACCATGTACACCCTCTTGTTCTTCTCCGTCCTTCTATGGAATCCCATCTGCCCCGCCCGTGCAACAGAGTACATCACACGGCTTGGATGCCATGCACCAATACATGCAACCTTTCGGATCCCCTTTCGCGACTTCCGGGGCTGCTTTCGCACTCCAAACCTCTTCACAGTCCCTTGGAACCCCTTTCCCTTCGTCACTCCAATAACGTCAATATTCTCGTTCTCTCCAAACACATCTCCAACATGGACCTCCTTCTCAAGCATATTCAGAGCCCAGTCCACCTTCTCAGAGATGCTTCCTCCGTTCACCTGGATCTCGGCAATGTGTGCCTTCTTCAGCCCAAGCTTCTTGATCAGCCCAGGCTGCGTCTGCACAAGAACCCTTACACACTCGGCCCTCTTCTTGATCTCAGAAATCCTAGACTCAGAATCCTCACTGGCACAGAACCCCTTGCTGTTCCCCTTCTCCACATAGTTGTTCCCAAACATCCTGCGGAGAACCCCGTCGCTCACATAGGATGCAAGAACAATCGGCAGCCTGCGTAGCCCGGTAACCGTCCTCTCATACCCAACTATCCCATACACAACCATCGGCGGCGCCTCAAGTATGGTCACTGCATCCATCACCTCACGCGAAAGCTGCTTGTTCTTTGCAACCTGTGTCTTTGTCCTGATCACATGTGTCATCCCAGCCTTGTACCCCATGAACCCAGTGAGGTGCACAGGCTGCGAGCTGTCGTCGGCGGGAAATGCCCCTGCAGACGGCCTGATTGTCTTCGACCTCTTTCTCGGGCAGAACTGTAAAGATCCATGTCTCGGTGCATTGAACTTCCTACAGCTCATTTAGTAAGGGCGCAAATTTTTCGCATTAAGCAATGCTCTCCGGGAAACATTCAATTGTTGTTGAGGCATCGCATGTCCCATTGATCTCCCCGAAATGTACCATCATCCACTTGATGCAGGGAATTTTCTACCCTACAGATGAACTTCCGCCCAGAATACAAGGAATACTTCAAGCAGGGATCAACAGCAAAAATATATGACGGAGTATTTGAGGACATGGGATTCTACGACGAGGTGGATATAAAGGAATTCAAGTACAATAAGGAGGACGAGACATTTTACTATCCATGTCCTTGTGGGGACAACTTCGAGATATCTCTGGAAGATCTGAGGAATGGAGAGGTTGTTGCAAGATGCCCGTCGTGTTCGTTGATAATCTGTACAGTGTATGAGGCCGAGGACCTTGAGGCATATTTCTGATGCCTAATGAGGCTGGTGACATGGATTCCTTCTTACTGCCTTTGTGTAATCTTCTAAACTTAAACCCATAGTTGCGTGGACCCAAATGGTAAAAAAGCAGCAGGAAGCCAAGCAGAAATCCACTAGAGATTTGAGGAAGGAGTTGGAAGAAAAGGCATTTGGACTGAAGAACAAGAAGCAGAAGGCGGCCATTCTGAAGCAGATTGAGAGCCTTAATCTTAAGGAGCAGCTGGAAAAGAAAGAGAAGATGAAAAGGGAGGAGAAGAAGAATATTCCTGTGAAGCAGGTGATTCCTGTGGGCGTTGATCCAAAGACAATCCAGTGTGTCAACTTCCTGAACAAAGTGTGCACAGAGGGAGATGCATGTAAGTTTGCACACGGAGAAGTCAAGAAGGTTGAGAAACCAAAGGAAGAGAGTGTACCTTCAGGGCCAAAACGCATATGCCAGTTTCTTATTGATGCTCTGAATTCTGGCGAGTATAACGGCAGTTGGAAGTGTCCGTTCCCAAAGTGTAATGACATCCACAGGCTGGTGGATATCAAAGAAAACGCGCAGGTTGAGCTGAGCCTTGAGGAGTACATTGAACTGTCTAGGCAGTCCTTACCAGAGAAGCTGACGCCTCTAACTGAAGAGACATTCAAGCAATGGAAGATTAGAAAGCAAAGAGAGGAGAAGGAACATGCTAGAAAGGTTAAGGCTCTTGCAACAGGCACGAAGGGAATAGAATTGTTTGAGACAAGGAGAGATTTGTTCAAGGATGACGAGGAGGCAGGAGAACTAGACTATACAGAGAGATGCTATTCTGAGTCAGAGAGTGAAGAGGGCCCCAAATAAATACTTTATTCCCATCAGTCTTTGCTGTGAGGTAAGAAATCTTCCTCGCAGCCTCCATAGTCTTCTATATCGAAGCCCCACTTCTTAAGGGGAAAGGCCTTGAATATCTCAAGCGGAGGTATACTATATTGATTGCACAGTATTGATATGCATTCGGAAATACATTCTTTCCACCTTTCTATTACGCTTTCTAAGTCACCATGTGTTTCTCTAAATTGTCTCATCATCCTTAACTTCCTATTGATATCTTTCTGAATGAACAGTGGGTCTTTGAACTGATCCGAATATCTTCTTCTTCTTGTTACCTTCTGGACATCTCCCTTGAGCTTATAGAACGTCTTTCCATCGATCTGTAGCTCACGATAATCCTCTGGATTTTCTGGCTTGCTAGCAGTGTACATTGAGGGAGCGTGGATACAGGAATATTTTACCGCTGACAGGACATTACTCCAAGCCACCCAAGTCGCTGCACCTGTGTTTTCTAGACAAGAATATTGATTAAGTTCTCCCGCCAATATAAGAAATGTTTTTATAGGCAAAAGGGAGCCTGAAGAGATGATGAAAAGGGTGTTCCAAGATATAACGAATGTCAGCAGAAAGAACATCAAGCTGACAATCCACAAATCATCCCACAGAAGAAAACTGGTGAAGTGGCTGTACGAAGTCATGGATGACTTTGGGTACTCTCAGGTCACGTTTTCAACAGCTATCTTTATTCTGGACAAATACATAGAAACTCGAGGTCTCGATCTAGAGAAATACCAGCTCGTAGGAATCTCTGCTCTTTTTCTTAGTGCAAAGATAGAAGAAAAGCAATGCAAGGGAATAGAAGACTACGTGCATGTTACAGACAGCACATGCTCCAAGGAGGAGATTCTGGAGAAGGAGGTCGATATGCTAGAGGTGTTTGGCTTCAACCTGATGTTCAAGCTCCCGCACTCCTTCCTCAAGGAAAAATACCTTGAAAAGGTGTCTGACAAGTATACTGTGAAGCAGAGCCAGGAGATATTCTTCTGTGCGTTTTCATATGTAATAGAGAAAAATATCTGTGGAAGTAGTATGTACTGGATATACTTGGAGGGAGTCAAGGAGGCCGAGAAGATGCTCTCTGGAGGTGAGGTGGACGCTGGACTCAGGTTCTACCTAGAGAACAACAAGAGGATTAAAGATATATTTGTGTAAACCCGTAGGATTGCCTTTACAAAAGAATGTCTTTGAACAACTCATTTTTCTCAGTAGGCTTGCTCCTCTTTGCAGCATCTACATCTCTCTCAACCTCTTCAAGGGTTCTACTTTTCATGGTGTCAATCTCTTCCTCAGTGTAAAATGTAAGAAGACGTCTTCTTACGTCTTCCATGCAGTCATTTTTCCTTTCACTATCCATTTCTCCCTCGGCCCTGTAGGCCTCCCTTGAATCCGCAGTCGAGTGCGTGCAAAACCTATATGTATCGACTTGTATAATGATTGGGCCTTTCTTGGACGAGTACTTTTTGGCATATTTCAAAACAGATATCAGCCCGAATATGTTGTTATGTGGAACTCGGACTCCAGGGATAGTCCCTCCTCTGAGATAAAAGTTTGTATCTGCACTGACACTTTCTGCAGAAGTCCACATTCCATACCTGTTGTTTTCACACACAAAAACTATAGGAAGCTTCCAGACCATTGCCATGTTAAAGCTCTCCCACACCTGTCCCTGGTTTGCAGCTCCATCTCCATAGAACGCATAGCAGACCTTGCTTCCTTGGGATTCATCTTTGAGCAGCCTCCTTCTGTATTCCAGTGCATACGAAATTCCTAGTCCAAGAGGAACCTGTGCACCAACAATCCCATGCCCCCCAAAGAAGTTCTTGTTGTACAGGTGCATGGACCCGCCTTTGCCCTTACACACACCGATTTGCCTTCCAAAGACCTCTCCCATAATCTCCAAAGTCTTGCATCCAGTGACATATGCAAGCCCATGGCACCTGTATGAGGCAACAACAATGTCATCATCCATTGCGTATTCAAGAGCTGCATATATTCCTTCCTGCCCAACTGAGAGATGGCAAAATCCCCTGATGTTCTTCTTCCTATACTCTCTGTCCATTATCTGGTCTATAAACCTAATTCTCAGCATCTGCTTGTAGATGTAGGCCATATCGTGCACCTCAAGCTTTTGCATCACGCAAATCTCCTCTTTCGGAATTCTGTGGACCTGAACTGAGTTCAATATCGCTTGAGGATCACAGAATACATATCTCTTCTCTTGCATGGCTTCAGCAGCATGGCTGTATTCAAGCCATTCTTTGTAACAGCGTTTTATTTGATGTGATTGAGAGACATGAATGAGGTTGCACACCCCTATCAAATGGCTACCAAGAGAATTCTGGATGCAGTTGATTTGATCAATAATCTTCTGAAGACATTGCCGATGTGTCCTGCAACTGCAAAGTGCCACGAAACCTTTGTTCCTAGAGAGATGGTCGGGAATCTAAGAAGAAAGGCATTAGAGAACACACTTCCCATCTTAGGAGAAATTGTAGGTGGCATCAGATCTGCACAGGAAAGACACAGGGAGGCGGGCCCAAATAGTGTATGCGGCAGAAGAGAGTTTGCAACGAATCAACTCCGCAGCTTGAGGCTCTCGATGGAGAATGAATTTGAAGAAAATAGGATCAATGAGATCAAGAGCTTACTGGGAGAAATTGAGTATTACGAGAAGATTGGTGTGAGGCACACAGACAAGATGAATGTCGGAAAAGAGGCAACACTCAACATATTCAGAATGCTGTCCTGTATTGGAGAGGGGCCTGCAGACCCTTATATAGGGGAGTATCTCAAGAGAAGAGTTTGTTTTTCTTACGAAGCCCCATCGGATATCGAAGTCTCGTCTTTAAAATCGATGCTAAGGTTTCTGCAAGAAGACACAGGCACCAAATGACCTGTGAATTCGGTTTGTAATGGACAAGAATAAAGTTTAATATGATCTTCTTCCTCCCAGGTATCTTAAGGTACAGTTCCTCGGCTTTCCTGCCCAGGGCCATTCACTATCACACGCTTGTTTCTTAAGGACGATGTGTTCATCCCCACTCTTGTCTTTTCAACAAAGTTGGGGAGCTTCTGTGGCGGTGCTTCGATGTTGATTGAAATAGCGATTCTGATAAGTATAAGGTTGAGAAGGTTCAAGCACAGAGATGGAATGGCTATGGTTACGTAGTAGTACTTTATCATCGAGATGTTCTTCATAATTATTCTGGTGCATGTCATCTGGTTGGTACACTCCATGAAATATAGAATTATGTTTCTAATAGATGCATTGTTGTAGAGTCTTCCAAGTTGTCTGGACACATCGGACTGGTAGCTTATCCTTATATAGAGGAGCATGGTTACCAGCATGAGAAGCAGAAGCATTCCGGTTATGAAGTACAGCCTCATGTATAGTCTGGTTTTGCTGTTGATCCCGCAGCTTGCAAATAACCCCAGGGTTATGTTTGTCATCGATGTAGTTCTGAATATTGTGGTTATACCTCTGATTCCCATCCTAAGGTGCTCAGCCTCCATCCGTACAAACATCAGATGTGGGATGAGGAAAAACGGCAAGGGAATGTTGATGACAATCAATAGGACGGAAACAAGCTGGCTCAGGGACCTTACGTTCTTGAATGCCGTGGTTGTCATTACACAGCCGGCCTGGCTGATTTTTAAGGCCAGGGTCCTCCAATAGAAGCTTTTTTGCTTTAAGGGGCAGCTCTTTCAATCCAACCTGGTAATAAAGGGGAGAATACCTGAGCTTCAATGCGTATTCAACCCGCGCCTCCATGCATCCCCTACCTATGATCCAAAGACTTTTTGCTCCATTAACGGGACAATATTACGCGGATGCAAAGTCTACCCATACACAGAAAATGTTTTTAATTCTTCTTTACACTTTAGGAGCACTGGCAAAGAACTATGCCATCTTACTGAACTCGTCCAGAGGATTCCATAACTACAGACATATGGCGAACGTGTACATTTTTTATAATGTTTTGAAAGAAAACGGGTTTGATGATGACCAGATCCTAATTATCTCCTACGAAAATCAAATCCAGGACGTGAGAAATGCCGACAAAAAAGGAGTGTATATAGACGAAGACCTGAGGATTCCTTATTCTGGATTCCGGCCGACAAAAAATGCTCTTGAAGATCTCCTCAATGCGATTTCAGGCAACTGTGACAAGCTAAAGGATGCAGACGAATCCTCAAACGTCCTTGTGTATCTTAACGGGCATGGGAATGAGACATTCCTGAAGTTTGGGAGCATTCATTTCATGACCAAAGACGATATCATGGCAAGAATACCAAAGCTGGCCAGAAGGGTCGGTAAGGTTCTACTTGTGGTTGATACATGCCAGGCAGATGCTCTGGTTGATAGGGATGCCTTGCCAGACAATGTGTTTGTAGTTGCGACAAGCAAAATGGGCCAGCCGGCCATTTCTTCATTCAGTTCATCATTGATATGCGCAAACGTTGCCGACAATTTCCCGTATTTCTTCTTCAAAAGGTTTGGGGAGGGGATTGATGCAGAGGCCAAGCTTGCAGACTTATTTGCTGAGCTCAACAAGGAACCTCTTGGGTCTGAGCTTGTATTTGATGAGGAAAAAGACTTCAGGTTTGGGGACTTCTTTGTACAGAACAACCGCTACGAGCTTCTTCCCTTCAGAGAAAGCTGAAGCTCTCCATTAAAGAACATGACTTTGTAGCTTTTTGTGTTAACAACAAGGTCCCCCGATGGAAGGAGAGAAAAAGATCTCTATTTCTGAAAGAGGGGCAGATAAGAACGTATGGGACGAGTATAGTATTCTTAATGACAGCGACTGTGAGAAAGGAAGTGTGGACAAAGAAAACTCTCTGGAATGGAAGTCGTTTGAAAACGGTGAAGGAAGCTTTTCTAGAAAATTGCCAGAGAGTACAAAGCATGACCTGAATGGGAATGTGTCTCCTGTAAAAAGGCACAAGCATGGTGGAGGGATTGAAGGGAGAGACAGCAGTGTGGAGACGTTGGAAGTGGTGGAGGATAGAGCGAAGAACACTAAGCTTAGTGATGTAAGAGAAGAGCTCTCTGTGGTAGGAAGAGCTTCTGAGAAAGGCAGCCCTGAGGGCAAGGGAGATATCCTGAACATTTCAAAGCAGAGATACGAGGAGCATATGAGGAAAGCAAAGTGTATGAATGGAGAGCACGAGCCCGTGAAAGTATTAGGAGAGAATGACGAGAAAGGCCAAGAAATACAACTAAAAAAGGAGGAAAATATGAGAAGAGCCATCAAGATGCAGGAGGAGGAGATCCAGATGAAGAATCAGGAGATTCTCTTACTCAGAGAAAGGATATCAAGGCTTGAGGCAAGGATGAAGATAGATGGAAAGGAGTATGTTTCAGAATGTGTTCTTAGGGGAGAGGAGGCGATAAGGATACTGGAAGAGGAGATAAAGAAGGAAAGAAGTGGATTTCTGAAGAAGATTGGAGAGGAAATGGAAAGGTCGAAGATGCTAATGAAAAGGGTTGATGGACTTAAGAAAATCATAAACGAGCTAGTCCGGAAGATAAAGGGGATGAAGCAGAAAACAGAGGGGTCGAGGGCGGAAGGCAGACTTTGACATAGCGTACCAACGGTAACCCCAAATGTTTGATTCGGAATACTTCAAGAATCTCCTGAATGAGACAACAGCTCTGATAACCAACAAGGCAGAAGAAGGGAACGATGGAGAAGAGATGGAGGCCCGCATAGAGAGCAATGTCACCACACTAAAGTACCTTGCAAAGGAAATAACAGATGAAGAGCTGCGAAAGAAGACATTGAAAAGAATAGATATGCTGTGTTTTGAACCGGAGGAGTTTGAAATGAGTGAGGTAAGGAATAGAATGCCTGAGATTAGAAAGAGCAGCGAGTTTTCTGATAGGATAGAAAGGGACATTCTCAAGTATACCAAGAGACTACATGGGAAGGTTAAAGAGTTCATGGAGAGTGTCGATGTGGACAGCAAGGTACTGGGGGAGGTGACAGACAAGATGTCAAGAAACCTGATGGGGACATCCGAAACATTGAGGTCCTTGAAGTCAAAAGGTCAGAACATTCCCATTCTAGGGATTCTTACCTCTGTTATGGTTACTTTTGTTGCGATGTATTTTGTTATAAGATTTTTGTAGAATTAGCAAATTGACTTTAATCTGAGGCCTACTTTGTTAAACTTATTGTTTTATATGTCATCTTGTATCTCTTCTCTGTTTCTTTTTCTCTCTAGAAATATCTCCTTTCCGGTTTTTCCACTCCTTGTTCTTACTGCTATCTGGTTTTTCTTTCTCCAGTTCAAAAAGTCTTCTTCTGTGATTCTTTCTCTATCGTCCACAATATAGCAGGCCGATATTCTTTTTCCGATTCCTTCTATGTTACTTTCCTCCAGCTTTTTAAAAGTCAATCTGATCATGTCAAAGATCATAGGCGTCGAGACATAGCTTTTTGCTTTTTTGGCCACATCCTCCAGAACCTCATTCTCGACATTGGATATCACTCTAGGAATACTATATGGGTAATCTTCTCCACAAGAGAACTCAAAGTATTTGTCTCCAATTGATATCTTGTAGACTTGTCCTGTACTCTCCACGCAATGTCTCAAGTTGCTTCCAAAAATATACTCCAAAGCATCATGCTCATCCATGGGGTATGCTAACCCTTCTCTTCAAGCACTCGACAACAGGCATGCACGTTTTTGTGCCTTAGACCCTGATGCCATTACGCTTGTATAAAAGTGCTGTTATTAGCTACCTTCTCCTTTTTATCTACAACGATTTACCTCGTAACATCACCGTATATGGAAAATGAACCCTATATAGCAAATCTGTGCTACTGATCCCACAGATGGGATTTCTTGGCAAAGAAGCTATGGAGAGAATAGTAAAACTCCTCCACAACGTGTTTGGCTTCTACGAAGGAAATCTCTTGTGTGTTGCTGATTATCTACCATTCATAGACGCATGTAATGCCGAGGGAGGTTCTATGAATGCAGAGGACATCGAAAGTAGAGAGATCGATGCTATTGAAAAAGCCCTAGCCACCTTGAGAAGGCTGAAAGAAGCAACCAATCTTGATTTCTATGATGAAGCTGCCGATATTGAGAAGCTTCTTTCTGATTTCGATGCTTTTGAAAAGCATTTACAGGATTTGTTCCTGGAATTTAGGAATGCACTTAAGGATGTCAAATCCCTAGTTGAAGAGGCTATAGATAAGGAGAAGGATGACAGCTTGAAGGAAAGCCTTAGAGGATTTTTATATGTGGTTGAGGAGCTTACGTCTGAAGATCAGACCAGAGCGTTATGTGATCGCAACCTTGGAGCCATTAACTTTTATGAGAAAATACAGCAGATGAAAATTGAAGTCTTTGATAGTTGCTTTGATAGGGTTGCTAATCATAAGTTAGGTATAATGGATTCTGTTAGACAAAGTCTGAATGCCTTAGAGATTAAGATTTTCTTAGTTCCAGAAAATGAAAAAAAGACGAAATATCTTCACGATATCAGGCAATGTCATGAGGACATTGATAAGGCTCTAGGGATACTAGAGAGAACGCGTAGTGCGGGCATTAAAAGCATTTCAAATAATGAGGGGATCCTCACTACACTTGAACATGCAAAGGACGTTATTGGTAAGGTTTCTCTAGGTGACATAGAAAAAAGAATTGAATCTCTCAAGAAAGATGTTATTGAACTGGTGAAAGAATTGGGTGAGGTGGCATCGCTTCAACGTTTGAATAGCGGCAAAAATGCCTTGAATACCAAAATCGCTACTTTTCACATTCCATCGCATTTCTACAAGCACAATAAAAAAAAACCTGTGGGTACTGAAAAATCTATACATGCTGGAAAGCCTATTGAGGAATTATATATTCTGCTCATCATTGTTTTGTGCATACACATTCTTGTTTACTATGTCTTCAGTGATTGTTTTTATGCACAGAAGTTGTGGAGTACAGCGCTATATATGCTAGTTATGGGTGGGTGCACCCTGTGGCTTGCATGGATTATGAGAAAGATCTGGGGAGGTGCCATTACAGAGAAAGTATTGATAAAAGTGTTGGGTGGAGCAATATACATGATACCTGTAACAATTAATATTTTTTCAACCGCGATTGAAAGTGAGATCTGTTTGGAAATGATAGGGATTGGTGGGATGCTAATGTATGCACAAGACCTTATTCTGAATGGAATGACATGGAAACAAATGTGTGTAGTTGGAACAGGAAACATTATATTGGCTATAGGATGTGTCTGCAAGGCCCTAGGAATGCTTGAAAGAGGCAAGCACGGGCCAGCTTATTTAGAAGGAGGGATCATTATTATATTTGTTATACTAGTTGGTATTTTGTGTTACTGTCGAAGCATAAGGAAAGGAGAAAAGATAGGAGGGACTCTCGGAAATGTGATGTTTATTCTAGCCATGTCTATCCTGACTATGATTGCCGGAGTTGCTCTAGACTGGAAGTCTAATGAGTATTGCAAGCAGACAGTGCAGAGGGACGCATAAGTGGCCAAGGTGATTGGACAAGAACGCAGACAGGATACACAGGTGGAGTTAATTACCCTTTTTTATTTGAATGTTGTAAAGATAATAGGCTGTCACAGACACAACTGCAGCAAGTAGGATCCAAATGAGTTTTCCTCCACTATGTACATCTTCCTTAGTATACATCCCTCCCATGTTTTTGAGGTGGTAGCCTTCAATCCCAACTATCCTGAAGGAGGTTGAGGACCTATCCGTTGCTGCAGAAACCCCAAGAGTGTCGCCTTCTTTCACGACGTTTGATCTGTAAGAATGGACCAGCGAGAGGTTGTCAGGCTCCCCTAAATATATAGACAGCTCGTAATCCTTCTGCTCGATTCTAAGAACTAGCTTCTCGCCTGTAGGAAAGTTCCTGTACTCAATCCGGTCAAAGCTTCTAACAATATTATTGGGGTTGATCAAAACATCTCCAGCCTTTACCCCAATATACGACTTTCCAGAGGGCTTTATAACAATCAAGAGGCCCTTGAAGCTGCACGATCTTCCAAAGCAACTTCCCTCATTAAACGTGTCTTCATTAGATATCCATACAGCCATTCCATCATCTCCATCTTCCTTGCCATCTTCTTCAATCTCAATAATCATATCAATACCAAACTTTTCAGAGCCTATTGGATGCGATGCAAGGATTGCTCCAGAGCTGTTTGGAGACGAGTACCCTAGCTGGACAAACGAGTCCTTCCCATGGACCTTTATCACCTGCTCTCCAGAAGTCTTCCAGTTAAGGAACCTTCCAATCTCGTCCACATAGGGTGGCAGTAAAGACACCTCCTGAACAAACACATTGTCATTACACAAACATCCAAGTGCATAGAGAAAAGCAAACATGGGGTATTTTATCTTGTAGAATTTACCAACTAAAATAAACAATTCTGACCTGTTCCCCATCAGAATGGTATTCGACAAGAACATACGAAGTGTACTCTGCTTTGCTGCTGCATCTAAAGCCTTCTACATAGGCATTGCGTACGTTGCATATGTTCTATTTCCCCGGTTCGATAAGTCTACAGAACTTATCCCAACCAGCTCGTGCCTGAAGTTCCTTCTCTCATGGGATGCTATCCATTTTTTAGAAATCATGCAAAAGGGATATAGGAAAGCTCATGTGGTTGCGTTCTTCCCTCTTCTTCCATACATGTCCCGTATTATCGCAAGGCTACTTCCTATCGGACCATACACAACAGGTGTCCTTGTGTCATGCACAACCTCTATCCTGAGCTCTGCACTACTCTACATAATCACCCAAAGAAGATATGGAAGCAGGATAGCAAGAATGAGCTGCATTCTATTCATATTTAATCCTGCAGCAATTGTGTACACTGCAATGTATTCTGAACCTTTATTTATGCTAACCTTTCTTCTTGGAATGTACTTTCTTGAGAATAACAGTATTGCCCACGGGACGTTGTTTTTGTCCTTATCTGGGTTGTGCAGATCTAATGCAATTCTGTTTGCTCCGTTCATCATGTATCCATTCAACCGAAAGCTCTTGGTAAGATTGATCATATTCTTACTTCCGCTTGGGATGTTCCAATATTACACTCTGCTCATCATCAACAGGGCCAACAACACATATAGAATCTTCATACCATATTCCCACATACAGAAGACTCTCTGGGAACAGGGATTTCTCAGGTTTTTCACTGTCAAGAACATTCCAAATGTCCTTGTCGGGCTTCCGTTCATCCTGATTTCTCTATATATTCTCCGAGAGTATTGGAACGAGAGGACCACACTCAATCTAAAGGCACATATGAACTCCCAAAGATTCAATACAGACATGTGTGCTTTAGTGCTTTTGGCCCAAACTCTCATTACGATATTCCTGATTCATTGGAATATGTATTTCAGATTCATTTCATTCAATCCTTTAATATACTGGACATTGGCAAGAAAGTACTACACAGTCCAGAATGGACTCTGGAAAAAAGTGCTGTTCAGGTTTTACTTTGCATTTGGGATAGCATATGCAATACTTTTCGGATGCTTCTATCCGCCATGCTAATTCTAGCGATTAAATCAGTGGTATAAGAACTTTTAATAGTATTGAAACAATCGGCTTGGTACCGGCCAATTAGTTTCCCTTTTCTTCATTCTTGCTCCTGAGAAGCAGCTGAGAAACAATTCCCATGGTTATAAGAGATATGTACCCCACAGAAATCTTGTTTTCAACCAAGCCTTGGTAGAAGTCGCCATTTCGGAGTATTACAATGTACTGGTTGAGGTCAAGATTCAAATTGAATCCAAAGTTTGCACCGACTATGACAAAGAGGGATCCAAAGACGGAGAAAACAATAATATAGATCAGGAAAGTGATTGGCTTAACGAGGACTAGAACAAGAATCCCAATGCATAGCATTATTGTTTGGTAGATGTAGTACAAGTTCCCACCCATTGTTTCTCCAGCAGACGACTCTAATACTCCCCAGAGATGGAATGCAAGGTATCCCATCAAGATGTATATTATTGTCTTAACAAAGAAAAACATCACCAGTCCGAGAGCAACAGACAAAAAGGCCATGAAGAACCTGTTTTCATCAACCTTCCTCAACAACCCAACTACATGGACAATTGCCTTAGGTGCATTCTCAGCAGTCCCATATTTGGCTGCAACTGCTTGGTTGACAACTTCCATTATGCTTCCAATGCTTAACCTAAGTACCGGGAAGGCAATCACAGATAGAGAGCATCTCTTTGCACAGATTCCGAGAAAGTTCACCAAAAGCCCTGTAACAAACAGGACCATGGCCACCTCTTTTCTCTCCGCAAGAAAATCTCCATAATAACTCATTGAAGTCCAAATGTCGGGTGGGACTCCATCAGTAGCCGCTGCATGCCCAAGAAACAGTATTTCAATCATAAGGGGTTTCTCTTCATCCCTATTTACAATTTATATGAGTCAGGGGAATAATCAACAGGTGCTAAGAGTTTACAGGCACATACTTTTCGGCTGATGCAAAATTGTGATATGTGATTGGTATCACAATATTTAGGAGAAACGGAAAGCATACCAATTTAGGGGGCCCAATGACTCTTTTATTGTACATGTAAATACATCAGACATAATGGAAAGTTTATTCATATCGCCCCTGCTGCAGTTGTGTCTGTGACAGCCTATTATCTTTACAACATTCAAATAAAAAAGGGTAATTAACTCCACCTGTGTATCCTGTCTGCGTTCTTGTCCAATCACCTTGGCCACTTATGCGTCCCTCTGCACTGTCTGCTTGCAATACTCATTAGACTTCCAGTCTAGAGCCGTTACAGCAAAGTCACTCCTTCTTGGATTGGCTTTCCAAGAACCTGTTCTGGACTTCCACCACTTCGGCACTTGACGTACATTTTGCATACTCATCGAGAATGTCCGCATTTAACTTGTAAAACTCGTCTCCATAGTTGAATCCTTCAAGTATCTCATATGCATCTTCTTTGAAACCACAAATATATAGCGAGGCACTCAAGGCCTCTGCACAATTCAGCTTGAAAGGCTTTCCATAGTTCACCGGATTTGCAGCAACCATGAACGGAAGAAGCCTGTTGTGCTTTCTTGGAAGCCTTTTGAAATCCACGGCGTCCAGTTGGGCCCACGAGCAGTCTATGAGTCCTATTCCAAACCGCTCTATAATGTCTCTATCAGCGGGAGAGATAGACTGGTCTGCGTCCGGAGAAAGAACCACACCTCCAAAGTTTCTATTCTTTTTGATTGGCTGGACCTTATTTTGCCTGATAAGCCTCTTTCCAGAACACTTTTTTGGGTCACACTGCTCAAACTCATAGATCACCTTTCTCATCTTAGGACTGACACTGTAAAAGTTATATGCAATTAAAGACTTTATTCTATGCAAGGGATATTGTTCAAAGGCCCTCACCACTTCGCTCAATGCTATTCTCCATTAGGAGAATCCCATCAACCATCTTTCTGAAGTCCTCATATCCTATCCTATAAATATTCTCGCCCTCTTGTTTCGCAAGAGGACTGCTTCCAACGGCAACGACCCTTACGCCTTCTTTCTTCTGGACTTCTCTGTGGATGTCGAAGGAAGCATCCGCCGTCGAAATTACAGTCCTTATGTCCAGGCTTGAATATTCAAAAAAGAGGAGTTCTGCTAATATCTGCGGAAGAGGCCGCGAAGACATGAAATAAACTGATTGCTTTGTTCTGTGAAGTTTCACAACAGAATCATACAGGCGTGTTATACGATTCCTCAACAATCTATCTACACTGTAGAAAAGAGGCGTACACGTAAACTTCGACTTCTCAGGCCCGTTGAAGATTCTTTCGAACCTCTGGTATTTGTCTTTCTTCAGATTCCTGAGCACTGCTGCTTCGCTGTTTCCTTCCCCTTTCTCTTCTCCTAGGGCCCCAAGAGTGAAAATCCTGGAGGGCTTGCTGTCAATACAGAACAGAACATCCCTGATCTCTGATATCCTTCTTGATGCTTCTTCCTTTGCCTGGCACCTCAGACCACTAATATCAAAGATTGGATCAAGGTCAATCACAAATGTGCTTTTCACGCTGCTAATACCATCTCTGATCTTGCGCACCTCTCCCATGGTGATCTCAGGGAGCTCTATAAGCAGCGATCTTAGCTCTTCTTTGGTATCCACAACCTTGTTAAACTCCCTCTTCACCACCTTATCCCTTCTCCTGTCTGCTTCGATCCTAGAAATGATGAATGAGTTTTCTGTGTCTATAAACATTTTCTCATAGTTCTTCATGCATCGAAAGTACTCCTTCGCACCATCAAACCTGTCTTTTCCAATAAGCCCCATCTTGTACATATAATAGTATGTCGAATACACATATTGGTTGATGTTCTTCCTGTCCTCAAGAACAGGTGCAAGCTCGTCTGCAGGGGCATCTACCGCTTCAATAGCCCTTATGGCAATAATATTCTTTTTCGTACCCAGCAGCGCCATCACCTGATCCTTTAAAGGCGGCTTCATCATATTTTCTCTTATCCACTCTTTGTTGTCATTCACAAAGGCTTTGTCCTTGCACTTTTCTAGAAGGTCGGAGATGCCTGTCACCCTTTCCATTCAAAGGGCTTCAAAATTCTTGATTTGTTCTCGGCCTTTCTCATCAAGTACCCGTAGATCTGAAACAGTCCCTACTTCTCCAAAGTTATGAACAGGCTTTCCTCCTCAGGCCCATAGTTCAGGATTTTAAACCCAGAGTCCTTGCAGAGCTCCAGCAGGCCCTCCATATCGTAAAGATAGTAATATCTCTTGACATCGTCTCTAAGATGCCATGTTGCAAAATATTCTTCTCCCGACCTCCCGCCGATCTTCGAAAACTTCCTTTTTTCCTTCACAGAATTCGCCCACACATACACTAATGCTTTTCCTCCGTCTTTTAGTACCCTCTTCATTTCCTCCATTGCCCTCAGTCTCCTGTCATGTGTGCTAAGATGGTGGATTACACCAACACTAAGCACAAGATCAAAGCTAGAATCGCAAAAGGGCATGTCTAGGACATCCCCCCTTACCAACCCGTGGTTTCTCGTGGCTCTGGCATCCCTCAGAAGATCAAAGCAGTAGTCTAATCCGACAATTCCTGGTACCAAAAAAGACCTTCCGTTTCCACATCCAGCATCAAGCACAATAGACCTCGGCGTATAGTAATTGTCCAGAAACACCTCTGTCATTTTCCAATGCTTCCGCCTTGTTGCCGAAAACTCTCTTGTGTACTCACTGTAGAACTTGTGCACAAATCTTTCTTCAAACCTCTCGGGCTCTTCCATATAGTGTAGGCTCAAAGAACAGTAAATTTTAAAAGCTCAAATACATATTCTTTATTATCCAAAGACTCTATGCTATCCTACCAGGTTTTTTGCTGCCCTTCTAACTTCTCCATCGGAGCTAGTGCACAGACCGGAGACCATCTCCCTTGTGCTATCATCCATTCCACGTGGATCAATCATTTCCAATGTGTACAGCTTCACATTTTCAATTGGATCAGACAGTAGCCTCTTTGTAAACTCCGTTTTATGGACCTTATCAAAAGAAAGTGCCGCACTCACAGAAGTTATCCTATGTAGATATGATCTTGATGAAGTAACTGTCTCAATATCAGGAAGCCATTCAATTGTCCAGGGATACATCTTGACCAGCTCCCCGACCACCTTTGAGGCTTCAACCCTTACCTCATATACTCTATCGCTGAGGTATCCGAGAAGGTGCTTTCCTAAGAACATCTTGAGAAGTTTTTCGTCCTGTTTTGAAGCATATGCAATTGATTCAAGGATCTCCTTTCTTATTCTCCAGTTAGGCGTGGAGTTGAGGGAGTTTATCAGCGGAACAACTATGCTTTTGTATGTGTCAACCCTTTGGACACACAGCAAGGCCTTTCTGACCTCCCAACTTCCATCCGAGACTATTTCCTTCAGCATCTCCTGGAACTCCTCTTTGTTTCCTACCATTTGAATTGCCAGAGCCCTGACAGTGGGGCTGCCGTCCTTCAGAAACAATGGAACAAGCCTGTCCCATCCCTCTGCATGCTCCATATTGCTTGCAAGGCATATTCTTATTTCCTCTTCTGGATCTTGGGACAAGCATGAGTATATAATGGCTCTGTCACCAGCATTAAGCTTAGGTATCTTTTTTGCAATTGCATATCTTCTTCTCCATGACTTCGATGAGCATATCTCAGATACAAAGTGTGTTCTTTTTTTTATGAGAGGAATGACATAAGAGCTGGTGCACTGGATACACTCTGAATATGAGCTGTGAAGATCCTTCACAATCTCTATGAGCTCATCATCGTCAAATGGAATCTTATTATACCTTTCCAGAGACAGAGCAGCCCGCCTGGCTACACCCACAATAGAGTCCTTCAGGCATTTTCTCAAGGCCTCTTTTTCCTCCTTGTATTCTATATTTTCAATCAAGGATGGGACTGCCTGCCTTTGTATATAGAATGGCGACTCGAGAAGCTTTCCGATGAATTCTGAGACTTCTCCTGGAAACGATTCAAATATCCTTCGTATAATAGGAATAGTCTTTTCAGGTCTCTCGAGCAAAAGAAGCTCGCAAATACTTAGATGGCTCTTGTCTGGCGGCAGTAAAGCAAGATTTTCAATCAGGAGCCCATTGAGCTTCTGATCGATTCCAACAAGCAGCTCCAGCTTTTCCAGAGGTATATGCTCCTTTCCCCCTAGTTTTTCTGCAAGGTTAGACACTTCACCATCAATCATTTCAAAGGGCTCTGAAACAGAAGAATTTCAGACTGGAATTAGTAAGGCTTCTGCTTCCTTATTTTCTGTGTGGCTGCTTTGCATGCATCCTCGATTAGTTTAGAATAATTTTATCCATAGGATGAGATACAAAATAACTTCAAAAAGACTCAACGAGAAGATCCTGGCAGTACATGTAAACGGAGAGGTCTACACGGGAGGAACATCCAAGACACTAATCAATCAGGGCACAGGAGAAGTGATGTGCCGGACTCAGAAATCCATAAGGTCGATAGCAAGCCATGGAAAGTACGTATGCTGTGGAAGCTACGATTGTACTGCAGTGCTATTTTGCGATGGAAATGTTGTAGATGTGATTGAGGGCCCGGACACAGAGATCAAGTGTGTTGCATTCTCTGAGGATGGGAAGTATCTAGCGATGGCAACCAGAGGAAAAGCTGTCTGGGTTGTGAGGATAGGGGAGGAGATAGAGATCGAGGAGATCATAGAGGACCATCTCCATGACGTTAAGGGATGCATATTCCACGGGGGATTTCTGTTTACATATGGCTATGACAACACTGTGAAGGTTTATGACAGATTTGATTACGATGGCACCTGGGAGCTGGTTCAATCCATTGACGAAAGGAGCACAGTGTGGTGTGTTATTTTCCATGAGGGAAAGATGATATGCACGACTGAGGAAGGAATGGTCAGCTCGTATATTCTAAGGAACGGATGGGAGTGCGAGGTGTCTAGAAAGCTATCCATGCTCCCTATATATACCATTTGCAGTGTTGGAGGGAACATGGCATATGCTCTGAATAGAGGCAGCATTGGGATAATTGATGGAGGTCTTAATGTTGTGGAGACGATTGAGAATGTACACGAAGACTTTATAAATGGGATTGCATACGATGAGAGGACAGGCAGAATTGTAAGTGGGGGAGACGATGGGATTCTGAATGTAATTGAGCTACTTTGAAAACCTTTTTTTAAAAAGACAAGAAAAATTTGCCCCTAAAGAAAGAATGCAATCTGCAAGAAAGACTAATCAACTGGCCATTCCTGATCTCCCGAAGGAGGTAACTGTAAAGGACCTGCTAGAGGCGTTTTCTAAGTATGGAAAAGAAATGTAAGTGAAGATAAAACATCCTTGGTTCGTGAAACTGAGTCGTGATGAGGATTTTGAGACAGATACTAACTTTTAGAACGGGCGTTAAGCTTAGCAAGCAAAGAAGATCCAGAGACGAGGATCTTAAGGTGGGGTATGTTGAGTTTGAGACCATTGAGGACACTGAGAAGGCATATGGAGAGGGGAAGGTTCAGGTAGCTGGAGAACCCAGGCAATTGCACTTTGCAAGAAGAAGAGACCAAAGGATGAAGGAGAGAGTCATTGTGTCGAGCAAGAAGGTGTATATTTCTGGAATTCCTGATGATACCAACAAGGACGAGCTGTGTTCCCTTTTAGGCAACTGCAAGATATCTGGAGACAAAGGTAAGAACTACCTTTTCGCAGAGTACGACAACAGTGAGGAGCAAGAAAAAGCACTGAACAAGATCAACAACATGAAGATCAATGGGTCGAAGCTATATGCAATGCCTGCTTATGAGAAGGCAAACATTGGAAGGATTGGTAGAAAGAGGAGCGACTCCAATTAAACAGGTCTTACTTTTTTAACATAGCGGTTTCTAATTTGTTTGCCTTGTTCTAAGGCCTAGATTATATTTTTTTTACTGCTACCCGTAGGATGGCCGACTTTGATTCCACCTTGCTAGTAGAAACGGATGCAAAGAAAGACTTTAGGCTTCCCCACACTCGGCAAGTGATTCTTGTGGGAGCGGTGTTTGCTGTTCAAAGCTCTCCGTTTCCTAAATATCTCTATGTGTATGACAAGGGGTTTGCAGCCTACCAGCTTGTTCCGTTCAAGCCCATAGAGACTTTCGAATACAGTGGAGAAGTGCTGGATATCTTTGTTATCAAAGGGAAGATGGTCATTCTCTCGAAGGATTCCGTGATAGTTTATAATGGAGATGAAAAATGTGTTATTACCGGAGAGTTTAGCGGGAAACTGTCTGAAATAGATGGAAGGCTCGGGATTCAGGAAAGAGCAAAACTGACGATATATTCGTTGGACACTCTGGAAGTCCAAGATGTGCATAAGGCGAATGCACACCACTCCATAAGAGACGTACTAATAACGTCTTTTGATACCACAGTTTCCCTACATCGCAAAGGTAAAAAGATACTTGAAATTTCCATGCCAGAGAGGATATGCACGGTGTGCACGGATCCACTCCTAACGAACATATATTGCGGGAGTGACGACGGGACTATATTTTGTTGCAATGCAAACCATATGGAACCAACTGCCATGAAGTATCACAAGAGCAGGATTGTAGGGTTGGACATAAGTTTCTGTGGAAGATATCTGTATTCTGCAGATGCGGAGGGAGTTGTCTGCATATGGGATGCGAAATTCAATGTAGTGATCGGGAAGGCATGCATGGAATCAGAAGTAAGGGGGATAAAGGCTGTGTATGCCTCGGAGTGGAGAGGAGAGCTCGATAATGAGGGAAGTGAGCTAGTGATGACAAAGAAAGCAAGTGAATAAAGAGCATTGTGCCCAAAGGATTTTATAAAGTATAACAAGTATTTAAAAAGTACAAAGTATACTGCCTCCAGTACATTGTATTAACAACATCTACGATTAATCTTTCTATTTATCCCACTAGCAGGGGAGTTACAAAGGCTTCCAGCCTCCCACTTTTGACCTGATGCCTGCTTCTTGAGGAGAATCATAGCCATGTCTTCGAATATGTTGTTTACATTCTCCCCTGTCTTGGCACTTGTGGTGTAGTACTGCGCCTTCATTTCGTCTGCCTTACTTTTGAATCTACTTTCCATTTCGTAGTATGTAGTGCTGTCTACTTTGTCCCTCTTGTTCCCGACAAGAAACAAAGGAACGTTTCCCGTCTCCTCTCTTATACGTCCAAACCATCTATCCACGCAGGAGAAGGTCCTCTCATCGCTAATATCGAAGATGAGGAGAATCCCATCTGCGTTTCTATAGTAGCTTTTTGTTATCGAAAAAAATCTCTCCTGTCCTGCGGTATCCCAGATGTTGAGCATGACATTCTTTCCATTCAAAACTATGTTCTTGGAAACAGTATCCACCCCGATGGTTGTCATTAAGGACTGCTTGAAGTCATCTTCCTTATACTTGTGGAGAAGACATGTCTTACCTACATCGCTCTCTCCTAAGACAATTATTTTGTAGCGGTAGTCTATCCTTGGTGTAGCCATTTTTGATAGGGGCTTTACTGTTATTTGCAATTGACTCTCATAACCATGAGCCAGCGCTTTACAATTGAAAGATTCACATCAATAGGTTGTCTGAGACAAATCAAAACAAACCAATGAGTGATGTGATCTCCTTAAGAACAAATAAAAGAAAATTGATATGATATAATAGGAACCCAAGGATAAGGGTTATGACGGATTTGATGGGAAGATTTCGGCACATATCGAGAGAGAAAAGAAGAAGGTATCCTCGGAATATTATAAGGAACCAGAAGTACAAGTGGTATACGTTTATCTTTGCAGTTCTTAGGCTTCAATTCAGCCATTTTTTCAACACATTTCTGTTTTTTGTGTGCATGACACAGCTGAAAAAGGAGTATCTTGTGTCATCTCTTGTGGCCTCTGTCGGGCCGTGGGCAATGGTTCTGGCATTTTCGCTTTTTAAGGAGGGAGTGGAGGACTACAAGAGACACGAGAGAGACAAGGTTACAAATAACCAGCTGTATGCAAAGCTCACAAATCAAGGGTTTGTGCGTGTGCCCAGCTCAAGGATAGAGGTTGGAGACTTGATTTTGCTAGAGAAGAACGAAAGAGTGCCTGCCGACATGGTTCTTCTCAAGACTTCTGATGTGTCTGGACAGGTGTTTGTAAGGACAGATCAGCTGGATGGGGAAACGGATTGGAAGTTGAAACTGACGATTCCAAGGTTGCAATCTGCGGCATTTGATGAGCTTCGGAAGCTAAGTGTGCTTGCAGAGCAGCCAAACAAGAACATATATTCATTTACAGGGAAGATCAAGATAGGTAGGTTTTCCCAGAATGAGCTTGAGGAAGTGGAAGAGGAGGATGGAGAGGAGCAGGGGTTTGTCCGGCACCTTGAAAGGCTTTTAGAGTTTGATTTTGGAAAGATAGAGGAAGTGTCAGATGTGTGCGAGAAGCCGCGGGATGTTTCTTGGGTCTACTCTTCGCCCATTCAAGAGAATGAGGAAAATGAGTTTCCACGTGAAAACCTTTCAGGCTCGGATGAAAACGGTGAGAATTCTGCTGAAGTTCTGACGGAAGGGTTTGAGGTGGGTAACGAAAGTAACGTAGGAAGAGAGGCTGAAGAAGCAGATACAAGTCTAAGGGACGAGGGCGAAAAAGAGAATATTGCCGAGCCACTTGATTGCGAGAACATGCTATGGATGAACACTGTTGTTGCCACATGCTCGGTTCTTGGGTGCGTTGTATACACGGGGAAGGATTCAAAGGCTATGCTCAACACCTCCCAGCCACGAAACAAGATAGGAAAGATTGAGCTTGAGCTGAACGGATACATGAAAGTTCTGGGGGCAGGGTGCATGATTCTTGCAGGGATCTTTACATACATGCGTGGAGCCACATCTAGGCCGGATATCATATTCATTAGGTTTCTTGTTCTTTTTTCTTCTGTGATTCCTATTTCGCTGAGGATTACTGTGGATTGGGCACGGTATTGCTACGGAAGGTATATATCTGGGGACGAAAAAATAGAAGGAGCAATGATGAGGTCGAATGGATTGCCTGAAGAGCTTGGAAGAGTATCTTATTTTCTTACGGACAAGACTGGGACGTTAACTAAAAACGAGATGGAGATGAAGAAAATACATCTCGGGACTATTTGTTATACAAAGGAGTTGAATAGAGAAATCAGTAAGAACCTTGCAAAAGTCCTGAACAGTAGAAGTGATGGGAAGGGAGTGTTTTCCAGAGGAAAGAAGGATATTAATGCAAGGGTGTATGACTTGGTGCAAGCGCTCAGCGTATGCCATAATGTTACACCTGTTATTTCTGAGAACGAGGTAAGCTACCAAGCATCAAGCCCCGATGAGGTTGCAATTGTTCAATGGACGGAGTGTGTTGGAATGAAATTGTACAGAAGAGACAGGTCGAGGATAATTATAAGAGACCCCTTGAACGATGAGCAGGAGTATCAGGTGCTCTATACTTTTCCATTTACTAGCGAAACGAAGAGAATGGGGATCATAGTGAGGTACAACGAAGAAATCATATTCTTTTTGAAAGGTGCTGATGCTGTAATGAAAAGGATAGTAAAAGGTAACGACTGGGTTGAGGAAGAAGCAGATAACATGGCCAGGGACGGGCTAAGAACACTCGTCATAGCGAAGAGAGTTCTTAGCAAAAAGGAATTCGAAACTTTTGAGGAGATGTACAACAAGGCATGGATAAGTCTAGTTGACAGGGCAGAAGCTGTGGGAAAGGCAATGGAGATGATTGAAAATAATATGAATGTCCTTGGCATAACGGGTGTTGAGGACAAACTCCAGGACGATGTCAAGGTTACACTTGAGAATTTGAGGAATGCAGAGATGAAGATCTGGATGCTTACTGGAGACAAGATAGAGACCGCCATCTCGATTGCAAGGTCTTCCAGGATCTTTCACAGAGGCACTTCATACCTGGTTATCAGCAATGCAAACTCTGCTGGAGAGGTTAAGGCAAAGCTTGACCTGCTACGTGGGTCTGGATATAACTCCTTAGTTATTGATGGGCAGAGCCTGTCATTTGTGATTGAAAGTTGTATGGACGAATTCATCGAGGTAACCTCTAAGCTAGAGGCCGTTGTTGGATGTAGATACACACCCACCCAAAAGGCAGCCATTGCGAGGGAGCTGAAGAACAAAACAAAGAAATGCGTCTGCTGTATTGGAGACGGAGGGAACGACGTTTCAATGATAACAGAAGCAAATGTAGGGATAGGGATAGTTGGGAAGGAGGGCAATCAAGCATCTCTGGCAGCCGACTTCAGTATTAATAAGTTCAGTCATGTTTCCGATCTTCTTTTCTGGCATGGAAGGAACTCATACCAAAGAACAGCAAAGATAGCACACCTGATAATACATAGAGGACTTACCTTGACAGTGATTCAAGCTATTTTTTGTTCTCTCATATACTTTGTTCCTGTCGGCCTGTTCAGAGGAGAGCTCCTCATGATGTTTATAACTGTCTATACCTTTCTTCCCATATTCTCCATTATTTGCTCGAGTGACATAAGTAGAAGCGTTGTTGTAAAGTTTCCTGAGCTATACAAAGAGCTTACTGAAAACAAACTTTTATCTTACAGGCATTTTTCTGTATGGATACTGATATCGTTCTATCAGGGAACGATCATGATGATAACATTCTATCTGCTGAAGCAGGAGTTTTTTATTATCTCGACCTTGACTTTCACAAGTCTTATCATCAACGAGCTTCTGATGGTGATATTGACAACCACCAGGATGACATCGATGGTCTTTGTATCTTCTGGAGTGTCTCTAGCTATATATATTGTCTACTTTATCCTTAGAAAAGGACTTCTAAGATACCAGAAGCCCTTCTATCTCTTCCTGCTGAAAATCGCTGTTGTAAACACTCTTGCAATACTAGTTAGCGTAATTCAGAAGCTTTGGATGAAGTATATGAGCCCCCCAACGTACTCAAAACTGGAGGTTCTAGTATAGTTTGCTCGCAATGGCAGATAAATCAATTTTTCAAAAAATACAACTTAATTAAAGAAGTTTAATTAGAGATCTGAGCAGCCTCAGTGCTGTATCCCGTTATAACAACATCTCCATAGAATAGCCTTAAGAAGAACCTTCCTAGCGCACTATGATATATCCTGTAGAGGGGATTGCCTCTGAGATCCAGGCTTTTCAGTGCACCGGTGTTTCTGAGCTTCAAAACATGCCAGGGAAATGATGTTAGCTTGTTGTTTGATAAATTAAGTACTTCCAAGCTCTTCATGCTGTTCACTTCTTGGGGGATGCTTTCCACTTCATTGTTGGAGAGATTGAGCTCTACGAGCCAGTCCAGGGTCCCTATTTCAGAAGGTAGTTCTTTCAGCTTGTTGCTTGACAGATCAAGCTTTTTAATTAAATTGTTAGCTCCAAGCGCCTCCATAATCTCGGGGGACATAGACTCAAGATCCATGTTGCAAAGATCGCATGCAGGAAGCTCCGTGCTTCCAATTATGCTCACTGCTTCCCGTACATTGTCTGCGATAAAGGGCACTGCTGCTAGAGCATACGCCAAAAAGAGAGATAAGGCATTTATTCTGGCTCTCATTATATTCATTTGATAGGGGAGACTTTTTTTATATTTTAACAAAATAGTTTTATTTTTTATTACATTGAAGATATACTAGAATCTAATTTCTTCTATAGTAGTTCATTCCACTTCTTGGGCTCCCATCGCTCCACCTGTGCTTTTCCATACGTCCAGTGGGCATTCTTTTAGATCGCTTGGCATTTTCTTGGCTTTCTAGCCTTCTTCTGTCTGCATGGTAATTCTCGATTCTATTTCCATCTCTTAACGATCCTTCTACCCAATTTGCCTGACTTGTGATATTTCTCTCATCGGGCCTGTTTTTTCCCATAGAACCTATTTGTGTGTATAGTAGTCTTTGAGATGCAAGTAGCTCCTCCACAAGACTTGCCGTCGCCTTTGCAACATGTATGAATCCGCATCTCTCTCCCTTTGCACACAAGTCTTTTTCATGATCGGTACACACACCGTCACTTATTCTATAGCAGTTTCCAAGCTCAACAACTATCCTCTTTCCACAATAATATCTTTTTCCGATCTCTTCCATGCATCTTAGAGCGGCCCTCTCCTCCTCAAACTCAATGTAAATGTTCCCCAGAAGCTGGGGAGAGATGTTGGAAGCAATTGCAAGCATTCTGACAGCGCCATACTTTACAGACATCTCCGAAAACCAATCCTCGTAAAAAAGGTCGAGGTGAATCTGGACCGCATCCTTACTCAGCACAGATTCCGGATCATTCCTAGGATACAAGTACATGTTCTTTATAACAACAACCTTGCTTCTTGAAGGAATCCTGTGAGCCTTTGTGCACTCGAGGCCGTATCTACATCCGTTTGTTTTTGAGTAGAAAATACACACGTCTTTTCCTGCAACCATTTTTGCTCCAGGGATCCCGAGCGGTGAAATTCTGTTGCTGCTTGATATAGAGACCCCAAATTACCTCCCTTTATAAGCCTTATGGAAGAGAACAAAGTAAAGATTTCTATCACGGCCTTGGGCAAGGAAAGCTATGTGGGTGTGCTTTGCGAGTATGTGCCGGGCAAGCACATTGTTTTAGGTGATGTGGTACGAAGGCATATAGGGCCGATTGAAAACAGAAAGGATGCATTCGTATATCCAAGGATGAAGTTCAGGATAGACAACATTAAAGAGATTGGGGTTGTAGGGGCTTTTAATGGTACTTGGAGGGAAGAGGCACATTTGGTACTTGAGGTCCTAAGGCATAAGGCTCAAGGCCTTGAGAGTAGGGTATTAGATGAAAAAAGAGCTTCGAAGCCCGACGAAGGTCCTGCAAAGATCAGGAGAAGTAGGGACGGAGAGATGGAAAGGGCTCTGAGCATGTATAGAAGCCCACGAATAGAGAAGTTATCAAAAACGCTGGCTGCTGGGCCTACTACTAAGTCACAGGCTTCCAGACACGTAAAGTGATTTACTAGCTAAGAATAAAATAACTACAATATAAGAGCTGCTGGATTGGATTGTGATTTTTTGACGAGCTTTCTGAAAACTCCTTTATAATGAGGCCGGAGATTTGATTGATCGAAATTGATTTAAAACAGATGAAACAACAAGCTCTGATGGAGACAACAAATGACGACGGAGGGTCAAAAAAGATTCTTTACGAGTCTCTTTGTACTGTGGAGGCCGAGAATTTGAGCGAAGCGTGTAATAACGCAATTGAAGGGAAAAGATCATCCACGGGGAAGAGGGCCAAAATAGCAAGGTTTGTTGGAGAGATGTGCTGCTGTGGAGATATGTTTGGGTCGGATACATTTATCAATGAGTCGGTGTTTTCTGCAATGGGATACATAGAGAAGAATACCCAGGGAGTAAAGGATATGTTCATCAATTCTGAGTCAGAGGAGAACGTGAATAACTGTGTCAAGCTGCTTGAGCTGAATGAAAAGATAGACTATTCTTCTGTTCATCCAAAGGATGTTGGAATGGGATTCAAGATATATGTGGAGGAGAATCTGAAGAATGTCATTCCGCACAATGTTCGAAAAAGGGTTATAGAGGCGTATAAAAACAAGGACGATGACAAGAAAAAGATAATAATTCCCAGGATTCCATTTGTGCTGAGTGATCCGAACAGGATGTTTCTTAAATCACTGAAAAGTATTTTCCTTGGGATTGAGGCGAACAGCAAAGAAAATGAAGTGGATGTTGACGAGATATATAGGCAGTTTGGGCCCCTGATAATAAGAAGGCCAAGCGAAATGCTTGATATGGACACGGATATCTTGAAGGCGATATTGATTGATTTGATGAAGGCTGATTTTGACGAGTTTCCTATTTCCTTTTATCCATAAGGCTAGCATGCTGGATGTTGCTTTGGACAAGAGACCTTTACTAATAAACAGATTGGGTGTTTGGGTGTGAAAAAGACGTTCCTGGTGGGACTTGAACCCACGACCTCAGCTTTAGGAGAGCCGCGCTCTACCGACTGAGCTACAGGAACTTGTAGCTTGAGTAACGAGTATCCATCACACAGGCTTTTGTGCGCGCCTGTTGTAAGGATACATTGCGTCTTAAACACTATCCCCAGGATGGTTAAGAGTAGCAATATAGCAATACACAGCCATGTAAAGTCCTTAGGGCTAGACAACTTTGGGAGACCTGTTGAAAAGCCAAATGCTGTGGTTGGGCAAGAGGATGCAAGAGAGGCCGCTGGACTTATAGTGGAGATGGTCAAAACAAAGAGAATGTCGGGAAGAGCCGTGCTTATATCTGGGCCTGCCGGATGCGGAAAGACGGCGCTTGCAGTAGGAATAAGTGAAGAGCTTGGCGCTGGAACGCCGTTTACTTCGATGAGCGGTAGCGAGGTATATTCCAATGAGATAAAGAAGACCGAGGTTCTTGAGGAGGCATTAAGGAGATCGATTCTTGTTAGGATGAGAGAGTTGAAGGATGTCTATGAGGGGGAGATTGTTGAGCTTAGGATTGTGGACGAGGAAAACCCACTAAACTCTTACTCCAAAAAGGTCAAGGAAATATTCATTACCCTGAAGACCAGCAAGGAGTCCAAGAAGCTTAAGCTCGCGGCATCTCTTTATGAACAGATAGACAAGCAGAGGATAGTCAATGGAGACGTTGTTTACATAGAGGTCAACTCTGGGGTTATTAAGAAGTTGGGTAGAAGCGAGGCACACATGAATGATTTTGATCTTGAAGCCGACACCTATGTTCCTATTCCCAGGGGAGAGGTTTTGAAGAGAAAAGAGGTGATCCAATCTGTAACGCTTCATGACCTGGACATGGCAAATGCCAAGCCCACTGGGCAAGACATGCTTTCTCTTGTTTTTCGAATATTAAGCCCCAAAAAAACCGAGATAACAGAGAGACTAAGGAGTGACGTCAACAGAATGGTGAACGAGTATCTAGAGAAGGGAAATGCAGAGATTGTTCCCGGGATCCTCTTTATTGATGAGGTCCACCTACTTGATATTGAATGCTTCACCTTCCTCCACAAGGTCATTGAATCACCTCTTAGCCCAACAATAATATTTGCCTCCAATAAAGGAATGGCTCCAATTAAAGGAAGCAACGGGCTTTCTGGGCCCTTTGGGATTACAAAAGACTTACTTGACAGAATCATGATTATAACTGTGAAAAAGAATACAGAAGAGACCAACAGAAAGATCATTGAGATGAGGCTGAAGGAGGAGGAGTTGCAGATGGATGACAATGCACTTTCTTTTTTTGTGAGTCTAAGCATCTCTAAGGGGCTGAGATATTGCATAAGCCTCATTCCTCTTCTGAAGACATATGGAGGGTGTGTTACCATCCAGAACGTAGAAGAAGTGAATGAGTTGTTCCACGACCGTTGATCCGAACGATTAAATAGTTTAATTATTCACCCTGTTTAGGATGATTTTGTGTTGCAAGTGTGGAATACTTATTGAGCCAAGACTGATGAACATGTGTGACAGATGTCTTGTTACCGAAGTTACAATATCTGCCAAGGTGAAGAGGAGTCTGTCTGTGGAGAGATGCAGAGGGTGCGAGCGATATCTTCAGCCTCCGAAAAACTGGGTAGAACTGTCTTGGGGGTCAAAGGAGTTTCTGCTGTTCTTAATAAAGAAGAACAAGACACTCAACGGGCTTTGCATTGTCGATTCGAATTTCATCTACACGGAGCCCAACTCAAAGAGGATTATGGTAGGGCTCACTGTCCGAGAATGCGGGGTAGAGCAGCCTTTGGAAATGAAGTATGTCATTAGGAACATGCAGTGCCCTGATTGTGCAAAGGTGGAAGCAAAGCAATTCTGGAATAGTATTGTCCAGGTAAGGCACAAGAGCAGGCACAAAAGGATGATGATATACCTAGAGCATCTCGTTTTGAAGAATAATGCATACAAAGACACTAGTAACATAAAGCAAAGGAAGGAAGGACTAGACTTCTACTACATTGATAGAAATGCGGCAATAAGGATGGTGAACTTTCTACAGAGTGTTCTTCCTGTTAGAACAAAGGTATCCGAGAGATTGATAAGCAAGGATGTCCATACTAGCAAGTGTAACTATAAGTTCAGCCACTCTGTTGAGATTGCTTCATTGTGCAAGGATGATCTGGTTGTTGTTGGACCGAAGATTAGGCAGAGTCTTGGAGTTGGAAGTCTTGTGATTGTCCAAAAGATAGCCACGAGCATTGTTCTCTTTGATGTGAGCTCGATGAAAAGCGTGAAGATTGCAGGATCGTTTTACTGGAGCAACCATGACGAATTCAAAATACTCATGAGCTCAAGTGACTTCACAAGGTATACTGTTATAATGAAGAATAATAGAAGAATGGAGGGAGCGGGATATGATCTTACCGTGACGTCAGACCATAACGAGTTTTCTGAGGCCCGGTTCCATCTCGGAAATGTAGAAGAAGACGATGAGGTGCTTGGGTATGATCTTCGTCACCTGAACTTAACTGTTGAGTGCGAGGACAAGCCCGAGGTAGTTCTTGTACGGAAGATGCCAAAGAGTGATGTTGTGTGGAAGATAGATGTGAGTGATGAGAACAAGATGGAATATAGACTATTTGTTGAGGATGTCGAGAATGACAAGGAAATGATTGAGGGGCTTTGCACTTTCAAGGGGGAGGAGGAAGGCATCAGTAAGGAGATGAAGGCATTCAAGATCTAAGAATATAATAATTGGTAATGTTTGGGGTTAAATGAGTAAGGGTGAGCTGGGAAAAGCCTTGAGCAAGAATGAGAATTTGGTGGTTTCTAAGAGAGGGTGTCCATTTTGTTTGGATGCTGTCGAGGTGCTGAAAGAGCGGAGGGTTGACTTTGATGAGATCAGGAACACTGAGAATGAGGAGCTTTCGAAAGAAATAGAAAAGGAATATGGGTTTTACACATTCCCTAAGATTTTTCTTAAGGGGAAGTTTATCGGAGGAGCAAGTGACTTGAGGAAGTATGTGACAACAAAGGAGTTTCTTGATGCCTTTGGGTCCGGTGAAAAATAAAATCTTGTGGCTTACTTTTTATTTTTTGGATGAGAAAAAAATAAAATTAGATGACACCCCGGGATGGACAAACTGAGATTTGAGGAGACGCCTACCAGTCCTAAAGACATAAGGTCTGGAAACTATATAAAGGTTGAGGTTAACGGGCAGATGAGATCTGCACAAGTCATCGAAACATCTTCTGTCAAGAATGGGAAGCACGGAGCAGCCAAGACAACCATTCTATCGAAGATTCTTTCTACTGGGTCAAACCACAAGGGAATATACACTGGAAATGATTCTATTATTATATGCAGGCCTGAAAAAGTCCAGCTCAAGGTTATTGATATTAGCGAGACCAGTATAACATTTTCCAACAGCGACGGATCATTTGATTCCATTGATGTTGCAGGAAAGATGAGCCCCGAGGATATCAGCAAGATTGTTCAAACTGTTGAGGGGTCTAAGAGCGAAAGCTTTGATCTTTCTCTAAGGGTACTACCTGACTTTTATAAACTCGAGTCTATTAGGTAATTTAAAAGGTTTTTTGGCCTTTCACGGGAGGATGATCCACTGTGAAGCCGAATTTTGTTGATATTCCTCGTAGGACTCTCAATAAAACTTCTTCTGGATGCAGTTTCTGCCTTAATGATTTATCTTTTTCTTTATATCCCTAGGAATGAACCAAGTCAGCGAGCTGCGGAGGTTCGAGACATCAATTGACTACCAGCTGGATAAGGACAGGTTGGGCAAATTCCTGCTTTTCTACGAGGAGGATGGGGAGCTTGCCTATGTCAACAGGCTCAGAGAGTCTAAGGGCTGTGTTGAGATTGACATGGAGGATATAGCGGTATATGATGAGAGCGGGCTTGTGAATAGGATTGAAGGGAATGCAATGTCTTACATAAATCTACTGTATACAGTGATAGATGAGATTCTCCTTGACAGTGGAGAGATTTCCGGAAGAGAGGAACCAGAAGATGTTTTTTTTTACCACAGGATTTCGAGGCTCAAGGAAAGATTTCCTGAGAAAAAGGCCACAGACGTGTTTCCTTCGTTTTTGTTAAGAAGGTACTCTCTGGTGCTGAAGCCAAGAAGAAACACCAGAGTGTATTCTGTTCGAGAGCTAAAGTCCATGCATATTGGATCCTTGATACGAGTAAGTGGGATTGTCACAAAGGTTAGTCAAGTGAAGCCAAGCATTAAGGTTGCAACGTATATCTGTGAGAGCTGTGGAGCAGAGACATACCAGCAGGTAGATGGAGATGTGTTTGATCTTTTGGAAGAATGTGGAAGCGAGAAGTGCAGAATCAGGAATGTTCGAGGGACTCTAATTCTTGTAACGAGAGGGTCTAAGTTCATCAAGCATCAAACTGTCTATATGCAGGAACTAACTGGGGATATTCCACGTGGGTGTATCCCAAGGACATTGGTGATGGAATGCTATTCTTCACTGGCAGAGGAATGCAGGCCTGGGGATGTAGTTGTTGCCGGAGGAGTGTTTATGCCAAAACCTTATTATGGGATAAAGAAATTGAAGGCAGGACTACTTGCAGACGTCTACTTGCACGCTACCAGTGTTCAAAGAATTGGAGCCAGAGTGTTTGATATCAATAGGGAGGTAAAAGCGTATCCCGTGGAGCAAATGGTAAGGTCGATAGCACCTGAGATTTTTGGGATGGAAGATATAAAGAAGATTTTGCTTTTGATGCTTATTGGAGCACCTGGAAGGGTTCGCGAGGATGGAATGAGGATAAGGGGAGACATAAATGTATTACTTGTAGGAGATCCTGGTATCGCAAAGAGTCAGCTCTTGAAGACATGTGTAAAGATAAGCAGGAGGGGGGTTTACACGACAGGAAAAGGATCTAGTGGGGTTGGTCTTACTGCAAGCGTAACCAAGGACCAGATAACCGGGGAGATGATTCTTGAGGGAGGAGCCTTAGTTCTTGCAGATGGAGGAATATGTTGCATTGACGAATTAGACAAAATGAACGAAGTTGATAGAATTAGTATCCACGAGGTTATGGAACAGCAAAGTGTGTCTATTAGCAAGGCAGGAATCAATACAAGTCTGAATGCAAGATGCTGTGTCCTTGGTGCAGCCAACCCTGTTCGAGGAAGGTACGATATAAAGCAGAGCATCGAGCATAATATCGGGCTTCCCTGCTCTCTTCTTTCAAGATTTGACGTTGTTGCCATTCTTCGGGACGAATCCAACTTGGAGAGGGATGAAAGCCTTGCCAACCACATTACATCCCTTCACCTACAGGAAGAGCCAGAAACAATCCCTTATGACGAAATTCGAGGAGTCATTGATGAGGCAAAGAAAATAGATCCCATACTTCCTCCTCACCTTTCAAGCAAACTAACGGATGCATATGTGAGAGCCAGGAAGGAAAGCCCTTATGTAACGCCCAGATATCTTCTATCGCTCATAAGATTAAGCCTCGCACACTGTAGACTTCGGCTTTCCGCAGAAGTTGGCGAGGAGGATATTAATGAAGCATTAAGGCTCATGAACGTGACAAGGATCCCCGTTCCAAAGAAAAAGAGAGAGGAGGTGTCAAGCAAGAGGGAAATATATAACCTTATTCTTTCTCTTGCAGCTGAGGAGGGAAACAGAAAATATGTGAAGCTAGAACGCCTGTGGGAGGCTACAAAGGACAAGTATAGCACCAGCGAGGTCGAGGATGTTATTTCGGACTTTGCATCGTGTGGAATCTGGATCAGGAATAATGAGGAGCTAGTTATTTTTAATTAAAAGGACCGTAAAAAGGAATAAGTTTTAATAGAAGTATCCAAGAATTTTCCCACCAACGTTTTCTGCTAGGCACTCTCTGTGGTCGAGTATGCCTTTTGAAGTGTTGAACAGAACATGCCCGAACTGTCTAGCAGGCAAGAGCCTTGCTCTGAAATTCTCAATTCCGTCTTTCTTAACTATATAGTTAGGGGAGATGGCTCCACATCTGTTAAGTCTGCCGTTCAGGTCGATGATGCTCTTTCCATTTCCTTTATCATGTATGTAGGAAAATCCTGAGATATATCCATACTTCAGCATCTGAAGAAGAAATTTACGCATTTCCTCTGTCGAAAACCTCAGGAGAAGCTGTCTCTTTCCTGCCCTGCTAGCATTGTTGATAGCCTTGCACATGTTGGCTAATGCTGCGCTCATTTCAAGGGGCAAAATTTTCTTTGGATAATTGTTGCTGCCCGTACTAAAACACTAGTGAAAAGTGCTGAATAATCCGGATGCATTGTTACCCATGTTCCTTCTTCTTTTCATCATAGTGTTGGCCATTTTCATTAGAATTGCAACACATCTTTTTACAAGAAAAGGCACAAGGACTATAAAGTTTGTTGGCCCCCGTGGTGCAGGAAAAACAAGAACACTCAATGCACTGATCGGAATCAATGGAAAGACTGTTCCGACCCTTGAGACCTACAAGGTTATGTATAAAGACGTGGTTATACACGACGTTGTTCAGAAAGATGGCGACTTTTGCAAAAGATATGGCATTGATGACCCATCAGTTGCCTATTTCTTCTTCCTGAGAAACTCAGACGACCTGTCTAAGCTTCAAGATCTAAGGGGGTTTGACATAAAGCTTGTATCCTGCGGTCCTCATGATCGAGAAAAAACTCTAGGAAAGAATGTTATTTTTCTGGATGAGGACCTAACCCAAATAGAAAAGCACTTTCTTTAGAAGCTCAAGTAAACTTAGATAAGATTTATGATCTCTTACTATGCATGTTAAGGATATCATGAAACATTCCGTAGAATTGGAGCCTCGAGTTAACGCCCTCAGATATTCTTAGGTTTGTCAATCCAATCACCTTAAGTAGTTCGTAGTTTTCCATGTTCTTTGCAGCCCTAAAAAACGAGTTTATCAAGTCCAAAGGATCGAACTTCTCATCCCAGATCGTATCAAACATCTCTAATGCCTCTTCAACTTCATTCTTCACAAGCCTTTCCAGGACCTTCTCGATCCTTTTTGGAGACGGAAGGCCTATTATCTTGATTATGCGGTCCCGATCTATTGTCTCAGAAGAATTAATGCATGCCTGGAGGATGTTTAGTGATTGCCTCATGTCCCCATCACTGAGCTCGACGACAAGATCAAGAGCCTCACAGCTTATCTTGATGCCTTCATTGCCACAAATTTCTTTTAATTTCCCAAGAATTGTAGAATGCTCTATCCTTTCGAACCTTAGTATTGCACATCTACTCTGAATAGGCTCAAATATCTTTGTAAGTGTATTACAGATCAAGATGAATCTACATTCGGAGCTGTGTACTTCCATCACTCTGCGCATCGCCTGCTGAGCAGCTGATGTCATGGAGTCTGCCTCGTCCAAGATTATGATCTTGAATTCACAGCCTTTAACCTTTCTCTGGGCAAAGTTTTTAATGGTGGTTCTGACTGTATCTATTCCTCTCTCGTCTGATGCATTCAGCTCTAATAATCCCTCCCTGCTAGGCAGAAGCTTTCTTGTGAGTATCCTTGCACAGGTTGTCTTTCCTGTTCCCGGAGGGCCTGAGAGAAGCAGGTGTGGCATGTCTCTACTTTCAATGATAAGCGAAACCAGCTCTACCGTAGTGTGGTTTCCAACTATGTCTTGTATCTCGTTTGGACGATATTTGTTCACAAGTAAGTCCATTAGGGTTATGCAATTGCTTCTTGATAATTGCCTCTAGTGGACGATGTGTTCCAGAGTTGTGCTAGGTCGTTACACTTAAAACAGAATGAGGTATGTGCCAGTACTCAAGGTATTGTTATTATACTTATGAAACCATTGTTTCGAGGTCTTTGTTGATAAATCTTTACCAAATGCATTAGGTAGAATGATGGTCTTCTTTTTAGGCCTAACATTTGCGAAAAACGCTTGTGTTTCCGGGTCTGCAGAATGTGTTGCAAACACCTTGAGAGTATGTGGCATAAAGAATCAATGGATATATGTTGACTGCCCCACAGGTACTGAGTGTGCTGTTAAAGGCAACGAGATAGCTTGTGTTCCACGTACTAACAAAGAAGAAGGAGAGCCTCACGATAAGGCTAAGCCAGAAAGGAGGAAGGACGAGTCCTCAGCCTCTCTAGATCCTGAGGAAGAACAGGACTCAAAAAACAGTCAGGACGAAAATAGCAAGGATAGCAAGAAGATTGAGGAGGGCAGTTCGGAAGAGGATGATGAAAGGGGGAGAAGGAAAGGCCGTGGAAAGAAAGGAAGTGGAGATGTGGGAGATAGAAAAAAGCCAAAGAATGAGACCGGAAGGAACAAGCACCAAAGCTTAAGGGACGAAGAGGGGGAAAGAGAGCAAAGGGAAAATAGAAAGAAAGAGCCCAAAACGGTAATAAAGACAATCAGCACTTCGAAAAAAGATAGCACCACCACTGTTACTGTAACAAAAGTAGTCATTCAAAAGCAGCAGCCAACAGAGATAAAGTTGGAATATACATCAAGCGATGTTGAATCAAAAGTGAAACCTGTAGGGTCCCCATTGCCTTCCCAAACACAAGCTCCACAAGGCCCTGGAAAGGGTGCTTCGATGTCTGGCCAGTCTTCTTTATCTTCTGCACAAAGTAGTACTGGAGGAGGCTCTTCATCTGGAAAGCTCAGCTCCATCTCACCATCTCCATCACAAGCCACATCCTCTAGTCCTGCGGGATCATCGGGAAACCAGTCTTCACCAGCCTCTTCTTCTTTATCGGGCACCAAGCCTGCAGCTACCCCGTCATCTCCAAGTAGCCCGAGCAGCACTCAGAAATCTTCAGAGCAAGAAAAGCCCCAAACATCTGGAAGTACGTCTCAGAAAACATCCACAGGGACTTCCGGAGGTAGCACTGGAGAACAGAAGAGTGCGGGTGCTAGCGGGTCCACATCTCCACAACAAGGTACCCAGGCCGGGGAATCTGGAGGTAGCAAACCATCTGGAAGTTCCAAATCTTCTTCTGGAACTGAAGGCACGAAGTCTTCCGGAGGAGGAGGAGTAAACATCTCATCCGACCAACTTACTCAAGCAATGACAAAGCTAGGCTACTCGCCAAAGCCAGAATATATCGATGCAGTTGTCTCTAGAGTAAATGAAAAATTCAATGACATGAATGAAGCAACAATGTTCATAGCTCAGTGTGCTCATGAATCCGGAGGATATCAATATATTGAGGAGATAGCATGTGCTGGAGGAACAAGCTGTGCAGGGCAATACGGAACCGGGGCGCCTGGAAAGTCTTACCATGGGCGAGGATTTATACAACTCTCATGGCCTGATAACTACAAGGCGGCAGGAGAAGCACTAGGCTTAGGAGATGAGCTTTATAATAATCCAGAAAAGGTTGCCGAAGATCCAAATCTTGGAGCAGATGTATCGATATTCTACTGGGAGACAAGGGTTGCAAATGCCCCAGGTGTCAAAGAAAATCACTTTGGTGCCACAACAAAAGCAATCAACGGAGCACTAGAATGTACAGGTTCTAATGTCGATAAGAGTAAGAAGAGGTATGAGATATACAAGGCTCTTGTTGAGGCATTTGGAGTCAGCAACCCTGCAGATGAAAGCGGGTGCTATAGCTAGTAAGAAAGTATATCAAATTCAAAATCTTGCGTTTATATTAAATCTTAATCTAAAGAGCCAAGCGGTCTTTTTTGCATTCCCTGAATGGTGTGGAAGCCTTGCCAGATACATCGTAGGTATCGCTTTCTGGATTTATGTCTAGAAGTTCCAGGCCATGAATGGTGTCGTCTATCGAAAGGCCGGACTGTGTAGATATGTCCTTTATCGACATTTCTTGGTTAGCCATTCCTTGGAGCACACTCAGCACTTTGTTCCTCCAATATTTTTTGTAGACAGCACGGCCCTCCTTGCTTAGAGGCTTTTCTGGTGTTCCTGTCCCCAGGGCATAGCTCAGATCTACCAACAATGTGCCGTATCCCTTGGATCTATATGGGGGCAGTACTAGGAGGCAAGACAGGTTGTGCTTGGTGCTTCCCTTTTCCTTGCTAAAAAAACCAGAAAATTTCCCTTCAGTAAACAGAATATAGAAAAGATATCCATCGACGTCAAGGTACAAAGTCTTTCTTCGTATAAAGGCCTTTCCTATTGTGCATATTCTTCTGCATAAAACGCTTTCGTCTTTTCCGTCAATCTCAAGTACAAATATGTTCTCCTCTTCGTCAGTATATACACACCTCCCTGGTATACTCAGAATGCAATTCTTTTTATGGTTGTCAAAGGAAACGGAATCCCAGTATTGCAACAGGCACTGATCGCATATGTATACCACACTTTTATCGGAGAACAGCCAAATCCTGTTGGGAAGGTCTAATAGCTCATTTCCAAGCATAATCTGTGTTACTTCTACGTTTCTTCTTAAAAACCTCACGGAAGGAAAGGATTCCTCAGCTTCATACTTTCTTCCGATAGCTTCGTAGTATTCGACAAACTCCGGGTCATTCTTCAGCATAGCTACCTGTTCATCATCAAGATTCATGGGCCCTGAAAGATACTAATATAAACAAATGGAGCTGAAGACCTTTCTATGGAAGAGCATATTGCAAGAAGAGAAGAGGCATTGAGAAAAGCAAAGGCCATTATAGCAAAGTCTGACGATGTTTCAGAGGAGTTGTTGAGGAAGATCTTGATTCACCAAGAGCTCCTTTCAAACAAAGACATCATTTTGAATGATGACTTCTACTCAATTCTGAACAGTAGGATTAGTGTCCATCCGGAAATGGTCGAGCTGATCAGTAGGAAGGAACGGGTTGAATGTGTTAGGATGGAGAGGAAATTAATATGCCCTATTAGCCAAAAGGAAGTGGTTGATCCGTATATCGGGGAATGCGGCCATGCACTGGAGAAGAAGGAAGCCATGAAGTATATCAGAAGCAATCCCAGGGCTGTCTGCCCACAGATTGGATGCAACAAGATACTTGTGAAGAAAAAAAGATGAATTTCGGCTATGGATTGATGTTCTTTAGATTTCAATTTGTTAAAGTGCCACCAGCTGATGCCCAGGAAAGATGAGGGAAAAGGTGTATAAGGAGAGAGCACAGCCAAAAAGCCGCAGAAAGTATGGAAAACTTGAGAAAAAAAAGGATTTAGTGAAGAGGCTTTCAAAGATCAAGAAGCAAAAGGATGAGATTAAGAAAGCCAAGGAAGAAATAAGAAACAAAAGTGGACAGGAGTACTTCTTTGGATACCACTCTGTAAGAAAGGATGGGGCCAGCCTGTATAAGGTTGAAAAACCCACTCTGGAAGAGCTTAGAAAGATAAAGGTTTACATTGATAATGAAATCCAGAGGTCAAAGATGAAATTGGAGAAATATATTCCAGCACCAAGTGGAACACACATTATATTTGAAGAAGACGGCTCTAAGAAGGATAACGAAACAGTTTTTGGAAAGAATGAAGAAATCAGAAAAGAGTTTGAAAGATACATAGAAGAACTAGTTGTGAAGAGAAATGAAGTTCTAGAAAAGATGGACGAACTGAAAAATAGGATGTCATAGCACTACGGAGAAGGATTTATTTTAAGACTTCATATATTAAAAGCTAATTCGTCTTTCTATTCAATAACGTCCATTGCTGAATTTAAAACATCCTTGCAGATAGGATGTCCGTTGGATCGGCAGAAATTAAGGATAGTGGAATTTATGGATGCAGGATAGTTCTTGCACATTACATGGAGTAGCTTGAGATGCTTCAGGGTGACTGGGCGATTTATCTCCTCACAGAAGTACCTCTGAACAGCATCCGTGGATATCTTTTTTTTCTTTTCAAGTAGGTATCTTAAAAGCACGGGCGTGTTTTCGTCTCTCTTTTTGACCAGGATGTCTATCATATCATTCACGTGGTTCAACGAGACTTTTTTTAGTGCACTTCCAAGAACTTCTGCCTCCTTTCTGGATAGATCTAGTCTCAGGATGTTATATATCTTGCTTGTTTTGACAAGCCTACAGAGATCATGCCATTCTACGGGTGGGAGCTTTGACCTTTCTGCAAGAATGTCCCTATATATCTGGAAGTCTGAAGGCCTGTCCATCTGCTTGAGAGTACGGATTATCTTATCTGGAAGAGACATTTGGGGTGGATGTTTTAGAAACCGAAAAATTTTATCCCTACAAAGGATGGAGGAACAGCAGCAATTTTTTGGAAAGGTTACGCATGTGCTTGCAAGGACTGGGGGGTCTGGGCTGCTGACACAGGTGAAGATGGAGCTTATGCACAATAAGAGGACGATCCAAAGGGCGATCAAAGGACCTGTGGCAGTAGGGGATATTATTGAGATATTAGAATGCGAGCGCGAGCACCGAAAGACAAGATAAGAGACATCCAATAAAGATGATTTAATGTTCTTTAACTATATATTTGACTGTTTTTGGCGGATGCAACTGAAAGGCGCGTGAGATCTAGACCCTAGGATGTGGGATGAGAAAGAAATCCGCAATGAATGGGATAAGGAGGCCAAACATTTAAACTATGGGGAGATTGAAAGAAAGCGTAAGGAAAAGGTTGACGAGTTAGCATATAGGCTTTTGGTAGAAAGGGAAAAGGCAAATAAAAACATTGAGGAAGAGCTTCAAAGGCTTCGTGACCAGGAGAAGGATCTTACTGAAGCAAGAAGCATTTCTGTAGATGTAGAAGAGATGACTGAGGAGACGCACGCCGATGACCCTGACGTCTCTGATTTTTCTACATCTGGTAAAGAGTTACAAAATAGTATCAATGAAGCACAGCCCTCATGCCCTACGAACATACCTTTCACGGAGGAGCTTGTCTCAAGATTTATTTTGAACAATGGCTATGTGTCAATAGAAGAAAATATCTGGAAAGAAAAGCTCGTCATGCCAAAGGCAGCACAAATGCAGGCAAAGATCCAGATTAATAAAAGGCTGACCCAAGTCAGCGGAAAGGCCGGGCAGGTAGGAAAAATATTCAATGTCCTTAGAGAATATTCACATTCTTATGTGTTTTTAGAGACATTTACCTTAAAAATAGTTGAACAAGGAAGATTGCAGGTAAGCTCATGCCCTGGCTCATATAGGGAATTTTCTGAGCTTTTCTGTATGTTCTACTCTCCTGAACTGATGGAATACTTTCGGGTTATTTTATTTACTAGGGAAGCTTCTGTAAATACTATCAAAGGAATCTACAGCATTTACTTTGGAGTGCTTGAAATTCAGAATAATGCCGATGAAGCATGGTTTTTTATCGCATCTGTACTGAACTCGAAGCAGAACAAACTATCATGCTATGTTGTAGAGTGTTTTTTCTCCATACTAGGAGACTTACTGTTTAGAGAATGCAGGAGGCCTTTCTTCAAGCTCATGGAATATGTCAAGAAGTATTACTTCAAAGAGATGAACAACGAGCCATGCAAGACAAGGATAGTCTCTGCGTTTGAGAGATATGGGATGCAATGCGACTGAAAGGCAAAACTGCAGGATATAAGTTTTTGATCAGCTTCAATTTTCATGCCCCGATGAAGCTTATAACCGATGGAGTCTGGTCTCTTTCCAAGGAACACTTGAAGATACTTAAGACTGCAGAAAGATGCATGAAATCCCACACGACCATCCCTTTTGACACGCTAAAGCATCGATCGCAGATAAGAGGAAACTTTATGGAGCATGCGATAGACCTATGCAAATTGAAATTTCTCTCCTATGTTGAGAATGGATACAAGCTAACGTATTCTGGCCACGATTGCCTTGCTATCAACAGTCTGAGGCTACGCGGACTTGAGATGATGGGGGACAAGATAGGGGTTGGAAAGGAGTCCGACATCTACCTTGGGGTGTACTGTGGAAAAGACTCTATACTAAAATTCCACAGGCTCGGAAGGTCCAGCTTCAGGAATGTCCGAAAGAATAGGGAGTATGCTAGCGAGAGAGTCGATTGGCTTGGCCTATCCAAAACATCCTGTAAAAGAGAAGTTGCATACCTAGAGAAGTTCAAGGACATGAATGTCCCTGCAGTGCTTGACTATGACAGACATGTTATTGTGCAAGAGTTGCTAGACTATCTTCCTCTTTACAAGACGTGTGTGTCCGATGTAAGTACGATCTTTTGGCTTATGATAGAGTTTATCAAAGACTTATGGAGAAGAGGATATGTGCATGGAGACTTTAATGAATTCAATGTTTTAGTGAAGGACGACATAAAAGTCATAGACTTTCCTCAGTGTATTCGGAATAGTGATGAAAGAGCAGTGCATTACCTCAGAAGGGACTTTGAGTGTGTCCTGACATATTTCAAAAAAAAATATAGATACGAGCCGGAATACGGATTGGATACCTTCATGAGTGAATTAGGCATCGAAGACCATCCATGCAAATCTCACGGCACAACCCCTGAGGACCTATCTACCTTCTCAGCTGATGAGGGTGACATCCAAAAAGAAGAAAGGCTATTGGAATCAAGGATAGAGGAAGTTTCCATTTTCTCTCACGAAGGCTGATGAAGGCTATTTGCTTCCAAAGGTGCTTTTCATCCTGTCCAGCAAGGAGACTGCTCTGGAAACATCGTTTTTGTATTCCTAAAGTTAGATGAATCCACTTACCTGTAGGATGTCGTTATATTTGTCGAGAATCTCTTCCAGAGACTGCTCAAAATTATTCATATCCAGGGTACTCTGGCTGATTTCAGGAAATAAAAAATTTGCCCTCGAAATGAGTGATGATCAAGTTCTGAAAAGGTTCATGAAGAATGGACTTATAAATGCAGAGCTCAAGGAGTTTTTTGAGAAGGCGCTTGTGAACGAGGGCTTTAGCACCATGGAGCTCCGAATGCAGGAAACACCTATAAAGATCATTCTGAAGGTTGCAAAGCCACACGAGGCAATAGGGGAGAAGAAGATTAGGCTGAAGCAGTTCCAGCATTTGGTTGCACAAAGACTTGAGGTTCCTGATGAGAATGTCGAGATAGTTGTTGAAAAGGTTCATGAGAAAGGGCTTTGTGCTCTCATCCAAGCAAATTTTATCAGAGAAAAGATGCTAGGAGGTGTTCAATACAGGAGGGCTGTGAATATGGCTTTAAAGGCCACGAGGCATTCTGGAGCACAGGGGTGCCAAATCATAGTCAGTGGGAAGTTGAAGGGACAGCGTGCTAAGTCTGTGAAGTTCCAGGACGGAGTGCTAATTCACAGTGGAAATGCAGTTAATGACTATATTAATACAGGATATGCTACTGTTGAAACTAAGCAAGGCATCATTGGTATTCAGGTTAGAATAATGTTACCGCACGATCCTGAAGGAGTGATTGGACCAAGCTATGCCCTTCCTGATAGGATTACTATTCTTGAGCCCAGCGAGACCCAGTAGTTAATTAAAACTAAGTTCAAAGTATTTATTACTATGCAGCTTTCTTGTACCAAAAGATTAAGTCGGTGCATCCTCGTGCAAAAGGTGGTATATGTCTCTTATGTCAGTGTCTTTCTCCGCATCGATCCAAACAAATCCATTCAGTCCTAGTGCAATTCGGAACTTATACTTTTTTCCTATTGTGGACAACGTGCTATTCAAGTAGAGAAGACGTATCTTCCAAGGGTCTAGTGGGAGTACAACACCATTCAATTTCCCAAAACCTTCTCCAACACATGTGAGCAATGGCTCGATGCCCATTCGAGAAATCTTACATAAGAGATAATCTCCCTTACTTATTTCTGGCTTATTTCTTTTCGTTGCATTAGTGAAGCTAAGAGAGGGAAGTATTCCTACTACTCCTCCCAAGTCTATTCTATGAATGTCTTGGGAAGTAACCATAGCCTTTCCTATTACGATATCATCGATGCATGGGTGATACCTATTTGTCCTTGACATTACAAACAGATGCTTTGATGCTCTACACAAAGTTCCCACGACCATGGCTTTGTTTCCGTGGATGCCGAGAGATTTTGAGTTGTTGGAAGGCACCTCATCTCCGGGAAGTACATTTCTTATCTTGGTTAACATTGAGAAGGAGGAAAATATCGAAGAATTATTGCAGGGTACAAGGGCCCATAATGAATGTAAGGCCGAGAAAGTCTGCATCAAAATATTCCTTTGAGCCAAAGATTCCTCAGAGTCAAGAGTTGTTTGAGGTAGAGGAGGAGCAGGTAGCAAAAAAAGAGTTTATGCTTGAGAGCCAGGGAGAATACACGCCGAGATCGATGGGCCAAGACACTGCTCTCGAGCATCCTTTTATTCTTGGAGAGCAGGAAGGGCTTCTACTCACTCTCCCCCGTGATGTATCCATGTCAAAAATAGTTGTTTATGAAGACGGAAGCTGTGGGTTAAAGATTGGAGATGAGGTGTTCCCGATGTCTGCAAGATTCGTTGGGGAGTCCTTAGTGGTCGAGCACAAGGAGATGGCATATGGCATTGGTAGTGCAAAGTTCCAATTAACTCCACAGCTTCAGGAGTTCAAGAAGTAGGAAGTTATAGAAGAATAAACAACATAGGGTTTAATATCCAAATATGTTCTTGATTATCAGATCATAACAGATCTTTCCATCTCCATCCGGGTTTAAGATGTTCAAGAGCTCCTCAATCTCTTCTTCAGTGAATTTGTTCTCTCCAGAAGAAAGAATCTGCACCAGCCTTCCAGCATCGATGTGAGACGTGTTATCTACGTCAAGTCTCCTGAAGGATTTCTGCAGTTCTTCGCGTGTTATTTCCCTTTCCCTTATCCTTTCGCATATGTCTACTAGCTGGCTGAAGTCAAATGTCTCTCCGGGAATAGAAGCAGTGAGCTCTTCTGCATAGCTTTCAGACACGATGTATCCTGCAAATCTCAGAATGTCTCCCAGCTTTTGTGTAGAAACTTTTTCTGTGGGTGTTTCTGCAAATAGTTGGTAAACCTTTTGAAGGCGTTTCATCTCCTCCATCCCTCTGGGGTATATTCCTGAATCATTTTGGACTTGGATAGATGAATAGAAGGTGTAAACCTGCTGCCTGGTACTGGCAGTAAACAAAAAAACCCTTCGTTTAAATCAAGGCACTACTTTTGATTTCTCAGAAGTATTTTTCATTCTAGCTCTAGATTAATTGGCTTAAGAAATTACCCAAACAAACCTTATAGGCTAAGAATCAAATGAGGAGACTAAACATTGCAATGGTATCGGACTTCTTCTATCCATCCATGGGCGGTATAGAAACACACATAAAGTATCTGAGTGAAGAGTTGATTGCCATGGGCCACAAAGTTATAGTCATCACGCATAGAACCGGGGATCTTGCTGGCTGTAGAATGGTGGGGACAATCAAGGTTTATTTTCTTGACATTCCTGTTCTATGCAGGAATACAACATTTCCAAGTCTTTACTCAAATTTTCCATTGTTCAAAGAAATCTTCGATAGTGAAGAAATAGAGATAGTCCATGGCCATCAAACGATGTCGAATATGTGTATTGAGGGACTATTTCATGCAAGAACATTGAATCTCAAGACAGTAATTACAGATCATTCAATATTTGAGGTGGGTCCTTTTGAAAACATTGTTGTCAATGCTTTATGTCGCCTTGCATTAAAGAACATAGATAGATGTATATGTGTGTCGTATACATCCAAAGAAAATACTCACATCAGAACAATGATTCCCCTCGAGAGAATTCATGTCATTCCAAATGCAATAGTTTCTGATATATTCTGTCCAAGAGAGGAAAGATGCTCTGACCAGAAAACTGTTGTGGTTGCATCCAGGCTCGTGTTTAGGAAGGGGATAGACCTGCTTATTGGAGCAATCCCGTTGATCTGCAAAGGAGATCCAAACGTCCGTATCATTATAGTGGGTGATGGGCCCATGAAGGAAGGAATCGAGCAAGTACTGGATGAGAATGAATTGTATGATAGAGTAGAGATAATGCATGAAGTTGACCACGAGAAGGTTGGGGATATAATGAGAAGGGGGGATGTTTTCCTCAACACATCCCTAACAGAAACCTTTTGCATAGCCATAGTTGAGGCTGCCTCGTGTGGTCTCCATGTAGTTAGTACCAATGTTGGTGGAATAAGCGAAGTATTGCCTCCAGACATGATAACATTTAGTAAAATCACGTCTGAAGACCTTGCTGAAAAGGTATTGATAGCTTTGAGAAAGAGCAACCACAATCCTCAGGACTACAACAAGAGGCTCAAAGACATATATAATTGGAAGAGGGTAGCAAAGATGACCGAGAAAGTATACATGAATATTGAGCAGACCTTCCTGAGCTACAGAAACAGGAGAGAGCTATACAGGGGAGTCACCGGATTTCTCTCAAGACTCATGATAACAATAGAATACTTGTTTCTTTTTTTTATAGCCCAAAGAATAGATTGTAGAGAAGAATGATATTCAATCCATTAGACATTTTATTGAAAACTAAAATCTGCAGGAAGTTCCTTGATGGTAGTGTTATAGAATCTTTCGATTGCTTTAAGATTCTTCAGCTCGTATTCATAAACAATGTTTATAGCTATTCCCTTTCTTCCGTATCTTCCAGACCTTCCTATCCTGTGGATATAGGTACTCTTTCTCTCAAATGATGGCACATCCAAACAGAACACTACAGAAAGGTTCTGAATATCAATTCCTCTTGAAAGTAGCCCAGAGGAGATTAGGCATCTTGCAGTTCCTCCTCTGAACCTGTTCAATGTTCTTTCTCTCTCAGCCTGTGTTAACTCTGCAGATATAAGCTCGCACTCCCACTCATGTTTAATCAACCAATCATAAACTATCCTAGCATCCTCTTTGCTATTGATAAACACAATTGACTGTCCTAGACGTTGCTTACGGAATATATCATATAGAGTCACAAGTTTGGGAAGCAGATAGTCTTCTCTTCCCTTTCTGAATGGAGGCTCCTTCTTTAAATCAATGAAGTACTGCCTTATCCCCTTAAGTGTTTGGTCGTTATATCTCAGATCAATTATAACAGGGTTGATGAGAATTTCCTCACTAACCCTAAGCTCCTCTTCGTCATATGTTGCGGAGAACATTGCTATCTGCACCTCATCCTTGTTTGTAATTCTTCGGAATATAGACTTCACCTGCTCCTGGAATCCAGCCTTTAACATTTCATCAGCCTCGTCAATCACAAATAACTTAATGTTGTCCATGTTCAGCTCGTTTATGTTAATCATATGCTCTACCCTTCCAGGCGTTCCGACAACAATATGTGGGTTTTTTTCCAGTGCCATCTTGTCTGCAGATATTGGGCTTCCTCCAGAAAGTAGGGCCACTCTTGCACCCATAAAACATCCAAGATCCTCAAACCTTGCCGCGTTTTGTGCTGCGATCTCCCTTGTAGATGCAAGAACAAGGATTTGGGTGACATCCTGGCTCATATCACATATTTGAAGCGCCGCTACAGCAAATGCGCCGGTCTTTCCAGTACCACTCTGTGCTTGTGCCCTTATATCTCTCCCATCTATTATCGGCTGAATGGCAGCCTTTTGAATAAAAGATGGTGTTTCAAATCCTATACCATAGATTCCTTTTAGCAGATCTTCTTTTAAGCCATAGTCCTCCCACGTGTCAAACATTCTAATTTGAGATGAATCGCTTCTCAAATCCTCGAAGTCCTTGATCTCTGCGTTACTACCTTTCAAGTTTTCAAAATCTTCCGCGTTCTCTAGCGCTTGTTTCATAGGGGTAAATTTTTCTCTAAATAATTTCTTTTTCTTCAATGTCTTTCACAGACTAGATACACATAGATCCTTAGATATGCTCTTCAGAGGAGAATCCCCTAATGGCCCTATCCCTTCAAGAAAGAAAGTCAAAGATTCTCAAGAGGCTGGAGTTTACCCTTGAAAACACCCACACCATCATATGTGACATAAACAACAAATTAGAAAGGATAGTTGGCGACTCAGAGGTGCTCGAAAGAACTGCATGTGCTTATGAAATATGGTCCAGAAAAAATGCCTCCTGAGATCCTCAGCAATTTCAATAAAGTCCTTTGCTTCATTATCCGATCTGAAACGTCTCAAGCTCAAAACCATATGTGTGGGCCGTAAACATGGCCACGACACTGGCTTCTGGATACGTTACACTTCTCAAAACATCCATAGGCAGCGGAATCCTTTCATTTCCATACCTATTCAAAACGTATGGAATCCTCACAGGTATTGCATTAACAATGATATCAGGCTTTTTCTCCGTGTTAGGCCTTATTCTCTATGCGATTTGTAGTCAGGAACTAGGAAGAACGGCAACCTTATCAAGGCTTGCTACAGAAAGCATGCCATACACAAGGATAATAGTAGACTTCTCAGTATTTCTCAAGTGCTTTGGAGTTGCCCTTTCATATCTCATAATCACAAGGCAGCTTCTCCCTGTCCTGATAGAAACAATATTCGGTGTTTCAATGCTGTCAGATCCAAACATTTCTCTTTTGGCATTTATATCGTGCATAGGTCCCTTTGCCTATTTTGACAAGCTTGATAGACTCAAATATACCTCTTTCTGTGGAGTTATTGCAATAATCGTAGTGGTCATTGCATCGTTTTACAGATATGAATACACTCCTGTTTCCACAACAATCAAAGTAGAGTACTTCGTTCCATTTTCTTATTCATGGATGGGCGGGTTTGGGAAGTTTGTGTTTTCATTTACTTGCCACCAGAATATATTTGCAATCCACTCTGAGATGGAAGATAATTCCTTCCCAAGAATGAAGCGCCTCATATACATGGTTGCTACATCTGCTGCTGTGATATATATTTCTTTTGGGATACTAAACTACCTTCTCTATGGAGACAAGGTCAAGGACAATGTCTTAGAAAACTATCCAAACGACGTCCTGGCCTCAGTAGTAAGAGGACTTTACATAGTGGTTATGGGCGTCTCGTATCCACTCCAGGTAAACCCTTGCAGAAACCACCTCATAAACATCATTTCATTCTCGCAGAACTCAAGAAAAAGGCTTCTAAGATTCATCGTCACAACAGGTATTATCATATCGACATGTCTGCTAGCCGTCTCAGGAATGGGTCTTGGGATAATATACTCTGTCATAGGTTCAACGGCCTCGACATTCATGTGCCTAATATTTCCTGCTCTTTTCTATTTCAATATGAGCATCACAAAGCCAAAGGGATTGGTCATCATGTCCTATTTGGCATTCCTGTTTGGGGTCTTTGTCTTTACCACATCCCTTTTCAGCACCATACTTCGTAACATTTAGATTGCGTGACTTAGGCTTAAGGATTTATATTCCCTTTGTTTTTGTCTAAGAATGGATCTGAAAGAAATAGAGAGATACTTCAACAAGAAAAGGCAGTACTTGACTAAAGAGGAATACAAGACAATCATCGGTGCATTAAAGAAGCTCGATATTGCAGAAAAGGCTTCAAACAAACATCTGGCTGAGGAAATGAAGAACAAAGGGAACGAGGAGTATAGTAATGGAGACTTCCAATCTGCCATAGACTCTTACACTCAGGCCATTATTTATGATCCGACAAACGTAGTTTGCTTTTCAAACAGAGCCGCAGCATATTCAAAACTCGGAATGACGGAAAATGCAATTGAGGATTGCGAGAATGGATTGAAAATTGATGATAAGTTTGTAAAGCTATACATAAGACTTGGGATGCTATATCTTAACAAAGATAAAAATAGGGCATACCACATTTTCAAAAAAGGACTAGAGATTGACCCAGAAAACAAAGCTCTCAAAAGGCAGCTCGATCTTCTTGATAAAGAAGTGTCTAATGTCTCTTTGGAGAACACTCAAGCCTCTTCTCTGGATGACATGATCAAGAATATGGGAATGGAGGGTTTCAAAGACAACAAAATCGATTTCAATTCACTTTTTAGCAATAAGAATATCAAAGATGTCTTTGACACAGTTATTAAGGACAAGTCCCCCAGTGACCTTATGAATATGGTTAAAGATATGATCGGCGCAATGGGAAGCCAAGACATCAAAAAATAAAATTTTCCTAATGACATCAACTTCAAAACAAACAACAAAGACATTAGACGAAAATGTGGTTTCAAAACTATGAGAAGCACAAGAGTGCTCTCAACTCTCAAGAAACCTTTATATCCCATGTGTGTAACGAATAGATGGAATCAACCAACATCCTGACTAAACATGGAGGCAAAAGCCAGGGTCCATTAGAATACTGAATTAAAAAGAAAGCACAACATTAATTTTTAATGAGGTTTCAAACATAAAGCAAAGAAGTCTGCATTCTTCTGTGAAATACCACCCGGAAAAGCATGGTTAAAGGGTGATGTCAAAAAATGAGTCCTGTCATACACTCCGAGACGCTTTCATTGGTCCAGTAGAGTATATTTTCTTAGAGATTCTCACAATCCCTAGAACATGAAGTATTGTTTCTGCAAATGCTTTGAAGAATCAAGAGATTTTGTGAAAACAGATCTTATTGACTGGATCTTTAACAGAGATGTAGACGAAAAAACTAGCAGCATGTGCCATCTTCTTTGCCTTAAGCTTACAAACAGTGGAAATATAAAAAGAAATGGTAGATGGGGATTCCAGCCAATTCTAGGAATGACAGAATTCTTCTCTGCACTCTTCTCGTTCATAAATCTTATAACAAACATATTTTGCTTCCACAGGATGTTGAAGAAACACTTAAGAGTTACAAGGCTAGGAAAACTCTATTACATCCAGTATTATATATGCAATCTAGCATTCATTGCCAGCACACTTTTCCACATCCACGAAAACTCCTTCACGAGAAACTGTGACTATTTTCTTGCATTCTTAACTATTCTTTTTGGATTCTATATGGCGCTTGTCAGAGTTATCCTAATAGTAAGTCCTTCCCTGGAAAGAGCAATAAGAACGCCACTCCAATCTGCCTTCATCTTATTTTATGCATATCACATCTACAGAATGTCAAATATAGAGTTTGATTACGTTTACAACAAGATATCTTGTGCCATAATTATCACACTCACTCTCCTATCGCACCTAGTAACATTTCTTAAGTATAGGAATATGAGCCATACCAAGAACATCTTGTTATTTACCTTTTTCTTCTTCCTTGCCGGAGCAATAGAAATTCAGGACGTACCACCATATGCTTATCTCATCGATTCCCATGCAATATGGCATTTAATATCCTGTATCTCGACACCTTTCTATCTCCTCTTCTGGAGCGGAGATGTTTATATGCACTAATACAATACAATAAACGCATATTTACCTATTACTCGCACAGTTTTCATTGTAAATGTTTTGTGGTCAATAGTAAATCATTCCTTAGACCATAGAGACTAATCATGGTATAACCAAATATGGATTAGAAAAGCACAAAGGACTTTATTGATATTGAAGGAGAAAGATAAGATCCTGAAGATATTTACCTTCTCAATAAACTAGACGCAATAAAATCATCAAAGGGCCTTCAGTTGCAAGTCGTTTCTCTCTAATAACAGCCTAGGATTCATCTTTCTTCCATACATCTTATGAAAAATTATGGAAATTTTTAGATAGAAATATTAGAAAATCAAGCCTAAGACTATGGATTGATATAAAGTAGGACTAAATCTGCCTCATTCCTCCATTGTGTAGGAAATTGCCGTATGTGATTATGGGAGCCTTTACCAATACCCAAAATGGGATTCCTAAAGAGTTGTAGGGATGATAGGTGATTTATGTGGAAATGGAGGAAGCCCAATTATAAGGAACTGATTAATGGAGGATTTTAGGTGATAGGGAATGATGTACAGGAAAAGGAGATGAGTGTATTAAGCACCGAGGAAAGAGGAGGGGATGAGATGGGATGTGTTCTGCCTGGTAGCTCTTGTTTATAGGGCATTTTGCACATCTTTGAGGCAAGAAAAAGAAAGTGGCAAAATGAAAAGAGGTATTGTGGCCGTGCTTCCGCTAGGATTTGTAGGAAACACTACGACTTTGCAACCAACGATAAGTCTTAGAAACTTGAAGACCGTACTGTCGAAAGATGCTTACTCTGTTGTTGATTATATTGTTAGAGTGATATGTATGTATAACTTCTCAGATGTAGTGAGTGTAGCGATAAATGACGAGGAGATTGAAAGATTGTTTTTGGAAGAGATTAGAAAGTACCTAAAGGTGATATCCGGGGATGTATTGAAGAAGTGCAAGGAAAGCAGCACACTCTATGATATAGTGGAGATAGTGTTTGAAGAGATGCTGGAATACAAGGAGAATGCGGAGGGAGTGAAGATGTCGAAGCTTAGGATGATCATTGAAAGGGAGTTGGGGGAGAAGCTGAAGGTGATAGAGAGCTTGGCGAATGTGGAGATGTCTGAGGAGGGAAGAAGGAAGTATGAGCTTCGCAAGTTGTTGAACATACACATTAGATCGTTTTTGGGGATTTTGTGTTTGGAGGATCAATGGGAGCAGCGGGTCGCTGTGCAGAAGATAGTGTGCAGTGTGTTTAAGAACCTCTATTCGAGGCTGAAAAGAGAACAGATTCTCGGAATAATGGTTGAAGGAAACATAGGGAAGCAGTTGAGGCCTGAATATGCAAATAACATGGATGAGTTTAGTACCAAAATGTACTTAGAAATAATCAATGTCAGGTATGACGAGTTTCTGGGAATATGCAATGAGTATGACGAAGGGGTTGTGGAGGAGATAGTGAAGCAGATATTGCTGGGAAAAGATGGGAGGAGCATCGACAGGAAGTATGCTGAGAAGGTCAAGAATATGATTGAGAGAAGAAGGGAGAAGGAAAGGAAAGTAGAGGAGAGGAAGAAAGAGCTGGCTGAAAGGAATGCAAGGAAGCTGTTGAAAGAGGAGGAGAGAGACAAAGCTGCTCTTAGGCGTGCCCGAGGAGGGGCAGGCAAGGGGAAGGGAGGTAGCAGGAGCAGTAGAGGGAAGGGCAAGAGAAGTGGAAAGAGAGATGCAGATAATGCAGAGAGGACGGAGGATGTAGAAGATGTGGAGGCGCCGGAGGATGTGTATGATGAGAAGGATGTGGAGGCGCCGGAGAAGGAGGGTTCTGGGGATGTGGAGGATGTTGTAGAACCCTACCAGGCTGTGCATAGCTACGGAGTTCATAGAAGAGTGTTGGTATGGAGGAAGGATGAGGGTAGCATTGCAAGGTGGTGGAATGAAAGTTCTGAGACGAGGTGGAAGAACAGGCCACCGCGTATAATTAGGGAGCAGAAGAAGAAGCACAACATAATGGAGGTTTTGGAGCTGTTCCGAAGTAAGTATAGAGATTGCTTTTTCAAAAAAGAGAAGTATGATGTGGATAGAGTGGCGGGGAGGAACAGATGGCAAAGTGTAAGTGTTGCAAGGTTCTGGGAGTGTGGCCAGGATTCTGAGAAGCTGGGGATTGTGGAGATAGGGACGTTTGAGTCTGAAGGAGGGACTGAGGTGATATACCACCTACTGTTTAAAGAGATGGAGAAGAGCTCGATAAAGGAGGTCATGAAGATTGAGGGAGATTTCGGGGTGGAGGAGATGTCTGGTGAGAGTGCCTTTCATGAGGAGAGTCTGCAGGGGAGGGGCGGTGGGGATGGATGGACAGATGATGGAGACTCTTCTAAGGATGGAGGTTCTGAAGGGATGGGATGTCTAGTGATTAGAAGGCCGCCATTTGGGTTTACTGTTGAGTGGAGGGGTGCTGAGAATGAGGTTGTCAGACGGCTTACCATGGTTCCTAGGGAAGAGGTGATATCATGAGGTGGTAAGGATACCAAATAAAGATATAGATATATTGAGTGTATGGGAGATTTATGGGTATGTTATTTATAGGGTTATTATGGAGGAAAACCTTTTGAGGGCTTTGGGGCTCTAAAATGATTATAGCGATGTCCGTGCAGGGTGAAGAGAATATGGGCACATATGGATGACGAGGGACGTGTGTCGGTGTGGAGGCTTTCCTCTTTGTGACGAGTCTGTTCTCCTCAAGAGCAATTAGCTGTTAGGGCGATGTTGCTGGTGTGAGGACGGGTGTGTGGATCATCCCGATATGGAAAATCTAGTGGAGATGCAAGGAATCCGATATGCTGTCCCATGGAGAAGGTGTTTTCTGGGCCTGTGTCTGAGCTTTGGGATGTACTTTTGTGTGTGCCTGAGAGGATTAGGATTAAGGTGAGTAGGGGCCTGATTGAGGAGCTGGCGGGTCTGGCTAAGAACCACTTTAGAGGCACTTGTCTTGAGAAGGTGAAGGAAAAGCTTGAATCTTTGAGTAGGTTGAATGAAAGGAAAGATGTCCTCGACACCGTTGATGGGGCGCAAAGGGCCGTGGATAGCATAATCAGGTCTCTTAGTTGGAGTGATGGAACAGCAGGATTGGAAGAGGCTGATTTGAATGATGTCTTTCCCTTAGTAACAAAGAGTTGTTCGATTGTGGATTCTATTGAATATCTTTCAGAGGGCATCCGTGAGGGAAGTGTATGTACCGGGGACTTTGAGACGAAGAGGCTTATCCTAACATCGACGGAGAGGGTTTTGGAGGCGTATAGGAGCTTTTTTGAGAGTCTTCTGAAAGATAAAAATCTAGTGGGCAGATTGGATTTGGTCGAGAGAGAAGGATTCATTGAGTTTCCCAACTTGGTTTCCGATAAGTGCAATGGTGTTCTCGAGTATCTTAAGGAGAAAAGAGACAAACTGCCAGAGTGGATTGATGAGTTGGATGTTTCACAGGTGGCGAGAGATAGGCTTAAGAAGTTTGAAGAATGTAGCAACGCTGTGAGCGGTCCTATAAGGAAGCTCCTGTGTGGATGCCGTAGGGCTGGTAAGTCGAAGTACAAATTTACTATTGCTGGGGATTTATTAGACTTAGTTTTAGATCTTAAAGATAAATTAGCAGGGGTTGATCCCGATATATTCGAGTGTTCTGTGGAAGGTATATTAGGTGGTATTCAGTGGCAGGCACCTTCTGGGTTGTTTGAGGGAGATTTTGCGGAGAAGAAAGGAACGGGAGCAGGGACTGCGATTAGGGATCTGTATGCCATCTTTGCTGTTGTGTTGTGTGTCCATTTTATTCTGTGTGAGAGTATCAAGGAGGACAGACTTGCCAGGGCATGGAGCACGGGATTGTATTCTGTTTCTGCGGGTGGGGCAATGGTATATCTACTATGGGTTGTCGGACGGGACTATTCACGTGACGGGATGTCGGGGATGGACGGCGATTGCAGGTATGGTGCCAGTGGCTGTTGGACTTGTCCATGGGGGTTTGGAAGGAGCGGTGTGCAGAGTGCAACGATGATGGGGATAGGTTTTGTGACGTTGTGGGCACAGTACTTTGCAGGCAAGGGAATGGGGTAGAGGGTGGCTGCTGTTAGTGCCATTGGAAGTGCGATGATTGCAGTGCTATGCTTTGATGTGACGAGGCGATACTTTGTGGGGGATGTGTATGGATGCGAGTATGCCCTGTGTGTTGGAATGATTGTGTTTGTGAGCATGCTGATTGGTGTGTCATACATGTGGGAGGACACCTGTGCACCGAAGGCTGTGGAGCGCCATGCTGTGTTTATGGCAATGCTGGCGGTGAGCACGCTTGTTTCGTGGAGGATGAGTGGAGAATGTGTTACACTCGGGATGTGTGCCGGATGAGTTCTAATAAAGACGTTTTGGTTTGTTTGATTTGATGTGGGATATGAAGTATTATGGGAGTGTACAGGGCATGGAGGGCTTTTGTTCTCTAGAAGGCCACGGTTGAGTGTATTCTTGGGGTATTAGAGGCCATGGCGAGATAGGGGAGTGGATAGATGGCAGTGCTGTAGAAGGAGTACGAAAAGGAGTACGATAAAAGGAAGTGATATGGGAGTAAGGGTCTGGGCCGATGAGATTTGGCGCATTGCAAGTACTTGTTCTGTTTGGGTGGATGACATGCTCCACATTTAGGGTGGAAAGTCTTGGAGTGTTTGATTTGGCAGAGAACGAAAGACCTGTGTTATTTCCAATAATCTTCTATGGAAGCAATGCGATTGTGCTGCCAAATACAAGATTCAAAGATTTGGAGAAGGGGACGAGTGAGGAAGTGCATGCGAAAAGGTTTATAAGTTGTATTCCGCGTATGGTGCTATCGTTTATGTTTTATGATGTATACTGTAAGGATGATAGCCGGCTTGAGAGGATATTTGTAAGAGAGATGGGAAGGTACATGGAAAGGATATCTGAAGAGGCATTGAGTGTGTATGCAAAGGGGAGAAAGACGTTTGGGGAGTTGCTGTTGATGGTGTACGATAGATTGTTTGAATGCGATGTTCGGGATAGAAACAGGAGGATGACGATACTTGGAAGGCGCCTTATTGAGGAAGCTGATAAGATGATGGATGATATAGGTGATGATATAGATGTTGAGGAAAGGGAGGAGAGAGAGGATTTTTGTAGTGTGATCAAGGAACGTGGAGAGAAATGCTGCAATGTAGAGAGATGGAGGCGGATAGTTCGTGCAGAGAGTGTGGTGTGTGATGCATCTGCGAGCCTTTATAGTAAGCTTCCTGAGGAGGAGCTTTTGGGGCTGCTGGCTGAAGGATGTACCAAAAAGATTCTTAAAAAGAAAGGACTTAGTGAGGAGGAACTCAGTGAAAAAGGATATTTAGAACACAATATTATTGACACTGGATTATTTCTAGATACGTATGATAAGCACGGGAGTGAAGTTGTGAAAGAGATAGTTAGGCAGATGATGCTGGGGAAGGATGGAAGGGAGATAGATGCTAAGTATGTTGAGAAGGTTGTTCGGGTTGTTGATGAGAGGAGGAGAAGAAGGGAGATTGAGGCTAGTAGGCATGCGGCTGAGTTGCTAGGGGAGGAGTTGTCAGGTAAGAAGAGTAAAGGAAAGGCAACGGGGAAGAAGAGTAAGAGGAAGAGCGATGGGAAAACGGATAAGAAGGGTCCAGCTGTCTCAAGGGAAGAAGAGAGGGTGGATAAGGAGTCTAAGGCTTCTGATGAAGAGTTGGCAGGTGCAGTAGGTGGAGTATCTATTGAGGATCACAGACCCAAGAGGAGTGATA